GGCGCTGTGCTGTAGCGGGTTCAGGCTGTGGCCTGCAGCGCCGGCATCGCATGTGGGTGCCGGTTTGAGTCCTGGCTGCTCACTTCTGATCCAGCTCTCTCCTATGGCCCGGGGAAAGCAATGGAATATGGCCCAAGCACTTAGGCCTCTGCACCCATGTGGGAGACCCAGAAGAAGCTCCTGGCTCCTGGCTCTGGCTGTTGCAGCCATCTGGGGAGTGAACCAGTGGATGGAAGACCTCTCTCTCTCTCTGTCTCTGCCTCTCTGTAACTCTGCCTTTCAAATAAATCAATCAATCAATCATTTTTTTTTTTTAAAGAAACACATCCTCATCTGTGTTCAAGATACCGTTTCAGGTGCTTCTCCACGTTGGGTTCTGATTTTTTTTGTTGTTCTCAGTTGAATTGAGAGTGTCATTCTTGCTCACCACATGCTGTCCCTTCTCCCGTTGACATCCGAAGGCCAGCAAACTAGAACCCCCGTAGGTTCTTCTGATCCTTGTTCATGCTGTTTTTGTTGTTTGATTATCATGGAGGTCATCGCCAAGTCAGTGGCTGCTTGAAAACATTTCAGACCCAAGAGGATAAAACACACAAGAGAGATGGAGAGCACCACTGTCAGGAAGCTTATGCCGAGGGTGCAAGGCGATGCCCAAAGGCACTGTGGCCGCCCGGCCAGACTCAGCCAGCTGAAAAGACCCAGTGGTCTTTTCAGGTCCAGGTCTTCTTTTCCAGTTCGATCTGTATGGTTTTTCTGGGTAACCTGTAATTGGGTTTCAGTGTTCCCGAGTTATTTACACGGCTGCAGCAGCTGTTTTAAGTAATAACACAGATTCCTCCTTGATCAGCCAGTACATACATAGTGCAAGGCTGTGTGATGGTCTACTACGACTCTGGCTAATGAGTTTATCAATTCTTGCTGTAATTGTAGAGGTTTTGCAGTAGCTAAGGTGCCTTCCGTGGAGGCTCAAGTGCAATCTTTCATTAGTGTCTTTCTCAGTAACCTAAGTCTCCAGGTTCTAACGTATGGGGGCTTTGCTGTCCTCTGGAAGCAGATTGGGGAAGGCTTCTTAGACCTGGTGGAAATATATCTCGCATGCTGCATTAGTGCCTAAGTATTGATCCACGCCAGGATTACTTAGACCAAGATAAGCATGAGCCCATATCCTTTCTGGAGGCAATGTTATCTGTAAACTTCCATGTATGGTGGGTCTCTTACAGTGTTAGGTAGCTAATACAAGGCAGTTTGTGTGTGTGTGTGTGTGTGTGTATGTAAACAAAAGAAAGCAAATTATTAACTCAGTTTAATTCACTTGTTTGTAACAATTATGCTTGGACTATTCATGAAAATTCTACGAGACACTAAGTTAACCATCACCTTATGTTGCTTTTCTTGCTGAGAAATTTTGTACCATGGAGATAGCGTGAGCTTACTTGACTGATAAGCCTAGGCAAAATGAAAGTGGTGTGTCTGCATTATAATTTCTGCTGACAAGTCTGAAGGCATGGCCTTTTATTTTTAACTAAACCGACAATATTTACATAAGTTTACCCAAGGCACAGGAACTTGAAAAGGATTTATGTTAATAGTATTTTTCTGAGAGTTTTAGAAATTCTTATATAAATACTTGTTTTTCCTTACATCTATTTAACATATAAATATACAGAAACATACAGGCAGACACCAAGAGAAAGCTTGCAGCTTTCTTTCCAAGTTCAGCCGTGTGTCAGGTACAATAATACAAAGCTTAGTAGTTTACAAGGGAAGCCGAGTCCAAGCAGAGCCTTGCAGATGGAGCCAGTGGAGGTCACCCCGGTTGGCCAAGTCTGTCACGTGGGTGGCACGACACTCAGCCACCTGGGCCAGCACCACTGCCTTCCAGGGCCTGCACTGGCAGGAGGCCGCAGCCAGGGGCCAGAGCGATGGAGCCAACCATCCAATGCTGCTGGATCTGCGTATTCTATTCTCTGAGCGACCTCGACTTTGAGGGGACTTTTCATCAGCTGCTCTCAGACGCAGGAAGTCCCAGGTTTCTCCTGCTTCCCTTTTGAACAGAAGAGGGTGACCACAGAGATGCTTCGACAGAGGCCGCTCAGCAGAGCCCGAGAGCCACTTCTCCTCAACACACTGCTGCTCTGCTTTGATCCGCGTCCTCGGCGCGGTGCCTCCCCTCTATCTTTTAGTTGTTCCCAGCTCTGAAAGTAAGCGTTATATGTGCATAGCCTAATTCTGAGAAATATGTAAAAATACAGAGAAGAAGAAAATGCCACTGAGTGGGCATTTGGCCAAGTGGCTGAGATGCCTCTGTCCCACATCAGAGTGCCTGGGTTCAGTTCCCGGCTCCGGCTCCTGGCTCCAGCTCCCAGCAAACCCTGGTCCCAGTGCAGACCTTGGGAGGCAGCGGTGGTAGCTCCAGTGATTGGGTCCTTTCCATCCATGTGAGAAACCTGGGTTGAGTTTCCTGTTCTGGGTGGTAGCCTGACCCCGTCCTGGCCTTTGTGAGCATTTTAGGAGTGATCCAGCAGATGCCTGTCTCTCAAATAAAAAATTACAAAAAACCACATGAATCTTACTACTTTTTTTAAAAAAAGATTTGAGAGATATAATAAATAATGTATTTATTAGCAAGAAGGGGAGAGAGAGAGAGAGGGATGGAGGGAGGGAGGAGATAGATGGAGAGAGATAAATAGAGCTTCCATCCACTGATTCACTCCCCAAATGGCTGCAACAGCCAGGGCTGGGCCAAGCCAAAGCCAGGAACCTGGGTGCAGGGGCCCAAGCACTTGGGCCATCTTCTGCTGCTTTCCCAGGCACATTAGCAGGGAGCTGGATTGGAAGTGGAACAGCCAGGACTCGAACAGGAGCCCATATGAGAGGCCAGCCCTGCAGGCAGAGATTAACCTATGCCATAGCGCCGGCCCCATGCATCTTACTGCATAAGTATGTCATTCCAATCTGAGCTCAGTAGTGAGTTATCTTAGTGAAGTGGTCTAACAGAGACACTTTAGAGACCAACTGGGCGTCTGCCCCACTTTTGGCACCTAGTTATGTGACTTTGTATCATTTTGTCTGAGCTTTGATTTCCTCTTAGGCAAAGGGAGACGAACCCCTGCCATCTAAGGTGTGGGTGAGGGCTCTCAGAGTGTTTGCTGCATTGGGAGTGCTCAGCAAATGTTAGCTCCCTAGTGTTTCTATTTTTAGGTCCTTCTTGTCTCTATTCCCTGCCTGTTTTGATTGTTCAAGACAACAGAATCTTGTTTTCTTTTCTTTGTTTTATTTCCTTCACAAGTCATTCTCTTTTTTTCCCTCTAATCATAGAACAATATCTATTTTTTCTTTAAATCGCAAGGAAGACGTTTTAAGAACTATTTAGCTCACATGTTCAGTGTCCTTACTAATACAGCTTCCACAGTAACCCAGACGTGTTCTCCGTGGGCTTCTTTGACTTGCATGTTGTGAGATGTTACTTCTTTTATTTAGGTGTTTATTGTTGGAGTAGCATTTCCCCTCAGGTTCCTCGCTCGTTTCTCGTGGAACTTTGGGAAACTGCACAGCAGTAGCAAGGACATTTAATGTCCACAGTGTGGGGTGGACGCTTGCCTGGTGGCTCAGATGCTGGTGCAGCTGCCCACATCCCACACCGGAGTGCCTGGGTTCCGTAACTGGCCGCACCGCCTCCGTCTTGCTTCTCGATAATCAAGACTCTGGGAGGTGGTGGTGCTGGCTGCCGAGGACTGGGTCGGTGCCACCCACATGGGAGACCTGGAGTGAGGTCCTGGCTCCTGGCTTCAGCCCAGCCCAGCCCCTCTCGGGGAGAGAACCAGTGATTGGGAACGCTCTCTGTTCATCTGTTTCTCTCTTTCTCTGGTACTCTTGCTACTTGGGCATATTTCTGTTTTAATGTTCTGTTACTCATATGTGTGAATCTGCTATTGAAGATGTGTGTTTTGAGAGGCAGGAATGTCAGTAAAACTTGACAACAGCTTTCTGTGCCTTAGAAGTAATGCTGGAAAGATTTAGGATCTGAGATCTGTGTACTTGCATTTGTTTTCCTCTAAAATGAAATGTAATCCAATGCGTGGAAATCTCATGGTCACAGTCATTGAGACACACCTCATTTCTGAGGGTCCTGGCTTTGGTTTGAGAATTGCTTAAGGTGAACCTACTTTTTCCAGCACCTAAAAGTATTTGCACCCCTTGAGCCTTGATTTTTTTTTTTTTTACAGGCAGAGTGGGCAGTGAGAGAGAGACAGAGAGAAAGGTCTTCCTTTGCTGTTGGTTCACCCTCCAATGGCCACCGTGGCCGGTGTGCTGCAGCCAGCGCACCACGCTTATCCAAAGGCAGGAGCCAGGTGCTTCTCCTGGTCTCCCATGGGGTGCAGGGCCCAAGCACTTGGGCCATCCTCCACTGCACTCCCTGGCCACAGCAGAGAGCTGGACTGGAAGAGGGGCAACCGGGACAGAATCCGGCGCCCCAACCGGGACTAGAACCTGGTGTGCCAGTGCTGCAGGTGGAGGATTAGCCTAGTGAGCCGCAGCACCAGCCTTTGAGCCTTGATCTTAGTGCTGATTATTTTCAGCATATATATTTTTAAAGCTTTAATTCACGGGGCTGGTGCTGTGGCGCAGCGGATTAATACCCTGGCCTGAAGCACCGGCATCCCATATGGGTGCCGGTTTGAGTCCCGGCTGCTCCACTTCCAATCCAGCTCTCTGCTGTGGCCTGGGAAAGCTGCGGTTGATGACCCAAGTCCTTGGGCCCCTGCACCCGCGGGAGAGACCTGGAGGAAGTTCCTGGCTCCTGGCTTCAGATCAGCGCAGCTCCAGCTGTTGTGGTCAATTTGGGAGTGAACTAGCGGATGGAAGACCTCTCTCTCTCTCTCTCTCTCTCTCTCTCTCTTTCTCTCTGCCTCTCCTCGCTCTGTGTAGCTCTTTCAAATAAATAAATCTTAAAAAAACCCAAAGCTTTAATTCACATTTTTTTTTTAAATCTCCAACAGAGTTTTCTTTCTTTGATCCTAACGATGCCTCGTGCCAGGAGATCCTCTTCGATCCCAAGACGTCGGTCTCAGAATTGTTTGCCATTTTAAGACAGTGGGTCCCTCAAGTCCAGCAAAACATTGACGTTATCGGAAATGAGGTGAGGAGTCACGGCAGCTTGGGTTCTGCGCTGTCAGAGCGCGGTGGAGCAGAGCGTCTGCTGTTGGCATCTGTGCGTCCCGGCTTTTCGTGGGGCTGGGAGTCCAGGCTGTGCGTTCTGCTTGCTGTTTCCTCTTGCTCCGCGCGTTCTTGCACCTGGAGTTCTGACCTTGCAGGCTTGCTAGGTTCAGGGCGAGCTGTTTGTCCCTGTGAAATGGGGAGAGAGAACACTCCCCTTGGGTCGTGTGCCTCAGAGCAGAGAGCCCTCAGCGTTCTCAAATCTGAGGCAGCGACACCTGCCCTGCTTCCTGCTCTGTGGCAATTCATTTGCTAAACATCTGTGCACTTGGTGAAGGGATTTGATTGCCATCACATTATATCCACACTTCGGGGTGGCTTCATAAAGATCGAGGCATCAGTATAATTTTAAAACAATATTTGGTTTTTGAGAGGGAAGCTTCCCTGACGAGGGTGCTATCAAACTGTGTAAAGAGAGCACTAAGCCCTTCTCCCTAATAGCATGGTACTCAGGAGAAAGAATACCGGGCTTGCGTTTGGGACAAGCGTACAATTTGGATTGCCAGATTACCTTGGAGTAATCTTTAAGAGTTTCCTCCAGTGCGGTGACAAGTACAATTTTCATTACCGTTGCTGAGTGCAGATTTAAAATTCACCCTAAAGGGAAGTCAGTCCTGTCTGTGGCGACTGCTGAGAGTAAAACAATTCAGATAAGTAGACTGGCTTGATTCTCAGCGCTGCATTGAAGGTAATTGGTGCTTAGGTGGTCCACATTGTGATTCTGTTTTCCCTCGCTTCCTCAGATTCTTAAGAGAGGTTGCAACGTGAATGATAGAGATGGGTTGACAGATATGACTCTTCTGCACTATACCTGCAAATCTGGAGCTCACGGCATTGGTAAGTGTGGGGCGAGTCTGTGCGCAGCTTAGCTCCCCTACGTCTGTGCTTGTATGGTCTCCCTGTGTGCCAGTCCAAGTCCCTGGGAGGGCACCCAGCTGCCTATGAGAACAGTGTCCCAGCAAGTGAGGATTCAGAGCCTTCTAAGACCTGTTCCCTTTCTCAGGGAGGGATTTGTACCCTCCTGGTCCCCCTCAAGTTTCCCAGAGCAGGCTCCATGCCAGATTGCTCACTGGGTGAGAGTGATTGACAGACGGCACCCCAGAAACATCCTGAGGTGGACAGCGGGCTTGGCAGCCCAGGTTCAGTGTTCCTGGCACACTGTTCCCAGCAGACTGGAGGCCCTTGTGGTGCACGTGTGTCTTGTACGTGGGGTTCCTCCTGAGTTCTGCCATCTGAGAAGCCCTCCTCTCATGCGTTTCTGTGTTCTGATTTTCTCTCCGTTTCCATCATCTGATACAGTGCTTCTTAAACTATTGATGGTGATGGCGCCCTGTTTTTCCTTTTGTTGTTTCTTTTTCTTTTTTTTAATTTTAAAGTCAGAGTTAGGGAGAAGGAGAGGCAGAGAGAGAGACACACAAACAGAGAGACAGAGAGAGAAATCTTCCATCTGCTGGTTTACTCCCCAGATGGCTACAATGGCCAGGGCTGGGCCAGGCTGAAGCCAGGAGTCAGGAGCTTCTTCCGGGTCTCTTATGTGGATGCAGGGGCCCAAACACTCAGGCCGTCCTCCACTGCTTGCCCAGGCACATCAGCAGGGAGCTGCATCAGGAGTGGAGCAGGCGGGACTTGAACCGGCACCCATATGGGATGCTGGCATCACGGGCGGAGGCATAACCTGCTGTGCTGTAATGCCGGCCCCTGTTGTTATGTCTTCACAATCCATCAAGGACCAGTAGTCTTATAAAGTAAGCAAAAATAAATTTGTAAGACAAAAATGAAACAAAGACATAAAATATAAGCCCCAGATTTTTTCAAAAGGCATAAAATGACATTTAAATTAGCATAACAAGAAGAAACGTTAGATAGGGGAAAAAGAGCAGTCCAGACGGCAGGTTGGGGCTGACGCTGACACGCCTGGAGCCTCCCTGGCTCGTAGTGGGCCCTGAGAGGGCGTCACTGTGTTCCACCAGCCGTGAGCAGTGTGCTTTCAGGCTGCTTGAGGATTTTATTCACAGCAAACCATGGATGATGAACAACTTTCCGGCTCAGTGTCTGCATCCCCGAGAGGGATCATTTTCTGGGAGTCGGCTCCTCAGCGGGGAATTTTTGAGGCACAGGTGTAAACTCAGGGTGCAGCAAGAAGCCTGATTCAGGGACTCTCCTTCAGGTGACGTTGAGACAGCCGTGAAGTTTGCCGGACGGCTTCTGGAGCTGGGGGCGGATGTCAGCTTGCGGAGCCGCTGGACCGACATGAACGCCTTGCACTACGCTGCGTATTTTGACGTCCCCGAGCTGATCAGAGTGGTGCTGAAGGCGTCGGGCCCGAAAGGCAAGTACTTCTCAGAACGCCGTGCCAGGCCAGGCCTCAGCCGCGCCGGCCGCCGCGTGCAAACCCAGGTCCCAGGGGGCTCTTCCTTCCGGTCCATCTTGTTTCGTGTGTCTTCCCGCCCCGTTTTACGTCTGAGACAGTTTAAACTTTTCTTTATTGGAGAGGAATTACTGTCCTTTCCCAAAAGGCTTAGTACAAAGATAACAAAAAGACGAAAGGGTTCTCGGAGTTCGCAGGTCTCTGCAGTCCTCCGGCATTCACACGGCTCTTACGTGTCCCTGATTGTGGGAGCGTCGTAGTTCTCTGGGCTTGCTGGGTAGCCAGGAGCAGGGCGGTGCAGCCTCGAGAGCTGGGCGGGGAAGCGCCGCAGAGGACTTTGTTTCTGGAATTCCGCGGTTCCACTTGCAGGATGAGCTGGCAGGTGGAGGTGGGGTGGTTTTCCCCCATCTCAACGGGGGCAGCCTAAAGGTGAAGCTCAAAACGTCGGAAGCGCCAGCCTGGTGTTTGGACTTTCTCTGTAGTTCCTTTCTTGAGGGTCGGTTTTCTTTTGAGAAAAATGTGAGAACAAGGGAGTAGTACTGCTTTCAGTTAAGATGGTGTGGTGTTTCCTCCACTGTGGGAGACACGTTGTAGAGTCAGTGGATAATTTCCCAGAGTGCTCACTCCTAACCTCTGATTTTCTTGTTTGTCCACTTGCTCCTTTAAATCCCACCTTTTCCCTTTCTGAGTGATGTTGGGAAGGAAGCTTCTGTTGATGGTACCAGGTTTTTAATAATTCAAGACAGTTTGCTCTGAGTGTGTCTGGGTTGTTTCCAGTTCTCGGTATGGTGTGTGTGTGTGGTGTGTAGGTGTGAGTAGGGTGTGTGTGTGTGAATGTGTATGAGTGTGGTGTGTGTGTGTGAATGTGTGTGTGAGTGTGGTGTGTGTGTGTGAATGTGTGTGTGTGAGTGTGGTGTGTGTGTGTGAATGTGGTGTGTGAGTGTGTGTGAGTGTGGTGTGTGAGTGTGGTATGTGTGTGTATGAATGTGTGTATGAGTATGGTGTGTGTGTGGTGTGTGTGAGTGTGGTATATGTGTGTGAATGTGGGGTGTGTGAGTGTGGTATGTGTGTGTGTGAGTGTGGTGTGTGTGATGGTATGTGTGTGAATGTGGTGTGTATGTGAGTGTGGTATGTGTGTGTGTGAATGTGGTGTAAGTGTGGTGTGTGTGTGTGTGTATGATTGTGGTGTATATGTGTGTATGTGGTGTGTGTGTGAGTGTGGTATGTATATGAATGTGTGTGTGAGTGTGGTATGTGTGTGTGAATGTGGTGTGTGAGTGTGGTGTGTGTGTGAGTGTGGTGTGTGTGTGGTGTGTATGTGTGGTAGGTGAGAACGGTGTGTGTGAATGTGTGTGTGTGGTATGTGTGTGAATGTGTGAGTGTGGTATATGTATGTGAATGTGGGGTGTGTGAGTGTGGTATGTGTGTGTGAATGTTTGTGGTGTGTGTGAGTGTGGTGTGTGTGTGTGAATGTGGTGTAAGTGTGTGTGTGAGTGTGTATGTGTATGGTGTGTGTGAGTGTGGTATGTGTATGAATGTGTGTGAGTGTGGTATGTGTGTGAGTGTGGTGTGTGTGAGTGTGGTGTGTGTGTGAGATGGTATGCGTGTGTGAACGTGTGTGTGGTGTGTGTGAGTGTGGTATGTGTGTGTGTGAGTGTGGTATGTGTGTGAATGTGGGGTATGTGTGAGTGTGTGTGTGGTGTGTGTAAATGTGTGTTAGTGTGGTGTATGTGTGGTGTAGTGTGTGTGTGTGGTGTAGTGTGTGAGTGTGGTGTGTGTGTGAGTGTTGTATGTGTGAATGGTGTGTGTGTGAGTGGTGTGTGTGGGGGAGTGTGGTGTGTGTGAATGTGTGTGAGTGTGGTATGTGTGTGTGAATGTGGTGTGTGTGCGTGAATGTGTGTGTGTGGTATGTGTATGAATGTGTGTGTGAATGTGGTGTGTGTGCGTGAATGTGTGTGTGTGGTATGTGTATGAATGTGTGTGTGAATGTGGTGTGTGTGTGGGTATGAGTGTGGTGTGTGTGGGTGTGAGTGTGGTATGTGTGTGTGGTGTATGTATGTGTGTATGGTGTCCTTTAGGGAAAAGTCAGGTTTGTGAAATCAGAGGAATAGTAAACACTTGTTACAGAAAACATTCAAAATGGGATTTCCAGATCTGGGGGATTTCCTGTGTTTAAGTATGACATGATAATGACTTATTGAAAGTTATTAAAGTATCCTTAGAAAATTGCAAAAGATCCCTTTTCTCACCGTGGAGTCCAGATTCGTTGAGTAGAATCTCTTTATCTGTCTGTTGATAGATAGTGTTTATATGTCTAATTAATCTTCATCTGGTTTGGATGTTCTGATTTACCAACCAGAGACTGTCAGCCTTTCTCTGCACAAGACCAGATAGTAGATATTTAGAGGTTTTGACTATTGATCAATTTTGTAACTTCTCAGTCCCCTCAAGGTAGCATTAACTAGCCATAGAGGGTGTCAGTGAATGGCTGTGCCTGTGTCCTGAGAACACTTTCCAGAAACAGACTGGGTCACAGTGTGCTGATCTCTGGCCTCAACCCCACTGCTCACCATAGATGGCATGGCAAGTGTGTCACATATGCAAGAGATTCAACGAGGTTCTGGTGAGCCGGTTATTGCAAATATAAATTATTGCCATCACTTGCATTTCGTGTGGCTTTGTTTGTGATAGTGGAAAAGCCATGGTATCACTCCATTTTACAAAGAATTTTGTTGTATTATGAATATAGATTGATTCTTTTTAACAGGGTTAAAAATCTAAGGATTTTGTCTTACTGTGAAATAGTGCTGCTGGTGGGTTGATTTATGTCTTACCCATGGCTAAAAATAAATCCCTTCTCTCCCTCCCAAAAAACCCCTTGTCTCCTTTTAAATTATAAGGGTTAAATTTAAACTTTTAGTTGACATTCTTGTGATGTTTATTGCAGATGTGGATGCCACTTGCAGTGACTTTGATTTTGGAACGGCTCTGCATATTGCCGCATATAATTTGTGTGCAGGTGCTGTAAGATGCTTATTGGAGCACGGAGCAAATCCCGCATTTAGGGTAAGAGGTTTCATTAAGACTGCAAAATATTGAAAAGTCTTTCTCCTGGTAGAGAGCTGGCCTTGGATATTGTTGCCACGTCGGGTCAGCAGCGGTAGCCGTTGGACCACGCTTTGATAGCCCCTACTTCAAAAGAAAATGGAATGCCACAGCTAATCACGAAAAGCCTGCTTATGTTTTCATCGTTGTTGTTGTTTTTATTATGATTACTCTTTTTTAGGTTCCTTAATAGAAGTTTTGGTTTCTGAATTTTAGGAGATTAACAGAAACTGGCTCTAAAACCTGAGGACATAACACGAGCCTGAAGTCAAATACCATTTGCAGATACAGCTTGCAGCTTATCCGAGCAGGTTTAAAAGAATTTTTTAAGAAAATGTTTCCCTTATCTCTATTCTCTAGAGAATATGCATTAGTGCTGTATGTTTGTTTATTATATTTTGCATTTTTTCTTTGAAATATGGAATTAAAATAGTCCACCATCACTCCCGAAACCTGATTACTTGTCTTCCTACCATGTTGCCTTGTCACGGGATGAGTTGCAGCAGGCTCTGTCTCCATCACGGTGACGCAGGGCTGACTTCCTAACCGCAGCCCCAGAGGCGGACGTAGTGGAATTCGAGTTTGTGTTTCAGAAATCGGAGCCACTCCCGGAGTGGCCAGAGGGGCCGAGGCCCCGGCAACCGAGGCGGCAGCTGTGGGGTGCTTGGGTCTGGGGTGGGGAAGCGAGTCGGCCCCTCGTCTTCTGTTTCTGCTCTGCACCGGTGTAGCCAGGTGGCTCCCAGCCAGTGCCCGGCCCGGCCCTTCCTGCCTCAAGGCTGCCCTCCTGTCAGTGCGTGAGCCGTGTTGTCAGGAGCCCTCCCTGTGCCCGGGCTTTCCGCTTTCTTCCTGTGAAAGCTTCGGCACGCAGCACGCGTCTGGCGTGGAGGACGCGTCGAGTAACTGTTTTCAAGTGGCTGGATGCTGGGTGACTTTCACCAGTGATTTTTGTGTCCCTGCCCCATGTTTCCTCTTCATTCGCAGAATGACAAAGGACAGATGGCCGCCGATGTTGTCCCGGACCCAGTGGACATGCCCCTGGAGATGGCCGATGCGGCGGCCACTGCCAAGGAGATCCGGCAGATGCTCTTGGCGGCGGCGCCGCTGTCCTGTAGCGTCCCCAAGGCCCTGCTTCCCAATGGTGCCGCCGCCCCTGGCAAGGCGATGCTCACGTCACTCGGCCTGAAGTTGGGGGATCGTGTGGTCATCGCAGGACAGAAGGTACTGGAGTAGCCACGGCCTATGTCCGAGGGGTACTGGAAGCACGGTCAGAGTCTTGAGTGCTTTTTTCTTTCTTTATCTTAAAAGCTTAACAAGCAGGTGGAAAGTTGCTCAACAGGAAACGTGACGTTTTGACGTGAGTTTATTATAAAGTACAGTTTGAGAGTATAAACTCTGAACGTGGAGGAGAGGAGCAGGTGGCGCGAGTTCCTGGCATGGGGCTGAGAACGTGGCCAGGCTGGGGGGTTCCCCCAGGGCAGGGCCCCCACATGGCCAGGGCTGGACACGGTCGTGGGGTCGTGGCTTCGAGAGCCTCGGGTAGTGTAGAGACCGGGTGTTGGAGATGTGGGTGGAGGAGGGGGCTCCTGGCACGCCCCCTGTGTCCCACCCTGCCACACACACCTCGTGCAAGGCTTCAGTTTCCACGTGCGGTTCCCTTGCAGCCACTTTGCTCCTCTTAACGCCTCATGTGGGCTTTTGTCTCTGTTCTTACTGCCGAGGGTAACAGGCGGCCCGGAGCAGAGCAGGGGGCTCTTGCTTGGATGTTGAATTTCCCTGTGTGGTTGTGTCTCGATAGTTGGGTGAGTTTGTGGGGAAGTTGATGAGATTTGTCAGGAAACACTGAGATCTAGAGCAGCGATTGACTGAGAAAATGGCTTCCTAAAGGAAACAGAGCTAAAAGCAAGCGTGCTCACAATGCATTCCTAGGACGTTTGTGAGTTCTCCATTCTCTGTCTGTGGAGTTAAAATACCAAGAAATTATAAATGTTCCCCCCAACCCTTTTCTTTAAATTTAGGATTAGCAGTTGACTTCTGTAGTTTTCCTGTACTGTGTCTAAGATAGGACTTTTAAGAGTTATTTTGTTGTTTTTATTTTATTTTGTATTTTGAGTAATTTTAGCTAAATACAAGTAGTAGAAACATATATAATGAATATGCATAAACGAATCAACTAGGTTTAACTTTATCAATTTACAACCAATCTTGTTTCCTTTGTATTTGCTCTCAGTCTGTTGCTTGTCTTTTAATTCTCTCTCTCTCTCTCTCTCTTTTTTTTTTTGGACGGGCAGAGAGAGAGAGGGAGACAAAGAGAAAGGTCTTCCTTCCATTGGTGCACCCCTCAAATGGCTGCTAGGGCCGGCGCGCTGTGCCGATCCAAAGCCAGGAGCCAGGTGCTTCCTCCTGGTCTCCCATGCAGGTACAGGGCCCAAGCACTTGGGCCATCCTCCACTGCCTTCCCGGGCCACAGCGGAGAGCTGGACTGGAAGAGGAGCAACCGGGACAGAATCTGGCGCCCCAACTGGGACTAGAACCCGGGGTGTCAGCGCCGTAGGCAGAGGGTTAGCCTAGTGAGCCGCAGCGCCGGCCATAATTCTCTTAAAAGTATTTTTTTAAAGTGTATAAATTTTAAATTTTGGTGAAGTCCAATTTATCAACATTTTTCTTCTATGGATTATGTATTTAGTTCATATCTAAGAAATATCCTTGTTTAATGTTTAGATTTACATTTAATTCCCACTTACTTTTGAGTAGTTTATGCATAGAGTATTAGATGGAGATTGAGGGTTTTTATTTTGCATGTGGTCCTCTATTTTTCAACACCATTCTTTGAAAAGACTATTTGTTTTCCATTGAATGGCCCTTGTACCTTTTTCAAAATTCAGTAAGCCAGGTGTGTGTCAGTCTATTTCTGTATTCTGTCTTGCTCCATTGATTTTATGACTATCATTTCTTCAGCACTGCCATAATTTCTGTTGCTTTGTAGTTAAGTCTTAAAGAGCGTTAGGCCTGTAGTTTTCTTTTTCAAAAATTGTTTTGACTATTCTAGTTCCTTTGCCTTTCCTTGCGTGTTTAAAAATCAGTCTGTATATTTTCATACAAAACCCTACTGGGATTCTGACTTGTGCTGGGTTGAATCTGTGGACAGGTTGGGGAGAATTGCTGTCCTAAAAGTACCAGGTGTTTTGAATCACAAACATAGTATGTCTCTACACTTCTTCGGCTTATTTCACCAGGATCTTGTGGTTTTACACATACAGATATTGCACATGCTATGTTAGATTTACACCTACAATTCTCACGACTTTTGGGGGTCCGAGTAAATGGTGATGTTGATATGTCAATTTCCAGTTGTTCATTGCTAGTATATAGAAATATGGCTGATCTTTTTATATTGATCATGTGCCCTGAAACCTTGATAGATTTATTAGTCTGTTGGCTTTTTTCTTTTGTGCACTCACTGGGGTATCCTGTGTAAACTCTCATGGTCTGTGAAGTGAGGCAGTTTTAAATCTTTCTTTTCAATCTCTATGTGCTTTATGCATTTTTCTTGCCTTATTTCATTATCTTCAGCATGACACTGAATATGAGACCCAAGAGCTGAAGTGCTGGCCTGGTACCCATCCTCATGACTGATATTTGTGAGCTGTAGGTTTTGTACAGATGTCCTCGATCAAGTCGAGGACGTCCCCAACTAGTTCTTCTTATTTTTTAAAGATTTATTTATTTATTCGAAAGTCAGAGTTACACAGAGAGAGGAGAGGCAGAGAGAGAGAGAGAGAGAGAGAGAGAAAGAGAGAGAGAAAGAGAGAAAGAAAGAGAGAAAGGTCTTCTATCCGCTGGTTCACTCCTCAATTGGCCACAATGGACAGAGCTGTGCCAATCTGAAGCCAGGGGCCAGGAGCTTCCTCCTGGTCTCCCATGCGGGTGCTGGGGCCCAAGGACCAGGACCATCTTCTACTGCTTCCCCAGGCCATAGCAGAGAGCTGGATGGGATGTAGGGCAGCCGGGACTCAAACTGGTGCCCATATGGGATGCCGGTGCTTCAGACCAGAGGTTTAACCCACTGCGCCACAGTGCCGGCCCCCCAACTAGTTCTGGTTTGCTGAGAGTAATTTAAAAAATTATCGTGGGATCCATCACTGCAGCTCTGTGTCTCCCTCTCTCTCTGTAACTCTGCCTTTCAGATGAAATAAATACAAGATGTATTTATGCAAAAAAAGAAAGAATGTTAGAATTGCTAGAGACTTTAGTGAGTCCTTCCCCCCTTCAGTCTGTTGATAGGGCAAATCGCATCTAGCCTCGCAGTCCCATTTTAAACCTCACTTGGACGTGTTGTGTTATCCTTTCTATGTGTTGCTGGCTTTGACTTGCTGTGTTTTGTGAAGACTTGTGTCTGTATTCGTGAGTGATAACTGGTCTTTAGCTTTCTTTTTTTTTATAATGTCTTTGGTGTTGGTATCAAGGTGATACTGATTTCATAAAATAAGTTGGGAATCAGTCTCTCCGCTTTTATGTTCTAGAGGAGTTTGTATAGAATTGATACAATTTTTCCCTTAAATTCCTTGATAGACTTCACTGGTGAAGGCATCTGGGCCTGGAGTTTTAGTTTTTGAGATTTTTTAATATTCAATTCAGCTGTGAGCTTTGACAGTTTGATCTTTGAAGGAATTGGAATACTTCATCCCATTTGTCAAATTTATGCAGAGAATTTTTCATAGTATTTTATTTTAAAAATATTTGAGAGGGAGCGAGGGTGAGGGTGAGGGTGAGAGGGGGAGAGAGAGAGAGAGAGAAGAGGGAAGCACGTGAGTGTTCCTGTCTACTGGATCACTTCCCAAATGCCTGCAACAGTTGGTGCTGGGATGGGGCTGAAGCCGGCAGCTGGGAGCACAGTCCAGGTCTCCTTTGTGGGTGGCAGGAGCCCAGTGACTTGAGCCATCACTGATACCTCCCAGAATCTGCCTTGGCAGGAAGCTGGAGTGAAGAGTCAGAGCTGGGAATTGAACCCAGGCATTCTGATGTTGGAGATGGATGTTTTAGCCCCTAGGCTAAATGCCCACTCCCATTCATAGTGTTTTCTTACTGACTTTTGAAATGACTGAAGTCTACAGTAATGGCCCCCTTTCATTCATGGACGTTAGATTTGTGTCTTCCTTCCTTTAATTTCCTCTGTGGTCTCCAGCTGCAAGTGTATGTATCTTTATTCTGGCGAAAGAATCTCTTTTTGGTTTCATTGCTTTTTCTCCACTCTTCCTGTTTTTCTGTTACAACTTCTTTATTATTTATCTCCTTTTGCTTCACTTTCTAGTTTCTATTCCTTTTTTTTTTTTAAAAGATTTATTTACTTATTTAAAAGGCAGAGTTACAGAGAGGCAGAGAGAGAGAGAGAGAGAGACAGACAGACAGACAGTCTTCCATCCACTGGTTCACTCTTCAGATGGTTGCAATGGCAGGAGCTGGGCCGATCCAAAGCCAGGAGCCAGGAGCTTCTTCTTGGTCTCCCACAAGGGCGCAGAGGCCCAAGGACTTGGGCCATCTTCCACTGCTTTCTCGGGCCATAGCAGAGAGCTGGATCAGAAGTGGAGCAGCCGGGACTTGAACTGGCACACACGTGAGATGCTGGCACTGCAGGCAACAGCTTTACCCACTGTTCCATAGGTCCGGCCCAACTTTCTAGTTTCTTAAGGTAGACATTTAGGTCATTGATTTGAGATCTTTTCTAATACAAACATATAATGCTATAAATTTGTCTCTAAACATTTCTTTTTCTGCATCCCACAGATTTTGACACGTTACCATTCTCACTCAGTTGAAAATATTTTCTAATTTCCCTTATGATTTTTTTTCTCTTTCACCCATGGGTTATTTAGAATTGTATTGTTTAATTTCCAATATTTGGGAGCTTTCCATATATTTCTGTTAATAACTTCTAGTTTAATTTTAGTATGATTTTAGTTTAGTATGATTTTTATTGTTTGACGCTTTTATTCTGTGTTGGGTGGAGTGTCACCAGTTGTAGAATGGCTAACACTCTATTAATGGCAGGTCAAGTGGGTTTCTGATGGTTTCAGTTTTTCTATATCCTCACTGATTTTCTGTCTCCTTGGTCTGTCAGTTACTGAGAGAAGCTGTATTTAAATCTCCACTGTAATCTATGGATTTGTTTATTCTCCTTTCACTTCTATGGGTTTTCCTCCATGTGTTTTGAGGCTCACTTGTTGAGTGCATACACATTTAGGATCCTTTTGTCTTCTTGATGAATTGTTCCTTTATCATTATCTAACGTCCCTTTTTATTCTTGCTAATGTTCCTCCTTCTGATGTCTACTTTGGGAGAATAGTTTTTTTTTTTTTTTTTAAACTTCTATGGTAAAGTTGTAAGAATAGGACACTTGGAATTACTAATAATCTAAAAAGCTATTCTGATATGTTTTCTTTAGGTTGGGACATTAAGATTTTGTGGAAAAACTGAGTTTGCAAGTGGGCAGTGGGCAGGCATTGAATTGGATGAACCAGAAGGAAAAAACAATGGAAGTGTTGGAAAAGTCCAGTACTTTAAATGTGCCCCCAAATATGGTAAGGCGGCTACTTTTTGACTTAACAAGAATTCATTGAAAATAACCACATTGTACTCTGTTTATGGTTCTTAAAATAAAACTTTTCTCCTGGTTGCTTATGTGATCAATGAGGGTATATGGATTTAGGGAGGGCGTTTTACAGACAGGAAGTGTTATGGCGTGTTTCTCTGTGCTGCTGAGAGTGATGAGAGAGGGAGAGAGGAGAGGGAGAGAGAGGGAGAGAGAGAGGGAGGGAGAGAGGGAGTGAGGGCGGGCGGGCATGGAACTCTGCGTCCAGGCTAGCCTTGGTTAGGGCTCACCCCACCATAAGGAGAGACTTGATGGGGAGGTGTGCAATTTCCTTTTGATGGTTTGTATTTTCTCAGCAGCTAAAAGTGAGGTCCTGAGGATGCCAGCCGACATTAGGGGAGGGAAGGGTGGTTGGGGGTTTGGGGAGAAAGCAGGTGTGAGGTGCTCTGTGAGGGCAGTGTGAACAGAACATGGCCAGCTCAGAAGGCGGTGGGAGAGGGGCCAGTGATGACGACAGCGGGGACGGATGTCTGGTCAGTGAAGCCCTCCCTCGCTGTGGGCTGCCCGAGGTCCTTGCCGTGAGCAGGATGGTGACTGGGAGAAGGTGTCTGTCCGCCGCCCTCAGCCACGGTAGCTCCAGAGGCAGAGACTTTGCCTCCACAGAAACGCTGAGCTCTGGACGTTGCACAGAAGTTGACAAATCCTGAGTGAGGCCACCTTCGTGACTGGGGCAATGCTTTCACTTTCTCGCAGACGCCTGTCTAGTGGAACTCATTCTCACACGTGCGTGCGCGTGCTGCACGCAGCACACCCTGATATATGCATCCAGGCTGCCTTTGTCCCTTACTCTGCTGTGTTCCCGGGGGATGAAAAGTCTCCTGGAGCCATCCTTTCCCTGGTTGCACATCTTCCAGCCTGGAGGGCAGCAGTGAGGGGAAGGGTGTGAGCCTTGCTCTGACTGCTCGGGCAGAAGCACCTTGCCAACCCCCAGCTATGGGACCCACACTTTTAAAAAGCTGGGGGCCAGGAACCCCATCCAGGATTCCCGCATGGGTGGCAGGGACCCAGCCACGCGAGCCATCAGCTGCTGCCTCCCAGGGTGCGTGTTAGGAAGAAGCTGGCATTGGGAATGGAGCTGGGACTCGAACCCAGGCACTTGGATGTGGGATGCAGGTGCCCCAAACTGTGCCCACCCCTCGCCCAGTGCTCTGAAGGTGACAGGCTGACAGGCTGTTGCCTGCCCCAGAGTTTGGCGAAGCTGCCCTGGGAAGGGCCTGAGAGGGACCGTGTTAGGCTTGGGGAGCTCTGAGTCTGTGCGGTGCCCACCCCACTGGGCGCAGTGGTGCTGAGCAGCCACAGGGCGTGTGCGTGCGAGCGGTGGGAAGCGTCTCTCGGCACTGCCACCTTGTTGGTCTTCCCAGCGTTGCTAACTCAGAGCTTCCGTCTTTTCCCCTCCTTGAAAGCTTTTAGCATTTTTCTTCTTTTTTATTACTGTTTTTTTTTTTCTTTAGAGCATATACCATTTTTATTGCTTCTTTCAGTGACATTCTGGGGAGAATTGGAGTGGAACCCGTATGTTAAAATGGGCCCTGTTTATCTGGAAAGTCATTGCTCTCTTAAAAGTAATTCATCTTTGTGTATTTATTTTTAGTTAAGGCATACAGGTGTTTGTTAGGATCTGAGAAAAGTGCTGTCAGCTCTTGGATTAGCACAAATAATGGAGCAGCCAGGTGCCCTGCGCACCACCCAGTCTTAAACAGATACAGCCGATACATTGGGTCACGGGGGAATTTTCTGGATAGATCTTGCAATAAATACCACCCTCCCCCTCAGATTAGGAAAAAAATATATTGTTGAACATCATTGTTCATTAATGACCAAAGTCAAGCAAAATCATAGTCTGGCCATCCTCAGAAAATGTGGTTTTCAGTTTTTGAGCATGTCTCCATATGTCACACGTACCATTTTCCACAGATGTAACAATGCCCTCCCATGTCTAACTGAAGTTTTATTTTCTAGATTGACTTTCCACGCCTTTCTATATTGCTCTGTAACCTTTATTGCTTTGCTCATCAATAGTGGTACAGTAGTTCATAGATGCCGATAACTCACCCATCCGCTGCTGCGCTCTGATGTTTTCTTCACACGTAGGAGCAGGGTGGCACTGGTGCCACGTTCAGGTGTGCCACCTTCTCCTTCCGCTTGGATCGTTTTCTGATCATTTGTTTCCAGAAGTATGACAGTGGCATAGTAGTGAGATAGAAATGGGGACATTCTGATAAATCAGAAATTGCTTTGGCTCTTGAAATCTATCTTAAAATCAATTGGAAACTTACAAGCTTTGTGTGTACCTCTCGGCATAATTCTTTCCTTATAATTAATTGATTGCATAAAGGGGATTGGGTGAGGAGTTCCGTGTTGCAGAAAGGCTATGCAAATTTATGTTCCCAGAATATAAAATAATCTCTCTCTTCAAACCTGCAATAGCAGGCATCATCGCTGTCACCTCACCAGCACTGCCATCACGCTGGAGAGAGAGAGAGAGAGAGACAGAGACAGACAGAGACAGACAGAGACTGAGAATGTCCAAAGAATTTAGGGAAAACAATAGAAAGTCAAGGAGAGCCTCCTAGGGAGGAGCCAGGAGAGAAAAGAACATTGCAAATAAGTCAGATAGCAGAGGGAGGAGAATGGGGCCAAAGTCGGGAGGGAAGCACCCCTGGATGAGCAGGAAGATGCTGTAGCCAGTATGTTTCAGCTTTAACGAAGCGCTCCCTTTTGATGGAGCCTGCTCTGAAGCAAGCTGTTTTTAACATGTTAAGCTTTGGCCGTGACGTGTGCGTGCTGTTTGTATACACTCAGTGCAGGAGTGTGGTAGCAGGGCACTTCAAGACATCCGTGGAAAAATGGAATGAACAGAGAGTGTACATTTTCCATCAGTTTTTGGGAGACTCCTTGTTTGCTTATTAGCGCTTCATTTTCTGTTTTTAGATGTCTTAGCCAGACAGACTTGGTGTTTACAGTGCACACTTACTCTCTGTAATGTCTGTCTGTCCTAATGGATATTGCATGTTCTGCCGCCTGGATAAGTTCTTTTTCTGTGGAACCGTGTCCTCCCAGCTGCCGTGGGCGACCACCTCCCTCTGTCCCAGCCTCTCCTCCCAGCATGCACTGTGTTGCTTCTAATCCTCGGGCACTGAGGGTGAGGCCCTTTGGAAGTGTTAGATTTTGTGGTCACAGAGCTTGCTGTGTCTCTGTGTCGTATAAGGTGCTGTGTTAGAGTGGCAGAGGACAGTGATGGTGGTGCTTGCATTCTGCCTCTGAAAGGCATGCGGTCTGGAAGGGAGAGAGAAGACACGATATAGAAAGCTATAGCATGGGGGAAAATCCAAGTCCTGAAGGAGACATAAAGTGATGCAGAAGACTGGGCTTTTAACTGTGTGGGACATTGCTGTTTGCCAGTAGCTTGGAAAGAATAGAGAACTGTTACCTTGTATCTTTCCTGTGGTTCTTGGACTATTACCTGTGTTGTTACATTGACAGCTAGATTGTAAGCTCTGTGAAGGCAAGCACAGGAGACACTAGAACAAAAGAACTTGAAGATTTATATATCACAAAGCGACTGTACTTGCCCTTTTATTTGAAATGCTTTCGTTGTCCAGCACTAACTTAAATTCTGTGTTCCCCCTTAGGTATCTTTGCACCTCTTTCAAAGATAAGTAAAGCGAAAGATCGAAGGAAGAATGTAGTACATGGTCCTTCCACCAAAGCCATCCCTCTCATCCGGTCCCAGAAGATTGAAGTCGCTCACATCACGTCCAAAGTGAATACTGGTGGGTCACCCCCCAGGGTTCCCCGTCTTCTTTGGGGTCTCTGCTTGCTTTGGTGGCATTTCCAACACAGGGATTGCCTTATTCTTCCTTCCCCTGACCTGTGTGAGACCTGAGTGTACGCAGGCGCTTGCGTCTCGTGTTCTAAACTTCTGTGTTGGTGACCGGCCTGTCTGTGACAAGGGTCGTTTCAGGGAACTTGTCCCTTCCCGTTCTCCCCTCCTGTCTCTGCGTCTTTATCACCCCACAGTCCGACCTTACAGCTGGTTCTGTGTCTCCAGTAAATCTTGTGAAGTGCAGCCAGCTTCCTTCATTCGAGGACGTTTGGTGACTTTTCCTTTTCTAATCAGACGAAGTCCTGCCTGCCATCACCGGCAGTCACAGGCCTTCCTTTGATGCAGTCACCTCCTGCCTCCACCACTAAACTGTGGGTCTGAGTGTGGCGCCCCGTGTTTGCCTCCGCTGTTCTCTCTCCTCCCTCCACACTTTGTCTCGTGGCCTTTCTCTGGGCGCAGAATTCGACTTGTGCCTCTGGTGGCGCTGCCACTCTGTGCTGGGATCCTGTCTCTTCCCGAACGCGCCCCTGATTATCCCGGCTCATTTTAATTTCTTCACTCTCTAACTCTCTGTACATTTTTTTAAAAAAAAATCCATGCCACTCAGTTGTTATCTTGGGCTTTGTCCTCGGCTTTACTTGTGCAAATCTTTCATTCTCTCAGCAAACTTTTAAACTTTACATGGGCCGTGAGAATGTTTTCTGCTTTGGAACTCTAGCACATAGCACAAAACAGATTCTCAACAAATACTCATTAACTCATCAATAATTGAAGCAGACAGGCCTCTGGCACAATGAAAGGATCATGTCCAAAAGTTGGTTGGCGTTTCTCTTCTGTTCCTGTGGGCTGCTTGAATATCCATGTATCAACTTTGCAGTCCATAATTTCTACAGATTAAAAAAAAATAAATCTTGCTATCAAGGAAAACTTCCTGCCTCATTCATGAAAATTGTCTTGCCTGCTCCTCAGCCTGGATAAATCACACTCCCATATAAATTTTAGAATAAGCTGTTAAGTGTCTTTCTAAAAACTTTGTCGAGGTTTTAATTGGCACTGCGTTTAAACCTTAAATCATTCTGGAAAGAACTGACATCTTTATCATAGTCAGTCTTTTAATTATGAACTTTACATAGCTTTCGTTTAATTCGATCCTTCAAAAATGTCTCAAGACAGCGTGATTTTTTCTAGAGGTATTTACAGCAGTGCCTGTGTGGTTAGGTCTCTCTCCAGGTGCAGTGTTGCTTTGATCCTTTTAACCTGGAGCCTGGGTGTGCACAGTGGGTTTGGACAGAAAGCTCCCCCAAGAAGCTCTCTGTTTCTGGTCTGAGGAGTGGGAGAAGGGCCTCTCATGAGAGACCACCAGGAGGGAACCATGGTTTCTGTCTTGCCTGCCCCCTCCCCACCCCCAGCTGCTAGGCAGTCCTGTTGCTGCAACAGCAGCAGAGGGGGGCAGGCACCTCAAACCCTGAGTTTGGGGAACTCTTGTCCCTGGGCAGAGAGTATGGGCACATGGGTGGAGTCCCTGGTAGATTTCCTTCTGTGTTCTCACTGCGCGGCCCCCGGGGGTTGAGTGCCAGAGCAGGGAAGCTAAAGCCCCCAGGTTCTACTTGGAACTCCGAGAAGGGGCGTCTTCTCCCTGATGAATGTCTCAGCAGATCACCAAGCAGGGAGGGGGCTCAAGAAAGGGACCCCCTGGCCATGTACTTCCAGACCATGCTGTCGCAGGAGTGTGCTGAACCGGAACTGTCGGTCCCACTCCGCCCCCTCAGCACAGCAGAGGGCTCTAATCTGGCTCTGTGGCCCTGTGGTGTCACCATCACCTGTCTGTGTCGTTTGACCCCCCTACCCCCCATTCCCAGGGACCCTGTTCCAGGGAAGCCACTCCTCGCTGTTCTCTGCATCCCCGTTTAGGGCTCTCTTTGATCCACCCAGAATCCCCACCCTCTCCTGTTCCCTGGAAGACCCGTGCGCCACCCTGAGGATCCAGCCCAGAGTGCCATCTTGATCTGTCTTGTCGCCATTGCCACCTTGTCCTACTATGCTTGAGCTCCCTGTGTGCCTGTGATTCTAAACTGAAAAGGCCTGCCGCTGGGGCACACGTTAAGTCTTGTTCATGCTCAGTGCGTCACGCACAATTCTTTACCCAAAATGCTTTGTAAGTGAGTGGGATTGGAATGGGTGGCCAGTGGGGTTTATAAGTGGCTGTAGTCCACTACAGTTCTCACATAGCTAATGTAGTTTTGTACAACCGAAAGTAGAAGTCTTAGGAAGGCTGACAATGGTTCAAAACCTTTTTCTTTTTTTTCTTTTCCTTGTGATTTTTGTGGGAGTTGGGAATGCCCAGAGGGGTGGTCCCACCACTGGCTGTCCCCCTGGCAGACCCTGCAGGACCTCTCACTGCCTGAACTTTCCCTTAAAATGAACAGTAGCTGTGCCAGTAGGCAAACAGTTTTGCTGCGCATTCATTGTCTACATAGAAAATTTGCTGAAATGAGTTGGCGTGCACACACCAGTGCAATAATGTAAATTATTCACAGTTCCTGGCGAGTGTGCGGCAGCTCTATCTCAGCTGTAATAGGGTTTGCCTTACCTGCTGGGATGGTGCAAACACACTCACTAATGAGTGCAATTAGCGAGTGTCAAACAATTAGGCAAGGTGCTTTAAAAGTCTCATATTATTTAGAAATCCTTGGTGGACTGTTACGTAAGTTAAAAATGTGGTGATGTTTGGAGAAATGGAGATTTTCAGATGGGAGCGCATTCCTTTTTTTTTTCCTTTAAGTAAAATGTTGACCCCTGCTGTGAATTTACTATCCAGCATGTTTTCAGAAGTGGGTAAGATTTTGATAATGAGGGATGCATGCACTTAAACATTTTTTTATGTTTAATGTCAAACGAAATTGGCTCTTGGAAAAAGTGTTTTTGCTTCTGTGTCCTAGGACTGATGACATCAAAGAAAGATATTACTTCTGAATCCACACTTTCATTGCCTCCTGGTGAAGAATTGAAAACCGTAATAGAGAAAGATGGTAATACAGTTTATAACATCTGTTTCTCAAAATACGATTCACTGCTAGGACTTTAAAATGAACAGTAGAAAAGCAGCTTACTTGGAGGTTAAATTGGTAGGAGAAACTCATTCTAGTAGCGATTACCTTTGGAAATCCCCTAAGAAGCTGGTAATAGCATGTATACATTCTTTAAAAAAATCTTCTACTTTGCTTTTTTTTTTTTTAAAGATTTTTATTTATTTATTTGAAAGGCAGAATTACAGAGAAGTAGAGAGAGAGAGAGAGAGAAAGAAGTCTTCCATCTGCTGGTTCAATTCCCAGCTGGCTACAACAGCCGAAGCTGCACCCATCTGAAGCCAGGAGCCAGGAGCTTCCTCCGGGTCTCCCACGTGGGTGCAGGGGCCCAAGGGCTTGGCCATCTTCTACTGCTTTCCCAGGCCATAGCAGAGAGCTGGATCGGAAGTGGACCAGCCAGGTCTCAAACTGGTGCCCGTGTGGGATGCCAGCACTGCAGGTGGCGGCTCCACCCGCCACACCACAGCGCTAGCCCTTGCCCCTACTTTGATTCTTAAGTACATGTCAGAACTACTGGGCTAGATGAAAAGAAGGAATAAAAGAAAATTCTGTAGTCCAGATGCCTTGGCGAAAATATGCAGGCTGCCTTTAGCTGTCAGGTTGTTAGGTGAACCAAACATGACTGTTCTTGTTTGCCTTAAGTTTATCCACAAGCATTTTTTTTAAAGATTTTATTTATTTATTTGAGAGGTAGAGTTACAGACAGTGAGAGGGAGAGACAGAGAGAGGTCTTCCTCCCACTGGTTCACTCCCCAGATGGCCGCAACTGCCGGAGCTGCGCCGATCCGAAGCCAGGAGCCAGGTGCTTTTTCCCGATCTCCTATGCGGGTGCAGGGGTCCAAGCACTTGGGCCATCCTCTACTGCTTTCCCAGGCCACAGCAGAGAGCTGGATTGGAAGAGGAGCAGCCGGGACTAGAACTGATTCCCATATGGGATGCCGGCACCACAGGTGGAGGATTAACCTACTGTGCCATGGCACGTATCCCGCAAGCATTTTAATACTAAAGTTTTGTTACCTTAGGACCTAGCAATAGCAAGTGTTTTGGTTTCTGTCTGAATCAGATGGGACTCTACTGTCCCATCTGCAGTGGGAGGTGAGTGATTGGTGGTGAGATTAGAAGTCAGCTTACGTGGTTTGCCGTGGCAGCACCTCCTGTATGAGATCCCGACCTTGGAGTGCCATTGCCTGTGTTGTAAAATCGTGCACGTGGAAGCTACGTTGCATTTGGGCGAGCTCAGGCATTTAACCTGGCACGAAGATAATCCACAGCCACGGAAGCCGAGTGGAGCGTTCCGGGAGGGCTTGCCTGGAACCGCCCCGTACTGTGCACCGGCTCTTTTCCGTGCTCTGATGCGTCCTTTCTCCTCGCCCGTGGCAGGTCCCACGCTCGGATCCGCCAGCAGCTCCTCCTCCACTTCTTCTCTGGAGCACAAACAGAGCAACGCCAAGAAACTGAGTGCCAGCGGCAGCACCAAGAAGACAATGAGCAAAAGCCCCTCTCTGTCCTCGCGAGCCAGTGCTGGTATCTATGGCTTTTTCAACCTGGCTTTCTTGGTGTTTTTTATCTTGGTTTCTTTGTAAGTAGATTTGCTGTTTTTAAATGTGTAGAAGGAACCCTTTACTGCAGTCAGACTGAGCTGTGTGCTCTCGTCCCCACCTCCCCGGGCCGCGAGCCGGGAGCCAGGGCTCTGCCTGTCGCTCTCGGGTGCAAGGCTCGCCACTGATTGTCCCCAGGCTCACTCTCGGTGGTTTAAGCCCATCTTAACTCCATCTCCTGCACACAAACTTCTTCCCATGCCTTTGTGTCATCTCCATATTTAAAAAGCAGTTTGCTTTCACTCGAGTCATTGTTTAAGGCCACATAGGAGGGCGACCAGTTCCAGGTGGTCGCTGGTGGCCTGCCCGCTGTGGCCCCCACGTCTGTGGTTCCATGGGAGGGTGCACCAAACACTCCCAGGCTTCTGCCGAATCCACACGTGCTCGCTGAGTTATCTGTGGGGTGAACTGACCCAGGAAGGAATGAAGGCATGCAGGCAGAAATGGTTCAGAATAAACCTCATATTAACTGCCAGGTTCTCTTACTCACGTTTCTAATAATTATATGAACCAATATTTTACCATAGAAAATGTTCAGGGCAGGAGTTTTTCCTTTGTCAAAATACTCTTCCAGAAGGCGTGAGGGAAACCCATGCCCTCAGCCACAACAATGATGTAATCAGTGTAAACTTTGGGAACCTAAAAGTAGGAGACCTGGAAATCATGCCTGAAATGGTTGACCTGGGGTATTTAGTCTCTGAACGACCCCCCCCCCCCCACACACCCCAGTTCTCCTTAATGCAGTGAGGAACATGTGTTGGGCAGGTGTAGTGAGGCAGCAAGCCTTTTTTTTTTTACATTTTTAAAAATTGTATTGAAGGTATACAAGTTTCATATATACAGATTTTAGGAACATAGTAGCACTCCCCCCAACCCCTGCCCACAGTCCAATCCTTCCTTCCCCTCCCTCTCAGATTCCCACTCTTAATTTTTACAAAGATCTGTTTTCAGTATACTTAATGATCATATAGTGAGCGCTACTCCCAGTATAAGAGTTCAATAAATAGTATGAAGAGGAAGAACACACTGTTCCTCAATGGAAGAGACAAGGGCTGTAAATAATCATTGAATCTCAAAATGTCCATTTCATTCCAATACATTACATTTCAGGTACTATGTTAGTTGCCTTGGATCAGGGGAAACATGATAGCTGGTTTTTCTAAAAATATTGTTATTTATTTATTGGAAAGGCAGAGTTACAGAGAGGTAGAAAGGCAGAGAGGCAAAAAGAGGGAGGGAGGGAGGGAGGGAGGGAGGTTGGTCTTCTATCCGCTGGTTCACTCCCCAAATGGCCACAATGGCCGGAGCTGAGCTGATCTGAAGCCAGGAGCCAAGAGCTTCCTCCAGGTCTTTCATGCAGGTGTAGGGGCCCAAGAACTTGGGCCATCTTCCACAGCTATCCCAGGCCATTGTAGAGCTAGATCTGAAGTGGAACAGCTGGGACTCAAACTGGCGCCCATATGGGATGCCGGCACTGCAGGTGGCAGCTCTACCCTGCTATGCCACTGTGCTGCCCCCTGATATCTGTCTTTTTGGGATGCAGCAGTCCTTTTTATCCTCATTTTATTTATGTTTTAAGGGCTGCTGTGTTTAACATTTGGACTTTTGACATTGACTTGATTTAAAAAAGTTTATAGGTTGGCATGGGATTATCTTTTTTAAAAATTTTTATGAGAAAGAGTTATGTGTGGCTACATACATCCCCTGTTTTCCTTTTCGTAAACGTGAGGGCTGCGTAGCCATACTAGTTCGGGTGACGAGGGTTCTGGGAACAGGGAGGGCGGAGGATGGGAGGCATTCAGGAGGGAGACCTTGTCTGCAGCGCTAGAGACGTTTCCCCGGGACGTTGTCCTGGAGTGAGTAGACACCCAACCTTCCCCGTAGATGATGCGTTTGAGGACGCTGTGGACGGTGGCTGAGCATCGGGTTAAAGAATTAGAGACAGAGGAAGAAAGTCAGTCTCAGGAGAATGGGAGAGATGGGGAGCACACCTACGTTCAGGGCCTCGGCCCGCTCGGATCCCCCCGGGTGAACTTGCTGTCCGTGCGTGGGCCACTGTCAGCTGGCAGCATGGGAACAGACAGGGAATTTCTGGCCACAGGTTGTGGGTTTCAGTCTTGGTTTGCCACCTGCTAGCTGTGAGCGCAGCACCATAGGAATTCCCGAGTTATTATTTATGAGTCTAATTTTTATGAAAAGCACTTTGTGGGGTGTGAAATGCTGGGAATACCAGTATTAGTGACTCTGGGGGCCGAGGACTTGGCGAGTGGCACCCTCGACCCAGACATCCCTCCGCTGTGGGCTGGGACCCCTTCACTCTTGGCTGTGTAGACCTCGGCAGACAGTTCTGTCAATCCCACGGGGGTCCCGATGGGCCAGGACTCTGGGCCACCTCTTTTCCTGCAGGTGTGCTCGCCTAACAGCTGTCTCAATAGGGTTTCTCTGGGACTTGTGATGTTTACTGTTGGGCATTCCACAGTTTAGTTTGGATCAAGCTGAGTGGGCAGTAATCCTGTTTAATGAGGAAGTCATTTTGGGGTTATTGGCACCTTACAGCAATTTCACCTTGAAATCACAGTCCTGTATGTATCATATACACTAAGTCCAGGGGAACTATAGCTTTGTAGAATTTTACAAGAAAAGGAATTGGGAGGCTATGACCCATGGGCCATAGCTGACCTACCCACCCACTTTTGTCAATAAAGTTTTATTGGCACATGGTTGTGCACATTTTTTAATGTATTGTCTGTGTCCGCTTCATGCTGGTGACAGCAGAGCAGAGTAGCTGTGATCGTTATGGCGTGATTTGCAAAGTCTAAAGTACTTCCTAGCCCTTTACAAAGAGGCCTGCTGGCCCGTCCTAAGTACCAGGAAGTCCTGGAAGAGTCGATGTCCCATGGCAATCATTTCTCGGGGTCCTTCACCTTCCTTGTCACCATCTGGACCTCACGTGAGAGAAACAACTGCAGGTGCATATAAAATAAGTCGCCAAATACCAAAACCTACCTCCAACTAACTACACTAGTTAGAATATGCAGTGAATTTTTTTTTGGGCTAATGTGCTTTTTGAGTCTTTTCCCCTTTCTTTTCTTTCCTCTCTCCCTGCCCCCCACCCCCCACCCCCCGGCCCCCACCTCTGCAGGTTTGAACTCCTCAGCAACATCTGTAGCAAATAGTTCCTGCCGAGAGGGGGAGCTCCAGCTTGGGGACAGAGTGTTGGTCGTAGGCCAGAGAGTCGGTACCGTCCGGTTCTTCGGAACAACGAACTTTGCTCCAGGTAACTCAGCTGTCCGTTCTTTGCTGCATTCGATGCTTCAGAATACAGCGGGGTTGACAGCTTTACGTGTAAAGGAAACCCAATTGTAGAGAGCTCCTGTGCACAGTGGCCGTGGCCCAGGCGCTGTGAAAGGATGGTGGAATGCAGCTGTGTCCCCTCAGGGTGACTCCTGCTGCTCCTGTGCCGCCCGCTGTAAGTTGTCCCGTGTTAGCGCGAGCTGTCACACTGCGCGTCTCCTCTCACTCAGCGCCGGTGAGCTCAGTGACAGAGGACGTCTCAGGACTGGAGTTTTGCCAAGGATAATCTTTAAGACGAGCCGATAATGAGTGAACTCTTTAGATTTCATCAGACCGGTATAGAGAAGAAAAAGCAAAAGGGTTCAGAGGACGGCGAGAAAGCTTCTGTGTGCCCTGGAGCCTTGAAAGTACATCTTTGTGCTTACGTCTTCATGTCCAATCAGCAGTCAGTGCTGTGTTCCCTGAAGTAAAAAGATTATTAACTTTTGCATTTTCGGCGCTTTTCATTTACATTATTTTTAAAAAATTATTTAAAAATTTATTTTCAAGATGAAAGAACAGAAACAGAAAGCAGTCTCTTCTGCTCACTCGCTCACTTGCCACACGCTCACAACAGCTCTAGGAGCCTGGCACTCGGTCTGGCTCTCCCTTGTGGGTGGCAGGGACCCAAGCACTTGAGCCGTCACCTGCTGCCTCCCAGGAAGCTGGAATCGGAGACGGAGCTAGGGCGCCAAGCCGGCTGGGATGCAGGAGTTCCGAGTGGCCTGGACTCCCAGCCCCTGTAATTTTCAGTAGAAGCCAGTTGAATGGAATCTCGCTTGTGTGTTTCTGAAAGCAATATCCTGCTTTAACACTTGGTGGCATTGCAGCGTTATAGGAAGATTAGCTAGAACATTGATTTTTTTTTTTTTAAAGAAAAGTTTGTGTTAATCTGCTGAGAACTACACCAAGGTTTGACTTTACTGATTTTCAAGCCAACAAGGTAGCCAGCCAGCTTCCTAGGTGTTGGTGGAAGACTGTGAGAATCCTGGGGCAGAGATGAAGGGCTCCACAACTCCCAGTAACAGCAGGGACCAGAGTCCCCGCACTGTTCCCTGAGCCCCAGTTCCCAGGCTGAGGCTGCCAGGGCCGGGTGATACCCACACTCCCATTGTTGTTTCTGGAGAGGAGCCTGGGGAAGGAGTCTGCACCAGCACACTGAGCATTTGCTCCTGGGGGAGACTCTCTCCCCCGAGGCTGTCCCCCTACACAATGTCTGTGCAGAGTCTGGAACCAAGGCAGCCAGTGCCTCTGCTCACCAGATGGGCAGAAGCAGGGCGCTGAGGGGCACTCACTCCCAACACATGCTTGTTTCATTACTACCACTTTTTTTTTTGACAGGCAGAGTTAGACAATGAGAGAGAGAGAGACAGAGAGAAAGGTCTTCCTTTTTCCATTGGTTCACCCCCCAATGGCCGCTGTGGCCGGCGCACTGCGGCCGGTGCACTGCGCTGATCCGAAGGCAGGAGCCAGGTGCTTCTCCTGGTCTCCCATGGGGCGCAGGGCCCAAGCACTTGGGCCATTCTCCACTGCCCTCCCTGGCCACAGCAGAGAGCTGGCCTGGAAGAGGGACAACCGGGACAGAATCCGGCGCCCCGACCGGGACTAGAACCCGGTGTGCCGGCGCTGCAAGGTGGAGGATTAGCCCACTGAGCCGCAGCGCCGGCCACCACTTTTTTTTTTTTTTTTTTTAAAGATTTTATTTACTTATTTGAAAGGCAGAGAGAGAGAGAGAGAGAGAGAATGAATGTCTTCCATTTCCATTTACTGGTTCACTCCTCAAATGGCTGCAATAGCTGGGGCTGAGCCAGATTGAAACCAGGACCCAGGAGGTGCCTCCAGATCTCCCACATGGGCAGCAGGGCCCGAGCGTTCGGGCCATCCTCCACTGCTGTCCCGGGCACATTCACAGGGAGTTGAGTCAGAAGTGGAGCAGCCGGGACTCAGAGCAGAGCTCTGATCTGGGCAGTTAGCATTGTGTGCAGTGGCCTCACCTGCTGTCCCATGGTGCCGGCTGCTCACGAATGCCGCTCTTCGTGGTCGGCCAACTAGCCGATTTGAGATGGGTTCTATGTCTTCATCATGCCTGGCTCCGTTAGGTCTCCAGGGAGTAATAGAAATTAGTTACGTTGTGCCCAATGCAGTCACCCAATAAAAGCTTAGGAATTCCACGGCAGGTTGTTTTTCACCGTTACCTGTGTCTCCGAGTTCTCCTTGATTATGTTACTTCGATTCTTTGGATGCAGTTCATTGTTTTGGGTAGACTTTTAATTTTTAAAATTCTTAATGTGAAGCAATTTGAAATTCGGGTAGTAAAAGCCAGTATTAAAAATCTTGGAAACTTTGTTGTTAAAGTCATCCTGCCTATCAGGGAGTTGGGGGGGGGGGTGCCCTGTATTTCTTGTGGCGTCAAAAGTTTAGGTCGGATCAGTGCTTTTGGCAAAACAGCAGCAGACTTTTCTAAGGCCTGGAGCTGAGAGCGAGCCCATTTTTAGCCTCTTCAGGATTTTTATCTGTGCCACCCTCGCAAAGAGAATTGACATTTAAATGGGAAGCTCTCCACATGCACTGCTTCTAGAGAGCGCGCAGTCCCTGCTGCCGAGGCTTGTCTCAATGTATTTCTGCTATAACACGTTTTCCAGTTATATGTAAGCATGCAGCAGTCACGTGGCAAATTAAAGTGGGAAATGCAAAAGCTAAGGAGGAAAGCACAGGAGGCAGAAGGAGTAAAATCTGGCAAATTCCTAGTGTGGGGTTCAGGGAAGTAGTAGTGGCGGCCTGGCTGACTTGGCTCAGGACGCTCAGAAGCGTGCCGGCCCGGTTCTGAGCCTTCGTGTGGCCAGACGTCACGTGTGTAGGCATTTCTTTTCCTTTCTTTTTATTTGAAAGACAGGCCTAGAGAGAGGAAGGGAGGGAAAATGATAGGGAGGAAGAGAGAGATAAAGAGAGCGAGCTTCCATCTGCTGGTTCACTCCCCCATCTGCAACAGCTGGGGCTGGGTCAGGCTGAAACCAGGAGCCCAGAACTTCATCTGGATCTCCCACACGGGTGGCAGGGACCCCGTCACCTGAGCCATCACCTGCTGCCTCCCAGGATCTTATCTGCAGGAAGCTGGATTGGAAGTGGCGTAGCTGGGACTCGAACCGGGCACTCGGATGTGGGATGCAGCTTATTAACTCACTGCACCACCATGCCTGCCCACTCACTTCCCCCTTTAAAAAATTCTAAATTATTTTGCATTTTAATTTATTTGCTTTATTTGAGAAAGAGAAAGAGACCTCCCGTCTGCTGGTTCACTCCCCAGGTGCCTGCAATATCTCTGGCTGGACCAGGCTGAAGCCAGGAACCCAGAACTCCACCTGGATCTCCTACATGGGTGACAGGGACCTGAATACTTGAGCCGTCGCCCGTTACCTCCCAGTACACATGAGCAGGAAGCTGAACTGGCACTGGAACCCCAGGCAGCACAAGTGGCGTCTTAACTGCCGTGCCCCAGGCCCACCCCTAGCCAGTCCTCACGTTGTGTCGCAGGGCCCTGTGAGTGTCAGAGGTTCTGGTCACACAGGGACCTTTTCAACAGCTCGGACCCTGGTCTCTGCAGGTAGACGCGCGTGCGCCATCTCTGTGAGCGTGAGCGAGGAGCAAGCATCAAGCACTTGTAGGCTGACTTAGCAGTCAGCTCTGCACTCGGAAGCTGGAAGAACAGTGCTTTTGTGTTTTGTGATTTGCCATGTGCGTCTTGATGTATACGTGTTTGTTTTGCACCTGATAACTGATGGTGCGAGATCAAATACCATTCCTGCCGTTCCCCCCTTTTAAATCATAGAGGAGTGGTCTCTCAGCACCCTCAGAGAGGGACAGTCCTCGCTCCAGGGTTGTGTGTCCTTTTTCCTTATATAGGTGGGGACGTATTAAAATCAATTTCCCGGCCGGCGCTGTGGATCACTAGGCTAATCCTCCGCCTTGCGGCGCTGGCACACCGGGTTCTAGTCCCAGTCGGGGTGCCGGATTCTGTCCCGGTTGCCCCTCTTCCAGGCCAGCTCTCTGCTGTGGCCAGGGAGTGCAGTGCAGGATGGCCCAAGTGCTTGGGCCCTGCACCCCATGGGAGACCAGGAGAAGCACCTGGCTCCTGCCATCGGATCAGCGCGGTGTGCCGGCCACGGTGGCCATTGGAGGGTGAACCAACGGCAAAGGAAGACCTTTCTCTCTGTCTCTCTCTCTCACTGTCCACTCTGCCTGTAAAAAAAAAAAAAAAAAAAAATCAATTTCCCGACTTTAATTTTAGGCTCTACAGTTGAGGAAATCCCATTATTTCCCTCAGAAAGGGCCCTTTTAAAACTGAAAGCATTTGAGAAAATTCTCATCAGTCAGCCTAAGTCTTCATCTAGGTTAAAAGTAATTTTTCTTTTCATCTCGGGTTGAAAGAAGAGAAAGCAGAGTCACCGTGGAGTCTGGTGGCAGTCCCTGTGTTCTTTCTGTCCTCCTTTAATTATTCAAGAGCTGCTCTGATGTTCTAGTGTTGGGAGAGTGAGATGAGAGGCTCGCATGCCCCTTTTCTGATTTATACATCTCACTATTGTGCTGTGTTTCTGTCACCGGGACACACTCTGCCACTGAGTCAAGGACACTTTATTACTCATTGTAATTTTGAATGTATTTTGGGCATCTACTTCTTGCATAATACCCAATCCTCGCCAAGTTTCTGTTTATTTTATTTCATTTTCCTCCCTTAACGCACTGCTGTGCAATTAGGCTTGTGTGACGATTCTCCCCACTTTTCCAATTTTGTAATTTTATCATCCGAAATGATATACCATCATTTCGGTCATTTGTGAAAATGTTAAGCCATCCAGACTTTGGGCTCCTATAATATAATGTAGCATAATGATTTTGAACAAAGTGCGGATGCTTCTAAAATGCAGTGTTCATGTTCCAGGATATTGGTACGGAATAGAGCTGGAAAAACCTCACGGCAAGAATGACGGCTCCGTCGGAGGTGTGCAGTATTTTAGTTGTTCTCCAAGATATGGAATATTTGCTCCCCCATCCAGGGTGCAAAGGTGAGACAAAGGAAATGTGCATTTATTGCCAGGAACCTGTTGTGATTTGCCGTGATACACGGTGAATCTCATTTAACACTGGAGACGCGTGTCGGCTGCAGCTCCTGTCTCCTTTCAAGGGGTTAACCGGCCACCTTCTTCAGCGCGAAGGCTTGTGGAAAGCTAAATTTGCTTTGCTGAGGATTTGCAATTTTATAAACCTCCTGTATCCCTCATTTGCAAACCCTATGAGTATGTGGAGGCTATTAGCGGTGGCGCTTGCCGCGAAGAACAGCGAGAGCTGCGAGCTTAATCTGTCGTGCAAACAAAAGTAAAAATGCTCTCTGATTGCCTCAGTCACATCCTAACTACATTAAATTTCCTGCCAGCAGGCACCCCATTCATTCTCCTGCAAACCTAATGCAACCAAAATGGCTTTTTCCCTCTGATTTCTTTAGTTTTCAAAAATAGATAGGCAGCCGACGTTGGAGGAACGCGGAGCCTCCAGGATTTTATTTGCAACACACCTCCTGGCTGTGCTTCCCCAACACAGCACACTTGTGTCCCACCTCGCTCTGCCTTCCCAGACTCACTCGAGCAGAAGCACATCCTCGTGCAGTTCCAAGCGGAAGGGCTTCTCTTGTGTGCTGAGCACGCTGGCGCGGTCTGCCTCTCAGTGGACAGGACACGAGACGGTGCTCCTCAGATGAGAGAGAACGTGTACGGTGTAACCACATTTGTGAGCGGAGCTGCCGTCTGGTTCCCCGACAGCTAGCCTGAGTCTGCGCCTGCCTTTTGGCAAACTGAGCTTTTTATATCCACTTTCTTCCGCCGGGTATTTTTCTTACTCTATAGTTCCATTATGATTTTTGTGTCGATCTCCTTCTCTGATGTACTTGATATAATTCTTTTTTTTTTTTTGATAGGCAGAGTGGACAGTGAGAGAGAGAGACAGAGAGAAAGGTCTTCCTTTGCTGTTGGTTCACCCTCCAATGGCTGCTGCAGCCGGTGCGCTGCAGCTGGCGCACCACGCTGATCCGAAGGCAGGAGCCAGGTGCTTCTCCTGGTCTCCCATGGGTGCAGGGCCCAAGCACTTGGGCCATCCTCCACTGCACTCCTGGGCCACAGCAGAGAGCTGGCCTGGAAGAGGGGCAACCGGGACAGAATCCAGTGCCCCGACTGGGACTAGAACCCGGTGTGCCGGCGCCGCAAGGCGGAGGATTAGCCTAGTGAGCCACGGCGCTGGCCATACTTGATATAATTCTGCCCTTTCTATTTACGATCATATAGCATTTAGCACACATTCCCTGGCAGTTTATGCAGCATCTTCACGTAGATGTTATTCTGTTTCATCCTGGTCAGTACGTGGCCACGGAAGCCGGGCAGCAGCAGCCGTGGCTGCAGACACGTGTTGAGCACTGAGTGAGTGGTGGGCTCCGTGGCGCCTCTCCCCTTAGTCCCCTGAGCCCACGTTGCTGCAGGCTCTTAGGATCTTTCCTGTTTGGCAGGTGAAGTAAGTATCAAGAGATTTAGGTTTAGGCACAGTCACAGAGCTGGTTAGTTCACAGCAGAGCCCAACGCCGCCTGCTGTGTTATTTTGTTGTTGTTGTTTTTCCTGAGCTCCTGCTGGGCAGTTTGCTCTTTTGTGTAGCCACCCTGTGAACAGAGAACACTGGATAGCCATGACTGGCACCTGGGCGTGCTGGGCTCTGTCTGCAGTGCTCCCGGAGTGCTCCCCGTTCCGCCTCTACAGCAGCTCTGTGGGTGTCCCTGTTTCACAGAGAGGTCACGTGGGGAGCTGAGCCCAGGCCATCTGGCACCAGAACCTGGGCACCGGCGACAGGAGCCCCAGCGACTGTCCTCAGGACAGGACCTCTGTCTCACAAATGACCGATCTGTGCTGAGTCGCCGTTGCAGTCCCTGTCCTCCTAGTGTCTTCACTGACCCACTGCTGCTGTCTCTCTCTCTCTCTCTTTTTTTTTTTAGATTTATTTATTTACTTGAAAGGCAGGTCTTCTTTTTTCCATTGGTTCACCCCCCAAATGCTGGCGCGCTGCGTAGATCTAAAGCCAGGAGCCAGGTGCTTCCTCCTGGTCTCCCTTGCGGGTGCAGGGCCCAAGCACTTGGGCCATCCTCCACTGCCTTCCTGGGCCACAGCAGAGAGCTGGCCTGGAAGAGGAGTGACTGGGACAGAACTGGCACCCCAACCAGGGCTAGAACCTGGGGTGCCAGCGCTGCAGGCGGAGGATTAGCCTAGTGAGCCGCAGCGCCGGCCAGGCACAGTGAATATTGATCACATCTGATTCCTGGGTTCGTTGCTTTTCACGCTGCTACGGCTGTTCCCTCTGCTTACCAGGGTGCAGCCACTTCCTTACAGCTTCTGTGTTTTCCTCGCTTTGTTGATGGAGCGTGGGGCTTGTGCTTTGTTTTTCTGCTTGCCTTCGGTTTGGTCTTCTGTAAGGTGGTGTGTTTAAAAGCAGCCCCCTTCTCTTAAAAGAACCAGGGCTCTGTGTGAATGAACTGCTGCCTCCATCCAGCTGTCTTCCTGTCTTCCTCTGATTGTCTCATTCACCACCATAAATACTATTAAGTGTCTTTTAGCGCTTTGTGCTGTGCTAGGCATTCTGTAAGCAAGTAAAACAGACGTAGTCCCTGATTCGCAGGCGCTCCTAATCTAAGCCAGCTTGGAGCTCTCTGCAGACCCACTGTTCTTCATGTGGGGCATTTTGTGCTCAGGGCGACTTGTGAACCACCTGAACCAGGTGGCGACCTGTCCCAACCCCAGCTCGCATGGCCTAGGGACCAGAGCTGGCCTCCGCGGCCCTCTTTCCATTTTTTTTTTTTAAAGACTTATCCATTTATTTGAAAGGAAGAGTTATAGAAAGGCAGAGGCAGATCTATCTATCTATCTATCTATCTAGAGGCCTTTCATATCTGCTGGTTCATTTCCCAGCTGGCTGCAACAGCCAGAGCTGCACCAATCTGAAGCCAGGAGCCAGGAACCAGGAGCTTCCTCTGGATCTCGCATGTAGGTGCAGGGGCCCAGGCACTTGGGCCGTTTTCCACTGCTTTCCCAGGCCACAGCAGAGAGCCGGATAGGAAGCAGAGCAGCCGGGACTCGAACTGGCACCCATATGGGATGCCGGCACTGTAGGTGGAGGCTTTACCAGATACACCACAGCACCTGTCCCACTCTTCCCATTTTGAAAATGTCACCTCCCATCTTTGCATATGGTATCACTCTGCTTGGATGGCTGTGCAGACCTGCCTGCTGCCACTCCGTTTCCACTTAGCTAATTTCTGCAGTTAGTGTATAAGTCGATCAGTGTTTCTGTAGCAAACTCCAAGACAACTCAGTGGTGAAATCGAACCTAATCTCACATGCCTGTGCCCGTGAGGGTTATTGGCATCGTATTTGTTTGCTGAGTTCTCACCGCCAGGTACTTATTACTCATGAGCTGATCACATCTAGAATCCAGTTCCCCTGAGCTGTCCGTCAGCACTTCATTCACCTCTGTCCTGTTCACTGAGCCGTATTGCCTGTGTCCATCAGTCTCTCATTGATTGCTGTGTGTTGCACACCATGGGAAATGAGGCATAGGATTCGGGAGATGAAACTGCAAGTGTTGCAGGAGCTGCAGGATTCCTTGCTGGTAACGAAGTGATTGACAGACGAAGGCCTTGCAGATTTAGGTCAGTAAACAGGTGCAAGAAAATGAGGCTGTCAGAATTAGCTTTTTAAAAGTAATGATTTGAGTATCAAAAAATAAAGAGAAACCCATCAGGAACCGGGCCTTTGTGACTGTGTCGAGTAAGGGACGTTGAATTGTATCAACCATGCAGTTTTATCAGAAAAGTTACACATTACACAACCAATAAACACTGTTCCCGACCTAAGAATTAGTGATAGTTTTACAACTTTAGCCTAACATTTATTGAATTTAATATAAACAAGCTTATTTTCATAATTTTTTAAATTTATTTTTTGACAGGTAGAGTTATAGACAGTGGGAGAGAGACAGAGAGAAAGGTCTTCCTTCCATTGGTTCACTCCCCAAATGGCCGCCACGGCCGGCACTGCGCCGATCCGAAGCCAGGAGTCAGGTGCCTCCTCCTGGTCTCCCATGCGGGTGCAGGGGCCCAAGCCCTTGGGCCATCCTCCACTGCACTCCCGGGCCACAGTAGAGAGCTAGACTGGAAGAGGAGCAGCCGGGACTAGAACCCAGCACCCATATGGGATGCCGGCACCGCAGGTGCAGGATTAATCAAGTGAGCCACGGCGCTGGCCCCTATTTTCATAATTTTTAATTCCACACCTTGAAGTTAAGTTAAAGATCCCTTTTACTTTTTAAATTTATTTTTCACTCCTGTTGACAGACAGGAGACAGAGACACAGGCATAACTCTTCCATCAGCTGCTTCACTCCCCAAATGCCTACAGCAACCAGGGCTGGACCAGGCCAAATTCGGGAGCCCAGAATTCCAGCTGGGTTCCCCACGTTGGTGTCAGGGATCCAAATACTGGAGCCATCATGTGCTGGCTCCCTGGGTGTGCATCAGTAGGAAGCTAGGTGGGAAATGGAGGGACAGGGACTCTTAACCAAGCATTCTGATACGGGGTACAGGTGTTCCAAGCAGTTTTACTGCTGTAAAAGACCCACCCCATGTCCTATTTTAAGTGAATTCACTTTAAGTTGAATTTTTCCATGCTAGTGTTCCTTAGATAGTGAGTAATTCTTTTATTTGATTATTGCCTATTTCCCATGCTAGATTAAAGCTCATGCCTGGCTCATAGGTGCTAAGTAAATGTTGAATGAATGACAAATAACAGTTGTGAAAGCTTAGCTGAGAGCAAGTCTTAGGTCTGAAGACCAGCTGTGTCTAATGAGGTACACTTTGTTTGTTTTATTCACAGAATAACAGATTCCCTGGATACTCTTTCAGAAATTTCTTCAAATAAACAGAATCATTCTTATCCTGGTAAGATCATACAATTTTGCTTTTTTAATAATTATTCCTTTGCTTTCCACTTACTGAAAAAATTTTTTATTATGGAGCATGTGTGTGTATTAAAGAGTAGACTTGGGTATGTAAGAAAGCATGTGGGAAAAATGAATTAAAGATAACATTTATTTTGATGCAAAAAAATTGAAATCCATGCATAGTTTTCATAGTATCAATTTTCTGAAGGCTTCTCATAAAAAAGTATTTGTATAGTTTGAGGACTTACAGAGCAAACACCTGTCACCTGCCCTCATCTGAAGAGTATAACTTACTGTGCCATGGAAAGCCCTGATCCCCACTCGCCATCATCTGCCTCCCTCTTCATACACCTCATTCAAAGATTATGAGTTTTGAGTTTTATATTAATTATTCCTTGATTGTCTTTATATTTTTGTCACCCATATATAGATACACCCATAAATAATATATGTTTAGTTCTTATTTAGCATTCCATTGAACACATGATTTGTGTACAGTTAATGGTTCTTTGCATCCTGTCCCATTTTTTCCTATTACAGACTCTACTGGTGCACCCAAGTGCAGCTGTTTCTGCAGTGGGATGTGCACCTCTTCCCCTTCCTGTAACACCAGCCCCTTGCAATGCACATTCCCATCTACAGAGTACACCTCAAAGCTAGTCCCGTTTGACTTAAATGATATCTCTTGGTGCCCATGGGCTCTGTACCTTTCCTCTTGTGTGAAGTGCCTATTCAAGTTTCTTGCCCATTTCTCTTTTGGGTGGCTTGTCTTTATGTGTGTGTTAAGATATCTTGCTCAGTTTGTCACTTGTTCCACTTCCCCTGATTTTTGTGGGTATCTGTCGATGAACACAAGTTTTATGTAGTCAAAATAGCAAACCAGAGTTGGTATTGTTTATCTTAAGAAATCTTCTCCTCAAATAGGAATCATAAGGATATCTTCCTGTATTGCTTTCAGAAAGGTTTCTATTCTTGAGTTTGCTGTGTGTCTGTTTACCTGGAGGTAATTTCATGTCCTGTAAGGCTCTCATTTTCATTGCCATGTGGATGGCCATCCGTGAAAGACTGATTTCCATAATGCCTGTCATTAGATGTTTGTTGAGGTTAACTTTATGACCTACGGATTTCTGACATTCTGATAGGGTACTGTTCTAATTAGGACCTCCCTAGTGATGATGTATGATGCTGTGTTCATTTGCTAAGTCTGGGGAGTTGAAGCAATAGAAAGTTACTGTCTTGCAGTTCCACAGGCCCTGTCCTTGGCCTGCAGGTTGCGGCCCCCTCTGTTGTCTTTGTGGGTCTTTCCCGCTGTGTGTGTCTTCATCTCAGTCTCCTCTTAGAGTCCCATTGGATTGGGCACTCATATGACCTCCCTTAGTGACCTCTCTGGAGACCCTGTTTCCAAACCCAGTCACATTCTGAGGGGTTAGGACTTCAGTGTGTGACTTTTGTGGGAACACAATTCAGCTCATAACAGATGTGGAGCACCCTTTCTTGTGTTTATTTGCAATCTGTGATTTTTTTTTTCAAAAAATGTTTGTTTATTTTAATCTACTTGAGAGAGAGAGAGAGAGAGAGAGATTGATTGATCTTCCATCTGCTAGTTCACTCCCACATGCCTGCAGACAGTTGGGGCTGGGCCAGGCTGAAGCCAGGAGCCCCAGACTCCATCAGGTGGAGGGGAGTGGTTTCCCCTGGGCACGTGGCACTTTGGTTTGCACTGGCTTGGTGTTCCGCCAAGGTGCCAGTGAGGTTCTTTCTATGGTGGCCTTGCCCACCTCCGCCAGCCAGGGAAGGTCACGTGCAGTCACACTGGGCTGCTCTGAGGGAGCATGCATGCCGCTTGGGGAAGTCCCTGCTGGGGTCTGGGAGCTCCTTGCTCCTGATGGTTTTGGAGCTGGAGCTGGATGATGTCAGGTCTGGAGGGGCTTGATTGATGAGTCCTATTTCTGTCCTGTCCCCTGGCATGTTTCATCTTTTACCCATTTAATATTGTATTTGTTGCTTTCTTATTATTGAGTTCTTAATATATTTGATTCCCAGACCTTTTCAGATATGTGTGGTTTTTTTTTTAAAGATTTATTTATTTATTTGAGAGGCAGAATTACAAATGGAGGGAGGGAGGGAGAGAGATATCTTCTATCCACTGGTTCACTCCCCAAATGACCACAACATCTAGAGCTGGGTCCATCAGGAGCCAGGAGCTTCTTCCAGGTCTTCCATGCAGGTGCGAGGGCCCAAGCACTGGGGCCATCTTCCACTGCCTTCCCAGGCTGTTAGCAGGGAGCTGGAACAGAAATGGAGCAGTCAGGACTTGAACCAGTGTCCATATGGGATGCCAGCACTCCAGGAAGAGGTTAAACTATGCCAAAAAGCGCTAGCTCCCAGATATGTGTTTTGAAAATATTTTTTTCTCAGTCTGTGACTTGTCTTTTTGTTCTCTTCACAGTGCCTTTCACAGACCAGAAGTTTTTAATTTTAATGAAGTCCCACGTTAATCAGTGTTTTTCTTTCATGGATCATGCTGTTGGTGTTGTATCTAAAAAACTCATTACCAACCCCAAGGTCACCCTGAGTTTTGGCCCCCAGGTTATCTTCTAGGAGTTGTGTAATTTTGTACTTTACAAGCAGGTCTGTGTTCTGTTTTGAGTTACTTTTTGTGAAAGATGGAAGGTCTGTGTCCGGATGTGTTGTTTGATTGTGCGTGTCCGGTTGTTCCCTGTTGGAAGGACCACCCCTGCCCCATTGAACCACCTTTGCTCCTTCATCAGAGGTCAGTCGACCGCATCTGTGGGTCTCTTTCAGGGTTCTGTTCTGTTCCTTTCATCTGCTTGTTCCTTTGCCAGCATCACAGTGTCTGGATCATTGTGGTTCTTCCGTAGCTCTTCCAGTTGAGTAACGTCCAGCCTCTGACTTAGAGCCTCTCCTTTGCCATAGCGCTGGTTATTCTAGGCCTGTTTCCTTTCCATGTACGCTCTACTGTTTGTTGCTATCCGCAAAATAACCAGCTGGGAGTTTGATTGGGATTGCCCAGAATGTACAGGTCGAGTTTGGGGGGAACTGATATCTTCACACTGAGTCTCTCCGTTAATGAACTTGGACTGTCTCTCCATTTATTTACAGTACTTCCCCCATTTCTGTTTTTTTTTTTAATTTCAATTGTCTGCAGTGAACTGTGGGTCCAAAAAATATTAAATGGAAAATTCCAGAAATAATTCATAGGTTTTAGATTGCCTGCCGTCCTGAGTAGTATGATGAGTTTGCTCGTGGTTCTGCCGCATCTCTTGAGGGATGAAATCCTGTTCCCAGCATTTCCACACTGCACATGTGTGCTTGTCTCCAGGAGCTGTCTGGGTTATCAGGTTGACTGTCGTGGTATTGCTTGTGGTCAAGTAACCCTTATTTTACTTAGCAATGGCCCCTAAGCACAGAGTAGTGATGCTGACAACTCAGATGCACCAAAGAGAAGTTGCAAAATGCCTCCTCTAAGTGGAAAGGTGAAACTGTAACAGTGTATGATCAGAGCAGACAAGTATGGGATATGGTAGGGTACTGTCCTCGTTTTGGGCAGCCATCAGGAACGCATCCCTTACAGATAAGGGGAGACTTTCTTTTTTTATCTCTTTCATCAGAAGTTTGTAGGTTTCCTCAGATATTTTGTATGTGTTTTGTAAGATTTATAACTATATACTTACATTTTTGGTGTTAAGGTAAATGGCATAACTTTTTTTTGTTGTTTTTTAAAGATTTATTTACCTATTTGAACGGCAGTTACAAGGGTAGTTGGGTGGAGAGAGAGAATCTTACATCCGCTGGTTCATTCCCAAATGGCTACAATGGTTGTAGCTGGGCTTATCCAAAGCTAGGAGCCAGGAGCTTCTTCTGGGTCTCTCATGTGGGTGCAGGGCCCCAAGCACTTGGGCCACCTTCTGCTGCTTTTCCGGGGCTGTCAGCTGGATCAGAAGTGGAGCAGCCGGGATGTGCACTGGCACCCCGTGGGATGGTGCTGTTGCAGGCAGTGGCGTTACCCACTTCGCCACAACGCCGACCCCTAGTTCTCTCCTTAGATCCTCTTTTTTTCCATTCGACTTGCCCCCTGTTTGTATGGAAGATACGCTCCGTGAATACACGTCTTAAATTGCTGTTTTGAAATTACTTAAATTACATGCTTAGAAAAGCCTAAAGTTTTTACCAGAAAGTTCTTGGAGGCTGAGGCGCCGGCGTCTGTGTTCGCCTCTGCAGGGTGGGCCCCTCACGTGTTTACTCACGGATCCCCAGGACCTGCACTTGGGCTGTTTCCTTCTTACCTGTGCACAGCCTTTCCGCTGTCTGTGAAGGAGGCTGTGGGTGGCGAACACCCTCCGCGTCCTTTGTCTCCTTCCTGAGCCCAAGGTTTCAGGCGAAGGCGCCGCTTCCTTTCTTGTCTGGGTGGAGATGCCCCTGTGTGGCTGCGGTCCGCGGTCCCCAGGGGTTCGGGGACCGATGCGTTCGGTGGGCTCTGTGACACTCTACCTTCAGCTCTTTGGCTCGGCTGGCTGCTCTCTGGCTTTCCCTCGCACGGCTGAGCCCCTCACTGTTGTCCCTGGGCGCCGTCCACTCTGCCTGCAAGTTTCCCGGTTCTCTCTCCAGCTCTCTCGAGCCTGGCGCTTTACCCAGCTCTGTTCAAATCTGCATGGTGGTCACTCACGGTGCTCATACCGTCCCTGGGTTTTCAAGTTTTCCCCTGACATCTTTCACTGTTTGAAATCCTGTGTTAAATGGCCGAGCAGCTCGCTTCTGTGAGTCTGATTTTTGTCGAGCCTGCGTGGTGGTGCCTCCTTCCTTGTGAGTTTCGTAACTTGCGAGATGCTTATTTTACTCGGATGAGTCCTGGGTCGTTTCCTCTTCGAATCCTGGGTTGCGGCCTTGGGGACGATTCTGTTTAGTTCTGCCAGGTGCTTGCAGGTGCTGCCGCCTGGGGACTGCTTTTACCTTGTAATCCCTGCCATGTCTTCCTGTGCCTTGGGGACAAAATGAGGGCGACTCCTGGCGGTCCCACAGGCCGCGTTGCCCTGCGCCCCGACGGCGTCCCCTTCCGCTCTGGGTGAACCTCGCCCTGAGTGTGGGCTGTGCAGGCTCCTCCTTTTGGCCAGGGGAACCCTCGTTCGGCCACTCCCGGGCCGTCTCCTTCGCATCTCCTTACAGCCAGTCTGGTGGGAGCCCCTGTTCTCTGGGAGTCTGTGGAGACCCTTATGAGACAAGGTGGTGGATTCTTGGGGTGATTAGTAACCTCTTGTAGTTCCTCTTTTTGTGAGATCGACAGTATTTTAATAATAAGTTATAGGACAGGTGCGATGGCACCACGGGGTAAGCTGCTGCCTGGGACACCTGCGTCCATACAGAGCACATGTAGAGGCCCGGCTGGGCCACTTCCGGTCCAGCTCCCTGCTGACGGCCTGGGACAGCAGCGGAGTGTGGCCCAAGTGCTTGGACCCCTGCACCCATGTGAGAGACCCAGATGGAGCTCTGGGCTTCCAGCTTTGGCCTGGTTTGGCCCTGGCCATCGTGGGCATTTGGGGAGTGAGCCAGCGGATGGAAGGCAGATCAATCTCTCTCTCTCTGTCTTAGTTGCTCTGACTTTCAAGTAGGTAAAAAAATTTATAAGAAAATTCCAGTTGTTTTAAACTAGAGTTGCTGTAGTCAAGAGATTGATTCAGCACATCTGATTTGGCAAAATGACCAGAACTGGAAATCCTATTCTTTTCGAAAGCATATTTTTTATGTCTTTATGAAGTCTTAGTGTTTTGTTTTTTTACTCTGTTAATTGGAGGTGCTGATAATCATAAGGTCTAAAGCATTTTTCAATGTTTATAAATGGAATATCTTTAATAATAAGATTTTGAACCATTTTTTAGTATTATCCAGATGATAACACTTGATAGTAAAAAGAGTCAATCTTATCAATGTGTAATTTTTGTGTGTTTTTTTTTTTTTAAGGAGTCTTGTAATAAAAACCTCCAGAAGAAAGGTCACAGTCTTACCTTACTTGTACTTGTTCATGGTTTGAGCAGGAAAATAAAGATAACAATTAGTGAATTCTAAACTATGATCATATTCTGAATATATATACACATATATATTTAAATATGTATTTGAAAGGCAGAGTTACAGAGAGGGAGGGAGGGAGGGAGGGAGAGAGAGAGAGAGAGAGCGAGCTTCATCTGCTGCTTCACTCCCCAGATGGCTGCAATGGCCAGGGCGGGGCTAGGCCAAAGCCAGGAGCTTCTTCCAGGTCTCCCATGTGGGTCCAGGGCCCCAAGCACTTGGGCCACCCTCCACTGCCTCCCCAGGTGCATTAGCAGGGAGCTGGATCAGATATGGAACAGCTGGGACTCGGACCCGTATGAGATGCTGGCATCGCAGGCAGCAGCTTAACCTACCACGCCATAGTGCTGGCCCCTGTATTCTGAATTTATTTACGTTTGCTTTGTTTGCTACAGTAGACGTTTGTAGCAGAAGCGGCGGAAGAGAAGGTGTAGCGAGGACTGGAAGTGTGTGGTTGACTCCCTCCTCTGATCTTCACCTCCCCATTCAGGTTTCCGGAGAAGCTTCAGCACAACTTCCGCTTCTTCCCAGAAGGAGGTCAGCAGAAGAAATGCTTTCGCCAAGTGAGTATTAAGAAGATTTAGAAAAACCCCGTTCAGGATGAACGTGCCGGGGACTCTGTGAAGGAGGAGCAGTGGAGTTTTGTATCTTATGCCCCGCTTGGTAGAATCGTAGCACTTAAGAGGGAAGGCGTGGCTGGGTGCCTGGAGTTTTTTTCTCCCTCCTTTGCAAGCTCAATGAAAAATGTCATCAGTGGCGAGAAATAGCGCGCTGCATATATTTTCTCTTCAAAGAGGTTAGTGCTGTTAATAAAAGTTGGAGGAATTCACATTTTTGTGTTTTCATTTGAGTAGGGTGGGTTGATTTTAAATTCTCCTTATTTAGAGATTTTTTTTGGTAAGATTTATTTGAGAGGCAGAGTTACAGAGAGAGGGAGAGACAGAGACAGAGAGAGGTCTTCCATTTTCTGGTTCACTCCCCAAATGGCCTCAACCGCCAGAGCTGAGCCGATCTGAAGCCAGGAGCTTCTGGGTCTCGCATGTGAGTGCAGGGGCCCAAGCTCTTGGGCCATCTTCTGCTGCCTTCCCATGCACATTAGCAGGAAGCTGGATGGGAAGTGGAGCAGCCAGGGCTTGAGCCAGTGCTGTATGGGATGCTGGTGTTGCAAGGGCAGCTTTACCTGCTGCCCACAATGCAGTCCCCATAGGCAGTTATTTTGATTGTGGTCTCGCATCCGCTTGTTGAGTCTTTGTAGAGAGAATGCCCTTGTCTGCTTTCACTTGCATTTATTTCTCCACGTGCGTCTCACTGCTGCTAACAGTTCTCAGAAAGTTCCCGAAGCTCTTGCACCTTTGGAGGAGTGTGAGGCTCTCCGAGACTGAGTGAAGAGGTGATTCCTTTGTAGAAGTCTGCCGGTTAGGCTGTGCCCCAGGCCCTGGGAAGGAGAGCTGGCCAAGCAGCGACGGGCAGCCAGGCCCTGGACTCCCGGCAGCGGGAGCCCAGCACTGCGCTTGGTGCTCAGCTGAGCATGGGCGCAGGGAATCCGCACAGCGCTGTGCACGGGTGGAGGTTCCCCTGAGTGCTCCGACTTGCCTTGAGAGCCCACGAGGTGCCGTTTACAGAGCTGGCTGAGGTTTTGTGGTTTTCTTTCTTTTTTTCATTTTTCTTCCTCCAAATCATCACCAATTTTGAGCATTTTGAAATCGGTCTCCTTGCTTGCAGAGCTGAAAGAGTTCGAGGGCAGTCAGTTTATGCTCCGACGTCCTGAAGCTGTTGGAGCCGCCTTAGACAGACTGGAGGAAGTCACCAGAGACCACCAGGAAACAGAGGGACGGGGGCAAGGGGTCAGGCTCAGTGTGGCGCTGAGTGGAAGAACAGGACCCAGACAGCCAGGGAAGGAGTAAGAGCCGGCCCTGGGAGTGACACAGGAGGTGTGGTCACGCTCGGCGAGACAGGAATCTTACTGATACTTGAGGGACCCACATAGGCAGGACCTGCTTAAAAGAAATGAACTTTTGGCTGGCGCCGCGGCTCTCTAGGCTAATCCTCTGCCTTGCGGCACACCGGGTTCTAGTCCCAGTTGGGGCACCAGATTCTGTCCCGGTTGCCCCTCTTCCAGGCCAGCTCTCTGCTGTGGCCCGAGAGTGCAGTGGAGGATGGCCCAAGTGCTTGGGCCCTACACCCCATGGGAGACCAGGAGAAGCACCTGGCTCCTGCCTTCAGATCAGCGCGATGTGCTGGTCGCAGCGCACCGCCGCAGCGGCCATTGGAGGGCTCTCTCTTTCACTGTCCACTCTGCCTGTCAAAAAAAAAAAAAAAAAAAAGAAAAGAAAAGAAATGAACTTTTATAGCAAATATGTAATCTGTGTTTTATACCGCTGATTTAGCTTTACTCCAGATCCACAGGGGAATATTTGGGGGATGGCTGGTTTTTTTTTTTTTTTTTTGGAAAAAATCAGACTTTGAGGTGCTTGCAGGTGCTGGGAAAGCAGGCCCTGAACTCAGGGGTTGCAGAGAGAGTGCAGTGCCTGGGCCACTGCGTGCCCAGGGGCGGGCTGGTGGCGTGGCGGCTGCTGCTGGTCCAGGAGCAGGGTGTGCTGGAGAACGTGAGGAGAGACAGGGCGCTGAGACACACCGGGCTTGTTTATATGGAAACAGACTTCCAGAAGGGCGTGGAAAGTGGAGGTGGTGCAGTCTTGGGTGAGAAACCGGAAGGACCCAGGGCAGGGGCCACATTGGCTCTCGTGAGTGTGCAAGCGTGGGGCAGGGTGGCAGCCACCCGCTGTGGCATTGTTGCAGAACAGGATCTGTTTTTCCAGGTCAGGCATGGGGATGGTGGTGATGAGTGCATTTCATTCAGAAAGAAAGGTCGCAGAAAGAAAAGCAGCGATCGCTGCGTCTTCCAGCTTGGTCTCTGTCTAATGCCTGGAATGGGAGTGATGAAGAAAATGAACTTGAGGTTTCTACCCAGCTGTGACCGAGAGCTGACAGGAGCAGGGAGCCCATCCTCCCTGCCCAGCCGACCTGGGGGCTGCCTCTGGCCCCATCGTAAGGAGCTTAGCACAGCTTCCCCCCACGACAGCCTGAGTCTCCCTTGGGCCCATCTGTGGAACCCGTGCTGTGGGCTGCTTCACTCCCCAGATAGCCACAACAGCCTGAGCTGTGCCAATTTGAAGCCAGGAACCTGGGGCTTCTTCTGGGTCTCCCATGCCCGGTGCAGGGGCCCAAGGACTTGGGCCATCTTCTACTGCTTTCCCAGGCCATAGCTGGGAGCTGGATCAGAAGGGGAGCAGCCGGGACTCGAACTGACGCCCATATGGGATGCCAGCACTGCAGGCGGTGGCTTTACCTGCTACACCACAGTACCGGCCTCTCTCTGTGTCTTTCAAAACAATAAGTAATAAATGCCCTTTGCTCCCAGAAGGACCTGTGCCTGCACGCTTCTGTGTGCTGATCCCTTGGGTTAGCTCGAGGGTTACTTCCACACTGCAGTGGCTCCCCTGAGACCCCAGAGCTTTCCTGCACCGTACACAGACTCTATTGCAGTATTTACCACATCGTACTCTCTGTGATGTGCAGGTTCCCAGGGCCCAGCCCCACTCCTGCCATTTCCTAGGTGGCTAAGACATGGAAGAGTGAACAGCTGTCGCTCATACTGCAACTTTCCCTGGGCTTTTAAGCTGTAACATAACTTGAATCAGATCATTATTCTTTTTTTTTTTCATAAAGATTTATTTATTTACTTGGAAGTCAGAGTTACAGAGAGAGAGGAGAGGCAGAGAGAGAGAGAGAGAGGTCTTTCATCTGATGGTTCACTCCCCAAGTGGATACAATGGTTGGAGCTGCGCCGATCTGAAGCCAGGAGCCAGGAGCTTCCTCTGGGTCTCCCACGTGGGTGCAGGGGCCCAAGGACTTGGGCCATCTTCCACTGCTTTCCCAGGCCATAGCAGATAGCAGGATTGGAAGTGGAGCAGCCGGCTCTTGAACCGGTGGCCATATGGGATGCCGGCGCTTCAGGCCAGGGCTTTAACCCACTGTGCCACAGTGCCAGCCCCGAATCAGATCATTCTTAACTAGAATGTTTACTTAAACCATTAATCTTTTAAAGTAAAATTTTATAAAGTAATTTTGTCTGAGAGGCAGAGAAAGAGAACCATCTTCTGGTTCATTCCCTGAATGGCTGTGATGGGTAGGGCTGGGCCAGGTAGAAGCCAGGAGCCAGGAACCCAAAGCAGGTTTCCCACATGGGTGGCAGGGACCCAAGCACCTGAGCTATCACCTGCTGCCTCCCCAGGTTATGCGTTAGCAGGAAACTGGAATTCGGAGCAGAGCCAGGATTCAAACCCAGGCACCCCAATATGGGATACAGGTGTCTTGGATGCACCAAATGCCTGCCCTTAAATTATTAATTTTGGTGTAGATATTGAATTCATTTAGTACTCATTTCTTCCTTAACAGCGTTCATCCTGAAAACTGATTGTGTAATATATATTTTAATAATGAAGAAAAATTAAATGCAGATAAAGGTGTGCATTTCCGTCACCAGGTGAAGTGATCACTGTGTGCACCCCTGGTGTTTGCGTTTCCGGTTTCTTGCGAGTGCGTGGGTCAGAGTGCTTGAGCGGTAGACTCGTCTGCTCTTCTGAAAAGCTTCCACTCGACCTTCCATCTGCTGGTTCACTCCCCAAATGCTTGCAACACCTAGGGCTGGGCCAGGCAAAGCCAGGTCCCTGGGACTCAGTGTGGTCTGCTGCCTCCCAGGGTGCAGCATCTCGACCACACAGCAGACACCCCACTTCTATCATGTTAAAAAAGATTTGTTTATTTAATAAGGAGAGAGAGAGAGAGAAAGACACAGAAAGAGATCTTCCATCTGCTGGTTCACTCCCCAGGTGGCTGCAGCAGCCGGGCTGGGCCAGGCCTAAGGCCAGGAGCCTAGAACTGTATCCAGGTCTCCCTGTTGGTGGCAGGGGCCCAAGCACTTGGCCATCTCCCCTTGCTTTGCACATTAGCAGGGAGCTGGATCAGAAGCAGAGTAGCTGGGGTTTGAACTGGCGCAGTGATACGGGACGCCAGTGCAGCCCACTGTGCCACAACGCTGGCCCCTCACCGCCATGTTCTGTCAGTGTTATTTTACTGGAAGCACCCGTGTGGGTGCATGTGTGTGCATTGCAACACATACATCTTCATAAATCGCCAGGGAAGTCTTAAATCCATATCAGACAGCACTGCGATAGCCGAAAGCAAACACCACCTTTACATGTGCGAAGTATCTAAATGGTTCCCTTTCGCCGATGAAGATGATGCCTTCTGAGCGCGGCCGTGGGGTTGAGCATGAGACCTCGTGCTGTGTGGCCCTCACGCCTGAGGCTTTTTCTTCGTTTCTCCCCCGCCCCCGAACAGGTCCAAGACGGCTCTGCGCCGCAGCTGGAGCACGTCCACCTCTGGGGGTGGCCTGGAAGGGAGCGTGAGGCTGCACGAGGGGTCCCAGGTCCTGCTCACAAGCTCCAACGAGATGTGTACGGTCAGGTACGTGGGCCCCACGGACTTTGCTTCCGGCATGTGGCTCGGCCTGGAGCTCCGAAGCGCCAGGGGCAAGAATGACGGAGCGGTGGGTGACAGGCGCTACTTCACCTGTAAGCCGAACCACGGCGTCCTGGTGAGGCCCAGCAGAGTGACCTACCGGGGCATAAACGGCTCAAAGCTTGTGGGTGAAAACTGTTGAACGAAGCTCCTCGAGCCCTCGGTGAGCTCCTAGACACACTGCGCACATCTACGGCATACAATAAAGCGTCCACGGCAAATGGTTTACTTTACGTAGCCATTCTTGAAATCTTGACGATATGCTGTAGTGACCTCCATACAGTCCATTAGAGCCATTCAAGAGACTTCTTTAAAAAGCCATGGGCGCGAACGCTGGGGATCGTGGTCAAAATAAGTCCTTTGGGAAGCTCTCGGTTCCGAGGAGCTGCGGGACTGAGCGGAGAGTGTGTCCTTAGGTGAGCAGCGGCTGCGTGGCTTGGCTCGTCCTGTTCTGTCCCCAGCGGATTTCCCACGGCGCCGTGATTGTGAGCAGCGTGGGAGTTTCCCTTTCTTCCTGTGCTTTGTCACTTCTAGGCACAGCAAGAGAAGCATAGCTAGATGACTAGTGTATTTCTTATATTTTGGGGCAAAGCTCTTTGCCTTTTGGGCAACGCCTCCTCTGGAGCTATGGCAGCGCTCTGCGGCTGGACAGGTGCCAGGGCCATGCGCGGAACCAGCAGCTTCTCCCACGCAAGGCCAGCAGGGGCAGGAGTGGAACCTGGGTCTCCTGACCTGTGCCCCAGTGCCCTCTCCTCTCTGCAAAGCATGTGCTGTCAGATTTTGCTCCTGCAGCTCGGCTGCCTTGTAGGGATGAGCTGAAATACGGCCCATGATTAAGGTTTATGAATTTTAGTTATCATTGGAATTTTTTGCACATCCCTGCTTAGCCTCTGTTTTTGGGTATATATGTACCCCCCCGCCCCCGCCCCCCGCCACACACACAAAGCACTTTTAAAACACAAAGCACTTTCATGTTTGTGGACGGTTTGCCGTCTTTTCCTCCTGGGATGTGAAAGATTATGAGAATGCGTTTAACCGAAGAGAGCAAGTCAAGATGTGTTAGAAGTGTGTGACTCACTTACATGTTTCCGACTTGTGGGTTTTTGTTTGTTCGTTTGTTTTCTTTTACTCCCCAGAGCTGGTGTTGCGTTTGCTATGGTTACAGTTTGCATATTTCCAGTTGTTGTATTTACAAAGCTGCAGAATTGTATGTTTTTATTTCCCTTCTGTGGCCCATGTTAACAAACAGCTTCATAAGCATCCGAGGCAACCTGGAAAATGTTTGTATTGTGGGCACACATTGAAATTGATGTCCTACAGCTGTAAAGGTGTATCATTTATTGTAAGTATTTAAACTACTGCAGAAATACTGGAACGGTTTGCTTCCTAAGATTAAAGGTATCCTTTAGAATGGGGCTTGCTTTGTGCTTAGAAATAATATTGAACTATTTTGCAATGTACTATTTTAAATCTAACTTCTGTCACTTTGCTGCCTTTAAAAAAAGTATGGTATTTAAAATATTGCTAGAGCTATTTTCCTGAAAGACGTTTGCAAAATAAGGCTGCTTTATAATCAAGGAATATTTTTATTGATTGAAGAAAATGATTGTACTGCAATTCAAAAAGTAAACTTATTTTATTATATAGATTATTTCTCCAAAATCTGTTTATATCTTAACATGAAATCCATTACCACGCTGAACTTGGGTGTCTATAATTCATTGTTAATTATAAAACACTCTAAGTTAGACAGTCATGCCAACACTGGATTTATTTTTGAAGTTGAAGAATTGTGTCTTTTAAACCCATACAACATGTTAAGCTTACAGGTTACATACAAATTGGGTGTTTTTACTTGTGTTTTGCTTACTGAGTGTCATTCAGAATTCACTTGCGCATTAATAAAAAGGGAAGCTGTCTGGTTTTGGAATCTTGTTATTTACCTCACCTGCAACTCCCCTCCTCAGAGACTCAGAGGGCCTAAGCTTTGCATTTTGTTTGTCCTCAGAGTACTGGCTTGGATTTGTCTCATCCTGTCCCTGTAGAATCTAAAAAAGGTTCATGCGTTGTCTCAACAAGTGAAGGTATGTTTTTTTTTTTAAGATTTATTTATTTATTTGAAAGAGTTACAGAATGAGGACAGGCAGAGAGAGAGAGAGAGAGAAAGAAAGAGAGACTGACTTCCATCTGCTGGTTCACTGCCCAGATGGCTGCAACAGCCGGAGCTGCACTGATCTGAAGCCAGGAGCCAGGAGCCTCTTCTGGGTCTTCCACACGTGTGCAGGGGCCCAAGGACTTGGGCCATCTTCCACTGCTTTCCCAGGCCATAGCAGAGAGCTGTATCGGAAGTGGAGCAGCCGGGACTCAAACCAGCACCCATATGGGATGCCGGCACTGCAGGCAGTGGCTTTACCCACAGCATCAGCCCCTATGTTTATTTTTAATTACAAATACAGCGGCAGATAGAAAACTCGCACCGGCACATCTATTTTTAGCAGCAGTTTGCCGGTCTCCCTGGGCACAGAGGCCCTTATGTACAAATGCTGTCACACAGCGGCCAGGAGAAACCACACTGGCTCCTGATGAGGGTTGGGTACAGGCTGGACAAGTCTCAGCTTGCGGGCGTGTCGCGATGGCGTCACAGGCGAGAGGTGATGCCTTCGCACGGGCAGGCAGCGTTCTCCCGGCTCAAGTTTCGCTGCTGACCCTTTCCCAGGAGGGAGGGCGTCTGTGGCAGAAGGGAGCAGTGGCACACCTTGCTGACGGATCCAGTCCCCTTGTGCCTGATGCAAATGCCGCTGCTGGGATCCCCAGCCCTCGCCCACGGGTCGGGGAGAGCCCTGCTTCCTCTCTCTTTTCCACAGGGTCTTCTAATGACCAGCCTTGGCATCAGCTCTGTCCAGTAGCAACTGTGGCAGCCGGGCGGCGCTGAAGAGGACCAGGGATGGGTATTTGAAGTGTTCTAAGTGATGCTGTTTGCTAAAAATACAACCGGTTCCCAAGGATCACTGGTGTCTTATTTAAGTCAGCTCTGGGAATCCTGAGTGATCCCACATGCACGAGCGTGTTACTCCCGTAGACACTGGCACGCACACACACCCCAGCAGCTCCTCGCCTGGAGGAGTTTGATCTTAGGGCTGTTTTTCTAGTCCTAGTGGCTGAGAGAAATCAAACAGGGGAGCCTCAGAAGTCTACCTTCGCCCTCCTGAACCGGACGGAGGAGGCGTTTCTAGAGCACAGACAGTTTACCTCTCCGAATGCCGTGTCCTCCCCAGTGTCCGTGTCCTCCCTAGCCTGTGTCAGTCGCACAGAGCATAGGTGCTCTCGGCTGCAGCCCAGCTGCCTTTTCTAGGTTTGCTCTCAGCAGAGCTCACCGACTGAAGACTGGACTTGTGATTGTTTTGCACATGACAGATCAGACTGGCGTGGCAATGAGTCGTGGTAAAGTCATAGGCACAGACTCAAGTCCTTTTTCATTCTTTCTCTAAGAGAACTTCTGAGATTCCACTGCAAACGCAGCTGGCTGTGTACGACACTGGCTGCCCCTGCCAACTCTAAGGGTATAGGTGACCGTCCAGTGTCTCTGGGGGAAACATCATATGGTGGATTTAAAAGTGAGTTGTTTTTTTTTTTTTGACAGAGTGGATAGTGAGAGAGACAGAGAGAAAGGTCTTCCTTTTGCCGTTGGTTCACCCTCCACTGGCCGCCACGGCTGGCACACTGCGGCCAGCGGCCAGCGGCCAGCGGCCAGCGCCCTGCGCTGATCTGAAGGCAGGAGCCAGGTGCTTCTCCTGGTCTCCCATGGGGTGCAGGGCCCAAGCACTTGGGCCATCCTCCACTGCCTTCCTGGGCCACAGCAGAGAGCTGGCCTGGAAGAGGGGCAACTGGGAAAGAATCTGGCGCCCCGACCGGGACTAGAACCCGGTGTGCTGGTGCCGCTAGGTGGAGGATTAGCCTATTGAGCCGCGGCACCGGCCAAAAGTGAGTTTTAATAGAACGTCTCAGATTGGTGGTGGGGAAGTGGGTTTTGCACTGTAGGCAATGCCCAGGTAAGAGCGTCATCAAAGAGTAAAGGGAGAAGTTACGGTCACTTTTATTGAACCTGCTAATAAAAATGGGTTTCTAATAAGAATTCCGGTGGATTATACACATCCGTTAACAACACTGTCATTTCCTCAAATGCTCTTCTCTCTCTGGGGAAGGGAGCCGAGTTTGGGGTTGAGAAGCAGCTGCAGGCTCCTGCGGCCCCAGCTCACGGTGTCCTTAGGTGTGACAAAGGGGAACCCCGGGCTGTGTTCTGCTTTGGTTTCTTACTTGTTAATGAAGCAGCACCAGCTGCTCACTGGTACATGCAGGGGTGGGGGAGCGTTTCTGTCTGTACAATTACTTTATTTCTGAGGACTGAGAAATAATGCGGAATCAACTCCTCCCCACAGCTATCAGATACAGGAAGATCACCTGCAGTTCTCACAGTGTTATCTTTGCGGGATGCCTGCATTTGCTGTCCTTTGGATTCCCTGTTCCTAGATAAGCCGAAAAGCTATATTGTTCACAACAGGCTTCGCCAAATTGCCAACCAGCGGCAGTGGCTAGCTCCCTGGTCCTGAAACGGGGGAGTCTCCAGTTCTATGGGGATTGGTAGAGGAGACTATGAATTCTCCCTGGTAATGGCACCTGGACACACTTGTGGAGGAGGGCCAGAATCCACACACACTTCCTGGTCCCCAGCGTCGGGCCCGTTCTCAGCCTTGCTACCTTGCTTCAGCAGTGGACTCCGAGAGGTGCAAACTGACGACAAAGAGAGAGCGCATCAGCTACATCACCCGGAATGAGGTGGGGAGAGAGGCTTCGTGGTTCTCCTGTGCCGTGAACCTGCCCTGATGTGAGTGGAGGCATGGAGGGTGCTAAATGGACCTGACCCTGTCCTGTTGGCAGGAAGCCATCGCTTACTAATCCCACTTTGCTGTGGGAATGACTGTGGGTTAAGGCCATCACTTGTCATGGTCATGGTTTTATGATTCGCTGAGGAGCTTTTCGAATAGAAAGGGTTAAACTGAGCTGATGCTAGACTCTCTAGTGTACTTCTGCATACCGACTACATGTAATTTGGCTCACTGGGATTGTGCACTGGATTAATTGGCTTTGGCTCTAAATTAAGAGCCGGGGTCAAGGAAACACTCACTCCCCCCGACCCCCCGCACCCTGGTCGTGTTCTTCTCGGTGACTTCATTCAGAGCCACACACTTCCGAGGTGGAAGGGGACTTGGAGACCAAAGCCTTCATTTTCTAAAGTGAGGACATGAGAGTCTCCGTAACTTGCCTGAGCCACTTCCGCGGTACCCGCAGCCTGGTCCTGGTCTCAGCTCCCGCCCAGGCTGCTTGCTGTTTCCCAAGGAAGTGAAGAGCGCGGAACCACGCCGGCTGATGTCGTCGGAAATCCTGCCAGCTGCTACTTATCCGTGTTGGCAAAGGACCTCTCTCAAAACATACACGCGAGTATTGGAGGGAGAGTTAACTCCCTGCTTGCCGAGGCTTCGAGGCTTAGTGTGGGTTAGTGTAGTAAGACCAGCTTTCCATTAGCAGTGGCTGCCGTGAGCCTGCCACGTGAGTGACGGCGGTGGGGAGGGTAACCGTGGTGGTACTCGCTGCAGAGCGCAGGGAAGGGAGGCTTGAGGGTGTGTCAAACGTCGGTACTTGCAGTCCAACTGGGGTTAGACCGGTGGTGCCATCTGGCCGTGGGAAGGGTAGCCCGTTTGTTTCCCATTGGCCAAATGCTGGGGAGAGGGAAGTTGTCCATTAATTTTGTGGTTGGAGTTCATTTAACTTCCTGCCCTTACCCTCCACTAGTGGGATGTAACTGTTCTTTTTTTTTTTTTTTTTAAGATTTATTTATTCATTTGAAAGGCAGAGTTACAGAGAGGCAGAGGCAGAGTGGTAGAGAGAGAGGTCTTCCATCCATTGGTTCGCTCCCCAGATGGCGGCAACCGCCGGAGCTGTGCCAATCCAAAGCCAGGAGCCAGGAGCTTCTTCTTGGTCTCCCACATGGGTTCAAGGGCCCAAGGACTTGGGCCATCTTCTACTGATTTCCCAGGCCACAGCAGAGAGCTGGATCGGAAGTGGAGCAACTGGGACTCAAACCAGCGCTCATATGGGATGCCAGCAATGCAGCACTGCAGGTGGTGGCTTTACCCACTGCGCCATAGCATGGGTCCCAAGGGATGTAATTGTTCTTAAACCTTCCCAGTGTTTTCAAGTTGCTGAGCTAGAGCTAAAAAATAGAGTTGTACTTGAACAGTGCATTAAAAACTGTAGCACACCTACTCAAGATACGGAAGGAAAATACAATCCTGGTAGAGACCTTACTGTCTGTGCTCAGTAATTATCGCCTATAGTAGGGTACTGGAACGCAAGTTTTGTTTTGCGTGTTCACACAGCCGCAGGGAGCCATCTGCTGCAGTGAATTTAGGAGTCAAATTGTGTGTCCTCTTGGGACCAACTGGGAAAAAAAAATCAGTGTAAATAGACTGACAACACACTGCACCCACTTTGATGAATCTCATCATGTTTGGAGGAGTCTGAATTCACAGGCATCTTATTTTAGGTCTGCAAAGCTCATTATGAGTTTTAATGCTGCTGTTTCCGGAGAAAATGCATTAGGATAACTAAGTCATGACAGTTCCTTGTGATGTGCCCTGTGAACTTGGAATTGAAGGTCCGCATTTTACAGCAGGACGTCGATCTGTGGTTATATAATACAGCCACAGGGTTTACCAAGCACTGGATGGAGATAACAAAATGTAAAAAAAAAAAAAAAATACACTGAGTAAATAGCTTTTTGTTTCTGGTGCTTTTTAACACTTAGAATTTAGTTTTGCTGGAGTATTGTTTTGAGCTGGAAAGGACTGGGTCCCAGGAGGACTTTTGCTACTGTCATTAAGGCAGTGACAGATGAAGTAAAATGAGGCCATGGGAGACCTAAGAGGGTGACACAGGAGCCACACACAGCTGAGCCTAGGCACCGATGTCCACACCCAGCGCACCTTCCCTCGGGCCACTGAGGTGAACGAGGGTTGGCGGGCTCCGTGGGCATTCCTTCAGCCTGTGCTCGCCCAGAGGGTGAAAGCACAGGAAAGAGCTGTTGTCCCCTCATCGAGGTACCAGCAAGTCAGACAACCCAGCCTTTTAACTACTGAGTAGAGCGTACTCCTAGAACTACCAAGCTTATGCCTGCTGTTTGGATTCACTGGGATGGTGCGCTGCCACATGTTAACTGATTGTTTCCCACAAATGGACGCTTTCCCAGTGGAATCCCTGTACGCCTTTGATAGGCTTTTTATAGACACGGGATAGAAATGATCATAGTAGCGCGGCTTCATTCACAGCCCTTCTGCACACTTTACCTGTGCCCACTCACCTTCTCGGCGGGAGCTTCTGGCAGAGTCGGTGAATTCATTGGGGTCCACAGCATCTATGTGAACTGCTGGAGCCACACGGCTGGAGCAGCAGTAGAGTGGACATCAGCCGAGTTTGATACACAGACCCCTGAGTGCTATGCCGACTGAAATGAAAACACCTTGAGGTCATCATATCTCAGTGTGGAGTTGTTTATTTACTTATCCATGGATACAGGCTTTTATGATTTGACTATCATTTACATGAAAATTGATACCAGTAAAGACAATTGGAGAATATCGACAAACCAATCTTAGTGATAGTAAGGCACAACCTGAAAATGTAATGGATTTGTAGTTTTTTTTTTTTTTTTTAATGGAAAGGGGTTAGATTTCTCTCTGTGAATGACAATAAAGAGTTGGCCATTTAACCGTGTTCCATGCTCCCTGCTTAACTGGTTACCAATGTGACAAAGATGAGAGTGTCGTCACAGCTCCTCTGTCTGCATCCTTTAGGGGAGTGCGTCCCACAGGGAGACTCGAGTCCCTTGGTGGTTCGGGAGTTGGAATAGTGCTTGTGTAACTAGGGCAATACTGGGATGGCTATTCAGAGATCAGTTCACTGAAGAAACATCTCTGCCTATGTGTCTGATGAGAGCACTGCTGGCCATCAAGGACATAAAGAAACGCAGTCCCCAGGGTACCAGGCCATCTACAGGTGCACAGAACTTCCAACTCTAGCATAAGGCAACCGCCTCGGAGAAATGAACCACTGTCTAGAGCCGGCTTACAACGTAGTGGCTCTCCTTCCTTCAAAGTGATGCTGTGGACCGAGGTGGAACTGAGAAGTTGGGCAGACACACACACGTGTCGCATGTGCACACAGCCCTTTCGTTTGGGAACGCTTAATACCTAGTGAGCGCTAGAAATGCTTTCTCCTAAAGAGAAAGACACCTTGGCACGGCGACCACCAGGAAAGAAACGGGCCATGAGAACAGTGGAGACGCAGAAAGAGAGAACCAAGTGGAAACGTGCCAGCAGAACAGCATTGCCTAAACATGCGTGTGTGAAATCTGACCGATTCCTGACTTTGTTAGGTGGAAGACATTTCATCGGGGAAAACCGAGCTCGGCACTCCCACTGTGACACATCAGTCCACCTGGACTCTCCACGCTGTCCTGGGTTTCCCGCTGCATTGCCACCTAGAGGAAAACCTCTTCATTGTGTGTGCACCATAGCCTACCAGTGATACTGTGACCGTTTCAGCAGACCTGTCCCCCCCGGGGCATGGCGGGATCCCAGGATCAAGGGAGCGAAACCTCAGGTGAACGGTGGAAGGAGGAGCCTGCACTTGAGCCTCGCCTGAGGAGCACTGGAGTCTGTGGTCCCCAGAGACCTTTCAGATGGTTGCTCCAGTTCTGTAGGCTCCAGGACTGACACTGTTGGCAAGGTTCTGGCTTAGGACGAGCCACCGCTTATGTCCACAAACAGAGAGTGTTCTGTGCTGTCTACCTGACCTCAGCACTGCTGCTTAAAAGTTTTGTTGTTTTGAAATGGATTGAGTTTAGTACCATCAGTGGCAAGTTTTAAGATCAGGCCTTACCTGAATTGAGATTCAACCTCACACTGAGCTTTTCACTTTTAGCAGGAGGATTCTCTTAAGGCATGAGGTATATTATTAAGATGCTGGAATCTGGATCTACACTGATGTTTTGTAGCCACAGCACTGGGCATGGAATATACACACCTATATGTTCTGTCTACCACGACCGGGACTATTTACGACGACGTTAGAACCTGCGCCAAGGGCAGCATCTAACCGTCACCAGCAGGGGGCGCTCCGCTGCCTACGGTTTTTCCTTTCCCAAGTAAAGAATGTCTTTCCCCATGCTGAACCATTCGGAATAACTCCTTTATTTCTGTTCCCTCTCCCCTCCAATGGCTCACGTCCGCATCACCCAGGGAAGGAAACATCTAGGACTCCAACTATGGGACACAGAAGAGCTAAGTGGGACTACAGTGAAGCTGAGCACACACAGTTTGGAAGAGGCGGAAGGGAGTGTACAACAACCATGCATGGAAGCCTCAGGCAACCCAATCCGGGGCCTCGTGTTTCTGTTTTCTTCTTCGGAATGGATAGGAGACGGGCCCATGCGCAAAAACCTTTCTTAAGCATTTGGAAAGTACAGCTTTTGATGTGGCACTTCAGAACAAGTTGGCACGAGATGAAAAGTGACGTCCGGTCTTTGGGTGGAGGAGCTGCGCGCCCCCCTCGCCGCTCCACGGGCGTGGGGGCGCCCGAGGGAGGGAGAGCGCGCAGGGGCGCGCGGCGCGCTCAGGGCCCGGGCTGCTTGCCGCTGCCCTTGGTTTTCAGGATGGTGTCCTCGTAATGGCCGGCGCCAGGGGCCGCCGTGGCCTCCAGGGGCAGGCCCTGCTGCTGGTAACCGTAGTTGACGTTCCCACAGGGGAAGTGGCGCAGCCGGAACAGCGGCACCTCCTTCATGCCGGCGGTGAGCGCCGACGGCTCGAGCAGCAGCGAGGCCCCCGCCAGGCGGCCGGGCGCCACCCCGGGCGGGACAGTACAGCCGGCCGCGCGCCCCACGTGCCCCCTGGTGTCGAGGGGCTCCTTCTTGGCCGGGGCATTGTTCTTTCTGGCGGGTTTCTCCGTGAACCACGAGCCGTACGTCGGGTTCCATAGGCTGGTCGGCTTGTTTCTGGACCCCTGGCCCTTGTGCATCTCCGATGGCGGGTTGGACTGCGCAAAGGCCACGTTCACGTGTCCCCCTCCCACGGCGGGGCCTCGGCGGGCGCGCGCGGGGGCCTGGGCGGCGGCTTCGGGCTTCTTCACGGCTTTGCCAGACGAAGCGGCGGGCAGGGCGGCGGGCGCGGCTGCGACGGGCGCCTCCTCCCGCTTGGCCTGCGCTGGAGCCACCAGCAGCGGAGGGACCCCCTCGGGGTCCTTGGGCCGCATGGGCACCTTTTCCTCCTCTTCCACCAGGGGCCCATATTCTATGGGCAGGGCAGTGTTGATGACGTCTGGGTCCTGCGGTGGGAGAAAGGAGTTGATGACAGGTTTGACTCAGAGTTGGATCAAGATGCCTGTCTCACATAATCTCATTTGAATGCATCCTGCAGAGGGCCAACCCAGTGTTCATGAAGACTACATTAACACAGGCCCTGGGGATCAGGAACCCAAAGGGACGGCGTCCCCATGGACAGGACCTCGGAGGAGGGGCCGTGCATGGGCGCGTGCCCAGGGCACTGGCGTCCGGGGCTGGGGTGCACCCAGCTGCCTGGAACAGGGCAGAAGACCGCTGGCTACGTTTTATAGATTAATGGATGAAACAGAAACAATAAAAATCCATTTTTATTCCAGTGTATTCCCCAAATCAATTAAAAGAAATAAAGTCTGTGGGTGTTTGATGTTCAGTGTGGAGGTGGGGTGGGTAGGGGGTGCAGGTGGAGGGGAAGGCAGGCGTGGGCACAGAGCCTTCCTGGCTGCCCTCATGTGCCCCGTGTGTGGGTGGCTTCCACACGTGTGCAGTCCCGTCACACTACACCCCCACACGTGACATAAGGCACAGGGTCGGGCTCTCCTGTTCGGAGGGGAGGGAACTACTGGCGGGCTGGTGCCACCGTGCACTCACTCGCTTTTACACGACCGACTGTGAACAGAGAAGCAGGAGCAGTTACCGCAGATTGAAGGAAAGAAACTTGAATGTGGGAAGTTGAGTTGTATTTTATGCAAACTGGGGAAAGACTCCCATTGCTTGAGTTTAAGAGGAATAGCACACTGGTCCTGTACTCATCAGTAAGAGTTTAATAGGGGCCGGTGCTGTGGCACAGCAGGTAAAAGTCGCCACCTGTGACACCGGCATCCCATGTGGGCACCAGTGCCTGTCCTGCTGCTCCACTTCCGACCCAGCTCCCTGCTAATGGCCTGAGAAAGCGGCAGAGAATGGCCCAGGTCCTTGGGCTCCTGCACCCACGTGGGAGACACGGAGGAAGCTCCTGGCTCCTGGCTTCGGCCTGGCTCAGCCCCTGCTGTTGTGGCCTTCTGGGGAGTAAACTAGCAGATGGAAGACCTCTCTGTCTCTCTTCTCTCTCTGCAACTCTTTAAAAAAATCACATAAACCTTAGAAAAAAAGTAACTGCTTTCTGATACTACTTTTTTTTTTTTTAATAAATATCTTCCCTGTTTATCCGTCATTTCCCACAGTGAGCCATTTAAAACATGGTTATGTAAAACTGTCTGCTCTGGATATTATATTCTGTAGGAAAACCACCCAAAAAAGGCATCTGAGGGGTCTTCAAAAGACTTATGGAAAATTCATATTAAGGACAACTGTATTGCATGGGTTTCAGTTTCAGGCACCAGAGAAAACTTCACTTCCATTTTCCACGAACTTTTGGAAGTTCCCTGTATATCCCGTCCACATGACAACACAGCAACCTAAAATGTCACCAAGCAGGGTTCTCTGAAAGGACCCCAAAATCTCGATAATGAGTCCAGATGGAGCCATGTCCATGGTAACAGGAGTTAAGAGGGAGGGCAGGGAGGTGGTGACTCTGGGAGTGAGAGAGCCTGGCAGAAGCAGAGCGGGGCAGGAGGAGAGACAGCACAGCAGGGAGGACAAATAAAGCCCCCCGAGGGCTGTGGGTGGGGGCCAGCCCTGAAGAGGAGGTGGCCTTGGGGAGCAAGAGGCGGAGGCCTGTCTGGGCAGGAAGTGGGATTCTACACCCGATGCGGTAGGAGGCACAGCCTGCCGCAGGTGACGGAGCAGGGAAAGCCACGTGGCCACGGCAGGGGCTGGCGAGGGGTCCGCCCAGGGGCCTGCAGGGTCGCCGGGCGCTGCCACTCGGTGGCCGCTCTCCGAGCCCTCACTCCTCACCTGTGAGCTGGGAATATTTTATATAGCCCAATGAGGACGAACTGAGTTATATGAAAAGTGATTCATGTTGTGAAAATGCTATGCAAATGCTGCGGGTGACGTTAGTGTTTCTCCAGATTATCTCACTCTGTGGTCCCTCAATGCCTCTGCCGTATACGCTTGGGCATGCACCTTATCCTGTATACTGTTAACTAGTTATAAACTACGGGAGCCGCTGTGCTCCATCCCGCTCCGAAGCTCCACTTCTGTTTAATCAGGCACCCAGGAGAGACTGCGTCAACAGCTGTGAACTGAACTGACGCCCAGCTGTCCTGCGTGGCCACGAGTCACAAGCTGGTGAAGAAGGTAGAAGTTTACCAGTATGGATTTTATGAATGGGTAAACCAGGACGCCACCATTTCATTGTATACACAGTGACAAGTTCATGTATCTTATTCTCCGACCAGTTTAACTTTGTTTCATGGTCTGGTTTTTGCCACCTTGAAGACTTTTCCAGACAGAATGAGTACATGTCAAGGGGAGACAATGTTTATACCTGGGTGCAATATTCAATCCTCTCCAATATTATGGCGAAGTTGGGCCTGTCTTCTGGTTGATGTTGCCAGCACTGAGTCATTATCCGGTATCTAAAAGAGTAAGCACATGGATTAAAATCAGAAGTACACAGGTGAATAATCCATATCTCCCCAGCATTCCACATGGGCCCCGGGGTGGCACCCATCTGTGTGGGCCATTAGGCATCCTGGTTGGCAGATGCTGCCCCCTGTTGATGGAGCTGGGAATAGCGCTCCAAGGACTGAAGGTATTGTGAGAGGCTTACAAAAGCTCACTGACATCCTGGTGTTCATGTTAAATATTGCTCTCCTCGATCCATTCCCAAATTAAAGCCACTGCTGCCAGTGTATACACTTATTATACCTCCCATCTGCCTTGCTGGAGAGAAGGGAGTGAGCTGCCAGACCACACAGCAGAAAACTCAGGGAATGGACACATATAAGGGAGACTCAGGCATCTGGCATCTGGTAGCGGGGGCAGTCGGGAACACCAGCTCCCAGGAGGGGCTTGAAGATTATGGACTGGTGAGAACCCAACTTTGAGCCAGGCAGTGGGTCCTTTTCTGGGGCGGGGCGACTAGCCCACCTATGCAAATGACAGACCACACCCTGTCTCGGGGGGGGGGGGGGGTACTGGCTGAGGGCAGCCATCTGCCCCTGCATTGCCAAGAGCACTCGTGGCTCCAGACACTTTATGACAAGAGACTCTGCGGGTGGTAACTAGTGGCCATGATCCTGAACGCGTCATACACAGGCCCCGGGCAGTTCTTGGGCGGGTCCATCCGGCCTCCGCTGGTGACGAACTCCAGGACCTCCTGGTTGCTTTTGCTGGGGTACGGCATGTATCCGAGAGAGAATATTTCCCAGAGCAGCACTCCGAAGGACCTGCGCACAGAAGACACGGATTGGGGTGGGGACACACACGTGCGTGCACACACACGCAATTTTCATCCCCCCCCATACCTTTTTCCATAAGAGAGAGCTCTTAACACGCAGAGCAAGAATGAGAAAGTACTGATGTGGTACCCATGAGGAGATAACCACAGTTAGCGTGTTAGTTTTTGTTTCAGGCAAGTTTCTGAGCTTAATTTTTACCATAATCAAATGTGTAGTCACTAGGTGGTTTTGAATCTGGAATTTTTTGACACATTCCATTATGGAGTAAAACTTCCCATTTAACACGTGTTATGAGGAGAATTTGAATTGGCTACAAACCATTCCATGGAGCAGTTGTGTGATAATTTGCCTTATCATTTCCATGTATTTTCAATTTTCCAAATATTTCAAGTACTATGATGAACATTTTTTGTGCATTTTTTTCAAAGGAAGATTTCCTTTAGCTAGGTTCTCTGGATTACTAGATTAGGATAATCCAGTAAAATCTAGGATAGTTTTAGTAGTATAACTAGATCAAAAGAATATGGACATTGAGGGGGGGTGGCGTTGTTGCATAGCGAGTAAAGCCACTACTTGCAGTGCTGGCATCCCATATGGACGTCGGTTCGAGTCTTGGCTGCTCCACTTCTGATCCAGCTCTCTGCTACGGCCTGGGAAAGCAGTGAAAGATGGCCCAAGTCCTTGGGCTCCTGTACTCATGTGGGAGACCTGGAAGAAGCTCCTGGCTCCTGGTTTCAGATCAGCAAAGCTCCAGCCATTGCAACCATCTGGGGAGTGAACCAGCAGATGGAAGACCTCTCTCTCTCTCTCTCTCCCTCTCCCTCTCCCCCTCTGTAACTCTGGCTTTCAAATAAATAAGCCTTTAAATGAACAGAATATGGACACTGAAAAATTCTTGGTATATATTATTGGTTTGATTTCCAAATATATCACTCTGTTAATCAGGCAGCATGTGCAAGAGTAGACACACTCTCTCTTTTTTTAAAAATAATTAAAACTTTTGCTGATTTTAAAACAAAAAATGGTGGAGTACTTATGTTTGTTGAGTTGATAATTAACAAGGTTGAATGTTTTCCTGTTTTTTAGTGCACTTCATTTAAAAACTATTATTTATTTAAGAGGGAGGGAGGGAGGGAGGAAGAGACACACACACACAGAGAGAGAGAGAGGGAGAGAGAGAGAGGAGAGAGAGAGAGAGGAGAGAGAGAGGAAGCCTCCATACACTGGTTCACTGCCCAGATGCCTGGAGTGCCTGTGGCTGCACCAGGCTGAAGCCAGGAGCGGGAGCTGGGAATTCAGTCCAGGTCTCTTGTGTGGGTGGCAGGAACCCAGTTGCTTGCGCTATCATCATTGCCCCCAGGATCCACACTGGCAGGAAACTGGAGCCAGAGCCAGCGCGGCGTCTCAATTCCAGCTGCTCTGATACTGCATGGGGACCTCCTAACCACCAGGCCCAATCTGCCTGCGCCCCTTCAGTTCTTTTCTTCCTATAAACTGCCTGTTCACATCTCTTATTATTTTTAAAATTTTATATAAAGGAAACAAATTTCACGTATGCATTTTTTAATGATTTATTTATTTATTTGAAAGTCAGAGTTAACACAGAGAGAGAGGAAAGGCAGAGAGAGAAAGAGGTCTTCCATCCACTGGCTCACTCCCCAGTTGCCCAGTTGGCCACAACGGCCAGAACTGCGCGGATCCGAAGCCAGGAGCCAGGAGCTTCTTCCCGGTCTCCCATGCGGGTGCAGGAGCCCAAGGACTTGAGTGAGGCGGGAAGTATGGTGCTCTTAAAACTACATATGTAGGCCGGCGCCGCGGCTCACTAGGCTAATCCTCCGCCTAGCGGCGCTGGCACACCGGATTCTAGTCCCGGTCAGGGCGCCGGATTCTGTCCCGGTTGCCCCTCTTCCAGGCCAGCCCTCTGCTGTGGCCAGGGAGTGCAGTGGAGGATGGCCCAGGTGCTTGGGCCCTGCACCCCATGGGAGACCAGGAAAAGCACCTGGCTCCTGGCTCCTGCCATCGGATCAGCGCGGTGTGCCGGCCGCAACGCGCCGGCCGCGGCGGCCATTGGAGGGTGAACCAACGGCAAAAAGGAAGACCTTTCTCTCTGTCTCTCTCTCTCACTGTCCACTCTGCCTGTCAAAAAAAAAAAAAAAAAAAAAAAACAAAACTACATATGTAGCCAGCGCCGCGGCTCACTAGGCTAATCCTCCACCTAGCGGCGCCGGCACACCAGGTTCTAGTCCCGGTCGGGGCGCCGGATTCTGTCCCGGTTGCCCCTCTTCCAGGCCAGCTCTCTGCTGTGGCCCGGGAAGGCAGTGGAGGATGGCCCAAGTACTTGGGCCCTGCACCCCGTGGGAGACCAGGAGAAGCACCTGGCTCCTGCCATCGGATCAGCGCGGTGCATCAGCCGCGGTGGCCATTGGAGGGTGAACCAACGGCAAAGGAAGACCTTTCTCTCTGTCTCTCTCACTGTCCACTCTGCCTGTCAAAAAAAACAAAAACAAAAACAAACAAACAAAAAAACAACTGCATACGTGGGGCCAGCGCTGTGGTGCAGCAGGTTAACGCCCTGGCCTGAAGCACCGCCATCCCATATGGGCACCGGTTCTAGTCCTGGCTGTTCCTCTTCTGATCCAGCTCTCTGCTATGGCCTGGGAAAGCAGTAGAAGATGGTCCAAGTGCTTGGGTCCCTGCACCTGCCAGGGAGACCTGGAAAAGAAGCTCCTGGCTCCTGGCTTCGGATCAGCGCAGCTCCGGCTGTTGCAGCCATCTGGGGAGTGAACCAGCAGATGGAAGACCTCTCTCTCTCTCTCTCTCTGCCTCTCCTCTCTGTGTAGCTCTGACTTTCGAATAATAAATCTTTAAAAAATTTTAAAGTGAAATCTATTTTTTTAAAAATTATGATTTCCTCCATTTATTTTATAGCTATGCCATCTTGCCTTAACCAAAGATTAGACAAATATTTGCTATTTCTTCTAGTTATGTTTTTCTCATCTCTCAAATTCACTTGGAATTTAATTTTGTATATAGTGTGAGGTAAGGATCTAAACTGACTTGATTTTTTGAACAATTCTTCTTGCAACATTATTCATAGAATAGTTTTCCACTTACCTATTGATTTATGATTCAAAATGGGTCTATTTTCTGTCTGCCTCTTAAACTCATACCATTCTGTTTAAAATTTGTCTTAATATCTGGTAGTATATTTTCTCTTATTCTTCTTTTAAAAATAAATTTGATTTCTCACTTTTATTTGCTTTTTAAAATTTTTATTATTTATTTAGAAGACAGAGAACAGGAGAGAGAGAGAGAGAGAGAGAGAGAGAGAGAGAGAGAGAGAAACATCTCCAATTGTTGGTTTACTCCACAAATGTCTGCAATAGCCAGGGCTGGTTCAGGTGGAAGTCAGGGGCCCAGACCTCAGTCTGGGTCCCCCACATGGGTGGCAGGGACCCAAGTACTCGAGTCATCACCTTCTGTCTCCCAAGGTGTGCCTTAGCAGGAAGCTGGATCAGAAGCAGAGCTGGGACCCAAACCCAGGTTCCTTGTGACATGTGGACGTCCCAAGCGGCAGCTTAACCTGCCATTCAGTTTGCTGTAACTGAACTTCAGGATGATTTTCATCATGTACCCAAACAATCTCCCTTGGCATGTGAAGGAAACCTGAATGCTGAACCCTTAGTGTACTGGTTCGTTTTTCACCAGAGGCGACCGTCTTTGTTTTGGTGCCTGGCTGTGGTTGTCCCATGTTGGCAGAAGCCACGACACAACTCGCAGAGGACTTGCAGCTTCCCCATCTTCTAGAACACGAGGACTTTCATGCTGAGCATCTTGTGAGGGGAACTGGGCACAGGCATTTTCCATACTTCTCAGTGACGAGGCTGAAGACATGGCGATTACCTAACTAACCCAACACAGGCCGGAACACAGCCGATTTTGCTACCTATAAATTGCCTGGCACATACCGTCCCTGTCTTTGGAGAGAATCCAGGTGTTACTACCTTGCTTCATTTAATCAGAACTGCCCCCTCCCCAACTTAAAAAAAAAAAAAAAACGATTTATTTTATTTATTTGAAAGGCAAGTTAACAGAGAGGGAGGGCCAGCAGAAAGCCATCCTCCTCTTCTGGCTTACTAACCCCGTGACCACAACAGCCAGGCTGAAGCCAGGAGCCTAGAACTCCATCTGGATTTCTCACGTGGGCGGCAAGGGCCCATGTATTTGGGCTATCATCCACTGCTCTCCCAGGGGCATGAGCTGGAAGCTGGATTGGAAGCCCAATCCCAGAGCAGCTGGGACTCAAACCAGGATTCCCAGGGGTGCTGGCATCACAAGCAGCAGCTTAACCTGCTGTGCCACACAGCACCAGCCCCTCCCTTTGTTTTTGAGGAAATAAAATAGATGCATGAGCTCTACCGCCACGCCTCCCTCCTCTTCTCCTCTCCATTGAAATTAGAATATGTTTTTGTTCGTGTGTTTTCACATTTTAAGATAATACATGAAAGCATAAAAAGCAATAATGAATCTATATATACTTATTTTTGATAATGTAAAATTATACATAAATGATACCATACTCCTTTCTGTAACTTGCTTTTTTCCCACTTAAATTTTTTTAGATTTATTTTATTTTATTTGAAAGTCAGAGTTAGAGAGGCAGAGGCAGAAAGAGAGAAAGAGAGAGAGAGAGAGAAAGTCTTCCATCCACGGTTTACTCCACAAATGGCCTCAATGGCCAGACATGAGCTGATCTGAAGCCACGAGCCAGAAGCTTCCTCCAAGTCTTCCATGTAGATGCAGGAGCCCAAGGGCTTGGACCATCCTCTACTGCTTTCCCAGGCCAAAGCAAAGAGCTGGATCGGAAGAGTAGCAGCTAGGACTTGAATGGGCACTCCATGGGATGCCAGCACTGCAGTTGGCAGCTTTACCCACTATGCCACAGCACCTGCCCCTTAATATTTTTTTTTGAGATTTATCCAAGTTGATACATGTAGGCCTAGTGTATTTTTACACTGTTTGTTTCCTATGCTAAAACTAAATCAAAGTATGTTTTCTCATCCCTTACTTGCAGGATAGGCTGGTTTCGCTTTTTCTCGACTGTAAGGTGTTGCCGATGAACATCCTTGCCCACCTGGGTCTGCATCAGCCTCTCTCTAGTGTAGATCCTTCAAAGCAGAGCTGATGGCTCCAGGTGTGTTTAGAACAATGACGCCATTGTTCCACTGCTCCCCGCCTGCTGGGTTAGGGTGCTGGCGCAGCCCTGAGCCATCTGGAGGGCGGATTACAGCAAACCACTGTGGTGTCTGTTCAGGCCCGAGGTGGGGCTGAGAACTGCAGAGTGGCTGCAGCTGCTGCCCACAGATCACACTTATGATCCACTGGGCTGGATTAAGCCACGTCTCATTGGCTCGCCAGCAACAGTGGCTCTTGCTCACATGGATGGGGCCCAGAAAGAGGCTCCAGCAGGTGGCTGTGCTGCTCAGGACGCAATCCTCAGGCTTTCTGCTTAGAGCACAGGCACCTGTCATCTCCTTGTGTCTCCTGTGTTGCTGTTAACACATTCCAGGGCTGGCGCTGTGGCGTAGTGGGTAAAGCCTGCAGTTCCGGCATCCCCTATGGGTGCCGGTTCAAGTCCTGGCTGCTCCACTTCCAATCCAGCTCTCAGCTAATGTGCCTGCCTGGGAAAGCAGAAGATGGTCCAAGTCCTTGGGCCCCTGCACCCACATGGGAGATCTGAGGAGGCTCCTGGCACCTGGCTTCAGATCAGCTCAGCTCCTGCTGTTGCGGCCATTTGGGGAGTGAACCAGTGGGTAGAAGACTCTCTCTCTGCCTCTCTCTAACTCTGCCTTTCAAATGAATAAATCTTTTTAAAAAATAACATATTCCGTGTGGTCTGGATTCCCTGTCTTTTCTCTCTGACCACTTTTGGAGATTGATTATTTTATTTTCTTACTATTTATTATTTGCGTTTCCTCCTTGGAAGCTTGAGGAACGTTGCCAGTGGTGTGAAATTTCCTGGTGATGTGCTCCTGCGTGGCTCTTTTTGTCCTTGGTGCTTGGCACTTGGAGGCTTTCATCCTGCAGATTTATGTCCTGTTCTGGGAAATCCTGAAATTTTCAGACTTGCATCCTCTTCATCTCCTCTCTTCTTTCCTCCAAGGACTCGTATTTTGTCACCTAATTAGATCTATTGGTCTAATCACCTTAATTTTCCCACCTTTCCCATATAGCCCATCTCCTTAGAGTTGCTTTATGTTCTTGAAGATTTATTTACCCCTATACTCAAGCCTTTCTATTCCTTTTACATTTCTGTCATCACATATAACAAAAAAAAAATTGGAGGAACTGGGCAGGAGGAGTTCCCGTACACCCCACACTCGGTTCCTGCTATTTTTAGCATCACATTGCTATGGTGCATTTGCTACAATTAATGCCCCAACACTAGGCATTATTAGCTAGAAAGCCATTCTTTACTCAGACATCCTTAGTTTTTACTGATTTTTCTTTTCTATTCCATAATCCCATTAGAATCTCCCAACGTACTGACTTGTCCTGTTTCCTGAGACTCCTCCTGTCTGTGACAACTGCTCAGACTTCTCCCGTTTTTGATGACCCTGGCGGGTGTGAGGAGGGCCGGTCAGGGATTTTACAGAATATTCCTGGGTTGGGATGTGTCCATTCCTCTCATGGTTAGGTTGGGGTTGTGGAGCTCTGGGAGGCAAAGTGCTCTTTAATCACAGCATCGAAAGGGTGCAGGCTGTCAGCCTGAGTTGACCTTGGTCCCCTGGCTGAGGTCTTGCTTGTCAGCTTTCTCCATTGTCAAGTTTCTCTTTCCTCGTCTCCCCATGTTTGGCTCTTTGGAAGGGAGTTGCCACATGAGCCCACGTGTGCTTTGGGGGTTACGCTCTGTCTCCTTGAGGGCTGCTATCATATTTTTATTTCTGTGAGCCTTTTTTTTCCCAGCTAAAAGCCTTTTGTTTAAATAACCCATTGTTCTTCATTATGGTTGCAATAGATTTTCTTACCTTTCTGGGGATAGTCTAGTCTTTAATTTTTCTTTTAATTTTTATTGGCTTACTTTTATTTGAAAGGAAGAAAGATGAAAGAGAGAGAGAGAGGCTGCGAATTTCATCTGCTGGTTCACTTCCCAAAGCCCACAAAAGCTAGTGCTGGGCCGGGTCAGAGCCAGGAGGCTGGACTCAGCCTGGGTCTCACGCGGGTGATGGGGATCCGAGCACTTGAGCCCTCACCTGTCGCCTTCCATGCTGCACATTAGCAGGAAGCCAGGTCAGACAGGGGGAGCCGGGACTCAACCCACAATCAGTGCTGTGCCAAACACCTGCTCCGTTATCACAGTTAGAAAAAAGTTTTCATAAGCGATCCACATTTTTCTTCTTCCAAGTTCTTTTCCGTATGTTTGTTTTCTTCAGCTCAGAATCTCTTCTCAAATGTGTGTTGCTTCTTGGTGGTTTGTTCACACATTAGGACTGGGACATGAAAAAGCCACAGGAAGCTCAGCGTAAGTGAGCTTTGCTGGCTGGTGGTCAGCTAACCTGATTGTTTCATTGCACGCATTTTCCATGGCTGCTGTGACAAATTACCACACACCTGGGGGCTTAAAAGATTCTGGAGGTGAGAGTTTTTTTCCTTGCTGCTTCCAGCTTCTAGTGGCTGCTGGAATCCCTTGGCTGGTGGCTGTATCGCTCCGATCTCTGCCTCCTCTTCATGGGAAATCTCCTGCTCCCTCCCCCTTGCAGGCACACGTGTGATGGCATTCAAGGCCCACCCAGAGAATCCAGGATGGCCCCCTACCTTCACATCCTCAACTTAACTACACCTGCAAAGACCTTTTTACTTTTTTCTTATAAGATAACACTTATCAGCTTCTGGGTTTAGATCTAGTAGTTTTATTTTGGGGGGGAGGCATTATCTAGCCCATATCCTGGGAAATCCCACATGTTCTGTTTTATTCTTCATTGATCAGTTCCTCCAGGAGAGGGATTCTCAAATCTCTTGCCTGACTGCCAGGGTTCTTGGTGCTGGAGGGACAGGGGGACCATGCAGTCTTTTTTTTTTTTTTTTAAGATTTATTTTATTTATTTGAAAGACAAGAGTTACAGAGAGAAGTAGAGCCAGAGAGAGAGAGAGGTCTTCCATCTGCTGGTTCACTCTCCAAATGACCACAATGGTCAGAGCTGAGCTGATCCAAAGCCAGGGGCTAGGAGCTTCTTCTGGGTCTCCCATGTGGGTACAGGGGCCCAAGGACTGGCACCATCTTCTACTGCTTTCCCAGGCCACAGCAGAGAGGTAGATTGGAAGTGGAGCAGCCAGGACTTGAACTGGCGTCCCCATGGGATGCTGGGACTGCAAGCCAGGGCTCTAACCCGGTGCACCACAGTGCTGATCCCCCATACAGTCTTAAGGAGGTAGGCTTTAAAAAATAACCCCTGCTTGTAGCACAGCAGCTCACGCTTGGTGGGGTCTCTGTCCCCAAGACCAGAGTGGCTTTAGTTGGGTGTCTTTAGAGAGGAGACCCCGGTCTAGACCCCGGCGGAGAGACAGCCGACAGTTCCGTGGGGCCAGGCCCAGGGTGGGACTACTCTGTGACTTCCTGAGATCTTCAGCTGAGCCCAGCTGGCTGCACCGATGACGCCTGCACCTCCTGGGCCTTGGGCTCTCAGGCAGAGGGAACAGCCTGCTCCTGGGCCTCGGCTGTTGATGCAGACAGCAACCTTCTCTCCCCCTAAGGGGCCACTTAGCCACACACCTTCTCATCTCCCAGACTTTGCCAGTGCTGTCTCTTTGTCCTTGTGGAGTTGAATGCAATGAAGGATGCCTATATTGACATGTGTGCACGCGTGTGTGCGTGCATGTAAGGGAGCATACATTCAATCTGCTGTTTAAAATGACACGTGCTGATACGTGCCTCTCAGTGTGTGGTCCCCCACACAGCAATGTCAGCATTACTGGGGAACCTTGCAGAAATGCGACTTCTCGGCTGGACCCTGGGGCCTCTGGATCATGGACCCTCGGGCGGGGTCTGACGATCTGTGTTTTAAGAAGCCTTGCTGACCATTCCGCTGCTCGCCAACGCTTGAGAACCGCCATGGGGAGGGATCTGATTCTTCGCGTCTCCCTCCCTCCCAGCCCAGGCTCTCCCTGCAGCGAGTGTGGGTCACCTGGCTCAGAAGCAGTCAAGTCCACAGAGCTGCCTGAGGAGGGCAGCAGAGGGCCTTACCACGTGTCTGTTTTGGAGGTAAATATTCCCTCCATGAAGGCCTCCGGGGGCATCCACTTAACTGGCAGCATTGCACAGCCTCCCTTCCTGTAGTAGCTCGCTCTGTGGGGAAGAAGAGGAAACCAAGCTTGGACCTGGGGGTGGCACGAAGCAGAAGCCCGTGGGACACTTGTGAAAGCAGCGACAGCAAAGTCTTCCATGAAAGGGCAGACGGGTCCCCCGTGGCTCAGGAGGCAAGCGGGGCGGGGGGAGGACAGATCCTGTGGTTAAGAACTTCGGTGTAATTTAATGGGAGACAACACAGCCCGCTGGAGGCATGAAGAGAAAGATCTGTGCGATGACTAAGACACCCGCCAGCAGAGGCTCAGATCTCCCAGCTGGGGTTTGCTTCATTGTAACTCCCCATGAATAACATCACTCCAGCCTTCTGCGTACAGTGTTGCCGGGGACCTGCAGGGACACAAGATCCACAATGGGGACATGGAGAGCCGGGCTCATGTCTTAGTCACTTTGGAGCCTCTGTGGCGCTCGTGTGGTCTTCAGTTCCATGCAGGCACTCAGCAAATCATCCAGACAGCTGTGGGAAGCTGCCTCCCCTGACACACAGTGAACTGCATTAGTGACGGTGCTGATAGAAACTCATAAATGAACTCAGCTGCCTTTTAAGGGAACGCCATGCCTCGCCCCGTATTCTCCCGTCTGGATGTGTTACCGGAGTCAGCTCCCCGCCAGCCACCTACATTAACTAATTACTTCAATAAATAGGTACTGAGTATTTAGTATGGATCAGGTACTCTGCCATGTGCCGAGGACATAAATAAGTCAGGGTCTCCGTCTCCCAGGATGCAGTTCGGTGGAGGAAACACACCTGCGGTTGGAGCACAGATGAGCACTGGCAATAGCATGGGACTGTACACAGCTCAGTAATGCATAGAAAGAACTGACTCCCTCCATGCGAGGCAGGGCTGGGAGGCGGGGGAAACTCCACAGAGGGGCATGATGGGGCTGAGTGACCAAGGAGCTCTCTCAGAAGACTCCTGCTGAGCCCTGAGGTTGGCTGGGTGTGTGGGGAACAGTGTGGGGCCATAGGTATGCTATGGGGGCTGAAGCCTAGCACTGGGGTGCTGTCAGAGCTGAGGCTAGGCAGGAAGGGGCTCTGTAAGTCATGTTGTGGCTCGTGCACCTTAAATCAGAGGCGGTCTGAGGGATTCTGAGAATGGAGGGTGAGGACGGCTGGGACCTGGGCAGCAGAGGGTCAAGTGCAGCACAAGGAGTTATGGTGACAGCAGCAGCGGTAGACAACTCCAGGAGGCTGGTCCCTAACTCAGTCTTCCAGGTGCTGCTACCCGATGGCAATGTTCCTCTGGAGACTGTCACCAGTTCTGACATAGCCTTCAAGGTGCCTGCATCAATCTCACGGATTCTCCAGAGTTAGAGCTCTCCCTAACCATCTCTCCTCACTCTACCCCTGGGGGCTAGGGAAGGGGTCACTAGGGACCATGCCGAGGAGTGACACGCTCAGCTCACATAGCAGGTCCCTGTTGGAAATACTTAGAAAAAGATGAAATTGGGCACTGGGAAGAGCAGTGTGAGAGAAAGTATAAGGGAAGCTTTTTTTAAAAAAATTAAACTTTTTATTTTAAATATATCCCTAAGAATATGACAGGGAAAAAGAAATGAGGCAGAGCTAAGTACCTACGGGTCCTGAGATGCCCTCGCATGCTTCCTGCTGTGGACAAGGCAGACCCATGAGCTGAGCCCACTGTCCACTCGGTTCTGGGGTGCTCATGCCTCGGCTCATGGAAGCTATGGCCGTCTGCCAAGAATTTCTGCCTATTGAGGACAGGGGTTGAGGAAGTTAACATTTATTTCAAAGCTTTTTCCATTTCAAGGGTCCAAATTATTTAGAGTCTCAGAATATGGCAGGATGAGCGCATTGGAACCAGAAAGACGCCCTAATTAAGAACTTGGTGTCGATTATTGCGGGCAGTGTGATCCTAGAAGTAGACAGACCTTCAGGCAGGGGAACTAATTAAGGCTCCCCATATTCTGAAGTGAACTGAATGGAATTCCAGGTTGAAAGCTGGTAAGGGGCCAGGAGCGATAAGGTTCGTAAGGTTCATGGAGTGGCCACATCCCATTCACTCGAGGGGATGAGGCTGGGAGATGGGCTTCCATGGGCAATAGCAGCCTCACCTGTAGATGTCTCGGGCCATTCCAAAGTCTCCGATCTTGGCCACTCTTCCCGTGCCTGGACAGGTCAAGAGGCAGTTCCTGGCAGCAATGTCCCTAGGGAGAGAAAAAATGAGAGATTGCATTTGCTAATCTTGTCCTGGGAAGAGAAAGGCATAACATCCATCAGTAGGAATTTCACTTCCAATCTGAAGTTCACATAGGTCCCTCTTCTACTTGATATTTCTTCTGTTACATTATACTTTAGTATGAAATAGCTATGCCAATTCTAGACCTCAGACCTATCAGGAAAATGGAAAAGGATTAGGGGAAATGATTGACAATGCTTAATGAGACAGTAATAGTGAAAATGACTATAATAGCAACTAGAATTTATTGGCTTTTTTTTTTTTTTACTATGTACTAAGCATTGTTCTAAGTGCGTCAAATCTAATTCTCACAACAACTCTATAAGAAACAGGGAGCTATTATCATCCTATTTTGTTAAAAAATTAAGGCAAAAGCAGATCTAATACAAGGAAGGGCATAAGAAATATAGTTTGAGTTTTGGCTGTTGTTTTAAAAAATTAGAAATTATTCCAGAAGAGGGGAGGGAGAGAGAGAGAGAGAGAGAGAGAGAGAAAACTCCCTCATCCATTGGTTTATTTCCCAAGGGCCCACAGCAGAGCCAGGGTTGGCCAGGCTGAAGCCAGGAAGCCAGGAGCTGGGAACTCAATGCAGGACTCCTGTGTGGGTGGCAGGGACCCGAATCCTTGAGCCATCACTGCGTCTCCTGGAGTCTTCATTAGCAGGAGCTGGAATTGGGAGTGGAACTGAGACTCCAATGCACGCACTCTGACGTGGGTGTCTTAACCAGCATCTTCACTGCTAGGCCATATGCCCACCCAGCTCCTGCCCTGAATAGACTACTGACTGGTTTCTGCCAGCTGTTTGAAGGAATGTTCTAGAACCATATGGCTTCCATGACAACAAATTGAAGTCGGTTAAGATATTCCCCAATACTTTTAGCTGTCTTTTTTCATTTGTTTGCTTTTTAAGAAATTGCCTTGTTAAACCTTGTGCTATGGTGCATGGCTGAAGAGTCGCTGCTTTCCGGCTATACAGCTGTTTTCTGTGCTGTGAGGCTGCAGGCACCCTGTGCCTGGGAGGCAAGATCTACAGCTTCTCACGACCCCTCCGCTGCTCACCCACTGACATGCATGTGGGGCTGGAGGCCGCGGCGGGAGCCTGGGGCAGGTCTCTAGCCACACTCCAGTCTTGTGCAGAAAAACAAGCACCGAGGGAGCACCGGTGGTGTTTTCACATTTGCAGCTAGTGTCATTAAGGTTCTGAGCCTTGGCTGAGACAGATTTTGCAGAATACACAACTGGCTAATATTAAAAAAATAAAAAAGCACAAGACTGGGGATCGTGGCTTGAAGTTCCAGAACAGCAGGCTCAGATGTGATTAGAGCCACTGACCTGATCCAGAGGTTTAAGTTGAATTTTGAGGGGCAGTGGTGCATAAAATGCTTCAAAGAAAGCACAAAAATGGGGGCTGGTGCTCTGGCGTAGTAGGTCACGCCCCAGTCTGCAGTACCGGCATCCTATACGGGCACCAGTTCAAGTCCTGGCTGCTCCACTTCCTATCTGGCTTCCTGCTAATGTGCCTGGGAGGATGGCCTGGGTCCTTGGGCCCCTGCACCTACGTGGGGGTTCCAGAAAAAGCTCCTGGCTCCTGGCTTTGGATCAGCCCAGCTCTGGCTGTTGTGGCCATCTAGGGAGTGAACCAGGGATGGAAGATCTCTCTATGTCTCTCTCTCTCTGTAACTCTGCCTCTCGCATAAATAAATAAATCTTAAAAAAAACCATAAAATGTATGACATTAAAATGAAGAAAAACAGTTGCATACATAGTCATTAATTCTCAAGAGAAATAGACTGTAGCAGGCCAGGAACAGTATTTATGGCTCCAGAAAGGCCTTTAGGTATGGAGTGGTTGTTGAAAAAAGTCATCCTGAATTTAATGGCAAGAAAGTAAATGTCGTATCACAGAACACACCACGAACTGTGGCGTGTTGCGTAATTCTTGAGGCGGCAGTAAGCCCTGTTCAAAGGAGACAGATGGAATGACAGAGAGTGGGAGCGCATGGCTCTGGTGAGGGGCTGTGTATGGGTGACTGTGGCTCTCCAGGGCCGGGCAGGGCAGGGCCGGGACAGCGGGAGGGGACTAGAGGGGCTTGCACTATGGCCAGCATACTTCCTGATTGCCTTTCTGCATTTTTATTAGGGAGAGCGTGTGGCTTGCTGTGCACTCACAGACTTGCCGTTTCTAACGTCATTTGGCATCTCTCGTTTTCTACTCTGTACTGCTAATTATCATGAACATGCCTTACACTGTTTGAAGACACAGGTTAAAAAATGAGGGTGAGCTCTGCAAGCTATTATTTATTACTAAATTAGAAGCAAATCACTAGGAAGAAGTTTGCAAAGAGCCTAACAAATTTTTTTTTTATTTTTTTATTTTATTTTTTTTTTACTTTTCAGGTTTCGGAATCAAGATGTAAGCTGAGACAGTCACGGATATCCCCAAGGACAGAACAGAATCAAGGGTGGATGTGACGCCTTGTCCAGTACTTAACCACAAATATATAGTGGAAGACACAACGTGTAAAAGTAGAAAAAAATACTCATTATGAAGAAAATTCTGGGAAACGCTAATTTATCTGACATTTATTGTGCCCTCCTTATATGTCAGGGATCGGAAGATACATTAACAGAGTCCTTGTCTTCGAATTACTTATTGCTGAACATGTGGAAGTATGAACTCCTCTAACTTCCCACGCGGGAGTCCCGTGTTCTAGGTGGGAGAACCTTAGTGACCCAGGACTTCAACGTCCAGAACAACTTCTAGGCGCCCAGCACTAGCAGTGCATAGTCTCACCTACCCATTTGACTGATGGGACAAGTGGAGCCCCGGTAGAGTTAAGTGAGGACAAACAAGGTTGCGTTTTCCCGACAGCTGCGGGGAGACCTGGGCCCTTGAGCCACGCAGGGACGCGGACAGAAGGCAGTGGGCAGGGCAGGGCCCCGGGGACTCACCGGTGGATGAAATGGTTTTCCTCTAGATACTGACAGCCGCAGGCAATGTCCCGAGCCACGTGCAGCAGGTCCAGCATGGCCAGGGAGGAGGGCTGATTCTGGGGGAGACAGAAGCCGTCACTGCCAGGAAGCTCTCGGAGGGAGGGCAAAGTGGGAAAGCCTGGCTTCAAGTGCCCGCCCACAAGAGGGCGCTGCTCCTGCAGGGGTCGCAGCCCTGGCTGCAGCCACCTGGAGGCACTGAAAAGACATCACCTGGGCCCCGACCCAGACCAAGGATTGGCTCTCTGGGGGTGGGCACTGCGGCCGTGCACGAGAGCTTCGACTGGAACAAGCAGCCAGGGCTGGAAGGCCTGAATGACAGGATCTAGGACGGGCCAGGGCTCCCTGCCCTGATTTCTTCTGCACCTGCGTCCACTGCAGCCTCCCTGAGCCGCTGACTACCCCCAAGTGATAAGCAAACCATGGGGGAAACCAACCGGGAATATTGTTGCTTCACAAGTCCTCTCTTTAGGGTGGCCCTGTGGCGTAGTGGGCTAAGCCTCTGCCTGCAGTGCTGGCATCCCATATGGGCGCCGGTTCGAGTCCCGGCTGCTCCACTTCCAATCCAGCTCTCTGCTATGGCCTGGGAAAGCAGTAGAGGATGGCCCAAGTGTTTGGGGCCCTGCCCCCATATGGGAGACCCAAAAGAAGCTCCTGGCTCCTGGCCATTGCAGCCATTTGGGAAGTGAATTAGCAGATGGAAGACCTTTCTCTCTGTCTCTCCTTCTCTGTCTGTAACTCTACCCCCCTCTTTAAATGTATGAACGGTTTTGTAAAGATGCACGTTTCTCCAGGAAAATCCAAGCGGAAGGTGAGTGAGAAAGACAGGCTTCTGGAGAGGGCTGGGCAGGGGAGCGACTTGGCTGTCAGAGCGGGTGTTTTTCACGCAGCAGCCATGCCCACCTCTGGGGCACCCATGGCCTGGCTCCTGGGACAGCCTCACTGGGCGCCCAGGTGATGTCTTCCGAAGGCCTCATCCTGTCTCCGGCTCTCCTTTGATCCCTGAATCCCCGTGTGCGGCAGCGCTGGATTCCCCCTGCTGCTCTGTGAGCCCCTGTGTCCCCAGGGCACTTTGGAAACCCTTTCTCAGTAGCTAGAACGGCACTTGTGCACACTCTGGGTGGTCGGGAAGTGCCAGGGGCTGGCTTGCTCACTGGCGCTGTGGACCAGGATTTATCTAAAGGTTGTGTTTCAAGACAGCGCAGCTGGGCGGGCAAACAGCCGCCTGTGGGTGGTGTGGGATGGCGTCAGCCCCAGGAAGGGGAGCAGATGGTGACTTAACCACACTTCCTGCAGGAGACGGGTGCCTGCGGCTTTCCTGTTCTGCTGTGCCTTCTAAGAAATCCAGAGTTCTGTACCCTTGAGTGCACTGCCTTCCGAGTGACCCAAGATCTGGGCTCCCTCGTTCTGACTGCCCACAGGGAAGCCACTCCCCCAGGTGACAGCAGCGTCACCAAGGCTCAGCCTGCTGGGGCCTTCTGGGCTTGAGATCAGGGCTCCGGACCCCTCATGGCAATGGCATGGGTCTGGGGAGGCAGAAAGGGTCCTGCTTCTCCAGGCCAGGCACCCACTCTGGGGCGAGTGCTCCGGGAGGGCCGTGTCGCGTGCCGGCACCTCACTTCCAATGGCGTGGTGCCCTGTGATGCCAGGGTCTGTGAGAGATGAGCATCTCCACATTAAAGCTGCAAATGCTGAGGGCTCAGAGACACTAAGTGACTCTCCCCAGGTCACACAGCTGAAACAGGGGGAGCCAGCACTGCCCAGAACTGGTCTTTTTTTTAAAGATTTATTTATTTATTTGAAAGTCAGAATTACACAGAGAGAGAAGGAGAGGCAGAGAGAGAGAGAACCATCCACTGGTTCACTCCACAGATGATTGCATCAGCCGGAGCTGCGCTGATCTGAAGCCAGGAGCCAGGAGCTTCCTCCGGGGTCTCCCACGTGGGTGCAGGGACCCAAGGACTTGGGCCATCCTCTACTGCTTTCCCAGGCCATAGCAGAGAGCTGGATGGGAAGTGGAGCAGCTGAGACTCGAACCGGCGCCCATATGGGATGCCGGCACTGCAGGTGGTGGCTTTACCTGCTACACCACATCACCAGTCCCCAGAACTGGTCTTGAGGAATCCGGATCGGGGGGAGGCAAGGTTCATGCAGTCAGAGTTGAGCTTCATAGGCGTGTCCATGGACACACTGCACAGTATGCCGGGGAAACAGAAGTCAGCACCACCCATCAACGCAGTGGCTGGCTGCACTGACACGTGTGGGTCCACACGTGTGTCACACGGCCCCGGCCTGGGGCTGGCTGCTCGGCCGCTCTTGGCACCACAGCTCCCCTTGGTCTGTGCATGTGGCTTGCTGCCGTCAGCCTCGCGGGCCTGGCAGGGGCCTCACCAAGAAGCAGCATGGCAACACTTCGAAGGGGGCCATAGCCATTGCTGGGCTGTGGTGTGGGAGGCTGCGGGGATCTCAGAGGCGGATGCTGGGTTTGGTTTCTCCCAAGGCTCTGAGGGAGGCTGCCCAGTGTCTGGGAACAGCAGCAAGGAATTCTTGAGGGAAGCGGTCACTCATTTTGCCAAGGTGTCACAGTGTCTTCTTGTTTTCTGCTTCTGCCCAAGAGAACCGGGTCCTCTTCCCGCGAGTCTCTGTGTCCTGGCTCTGCCCCTCGGGGCTACATTTCTCTGGCCTCCCTGTCTGGCCACTCACAGAAAACCCGTGCTCCAAGCCCAGAAGTGGGCAGTTGGCAACCTTAGGTGTGCAGTGTGCATGCTGTGGGGTGTGTGCGTGGAGTGTGCAGTGCGCCAGGCACACATGGTGCCTGTGTCTGGGCTGTCTGGTATGTGTGCAGTGTGTATGTGTGTGTGCTGAGTGTGGTGTGGGGTGTGTATATGTGGTGCATCTGGGTGTTTGGTATCTGTATGTCTGGTGTATTTGTGTCTGTGGGGGTCTGGTATGTGTGCAGTGTGCATGTGTGTGGTGTGTGTCTTTTGAGTGTAGTGTGTGGTACATATATGTGGTGTGTCTGGGTGTGGGTACATGCATTTACGTGTGGGGTCTGCCTGGCATGTGTGCACGGTATGTATGTGTGTGTGTGTGTGTGTGCAGTGTTTGTGTGGAGGATGTATGTATGAGGGGATAGGATGAGGTGTGGACACTGTGGCAAAGCCAACACTTACACAGCAGTGGAGGCTGTGGAGCTGGCCATGTGCCCGGTGCCATGTGTACCCATTCTGGGGCACAGAATGGCCTGGAATCAGAATTTCACCCTCACCTTCCCTGTTGTGTGGTGCTTCCTCTGTCATCCTGATATTCTGCCCACGGCCATGGCCACAGACACCTGCTGCGGGCACTGGGAGAGGGTCCAGCGTGCCCCAGGCGGGGCTGTGGGATGGGTGTGGGAGGTCAGGCAGGCGTGGGCATCCTGGTTAGGCAGGTTTCTCTGTGACAACAATGACCTGAGTCTCCATGCTAACGTGTGCTGAGAATCAGGAAGAGGGGAGTGGGCACGGGCACCGAGGGTGGGTGACCCCCGCTGTCTTTCTTGGGTGTGGGTGTGGAGCAACGTAGGGCACTGGTGTTCCTCTAGGGACCCTGCTCAGGCCGGTGTCCTGCTTGTACAGACCTGTGTGGTGTCCAGCGTCGGAGGGGCTGTTCCTAAAAGATAATGATCCTAACATAAAAGGTGGAATGAGATCTCTCCCTCTCTCTCTCTCTCTCTCCCTCTCTCCCTCTCTCCCTCTCTCCCTCCCTTTCTGAGGCGGCTTCTCCTCAGCTATTTGGAGATGAGGGATCATGGGACAAGGGTAGAGACTGATTGGGGAGCAACAGAATAGGGAGATTTTGTAGACCAGTGCTTGGAAAGATGAGAGGGAAAGGCTGCAGACAGGAATCGCAAAACCTAAGAAGGCAGCCAAAGCCATCGTGAAAGTGGCGTGATGTAAGGGCCCTGGACCCTTGAAGCTCCTGCCTCCCGACGAGGAGCCAGGAACTCCTTCCAAAGTCTCCCATGTGGGTGCAGGGGCCCAAGGACTTGGGCCATCTTCTGCTGCTTTCCCAGGCACCAGCACTGGTGCTGTCAAAGCCAGAGCCGAGGACTTAAAGCTGAGTGTTAGTCCCACCGGGATGGCCTCACCCATAGATTGCAGGTGTCTAGGATCCAAGAAGCAACCTGTGCACTGAGCACCGTCAGTGGAGCCATCGCCCATGGCGGCACCAACTCCAAGTAGGTGCAGGCCCCTTTAAAAGAGAGGTGACTGACTCCTCAGTGGCTTTTGTCATTATGGCCTGCATTGTTGGTGGGTACTGGAAGACAGCTATCACCTGCCCCTGGCACCTCAAAGCTCTCGACACAAATCTTCTGAATTAACGTTGCAGCTGCAAAAATTATTTTGACATTAAGAGAGGATGTTCTTCAAGAGACGAAGTCCTAAGGTTGAGCTGTCTTTTCAACCTGTACCCGTGAATTTCATTTCTAGGGCAGACGAGGTTGGTGTGGGCTTCCATGCTGCTTGGCGAGTCTGCACCTGTCCTCCATGCCACGTCTGCGTACCTGTGACCCGGGGCCATGTCCAGGGGCCTCTGATCCTTGTCTATGGTCTGTGGGTGTCAGGGCTGGTGGGAAGGGAGGACCATGCCCTTGCGACTCTGCACACAGGAGGTAGCCCCTGGGAGTCTGCAGGTGATTGCAGCAGGAGACCCAGGCGGATTCCACACCTTTGGAGCCAGTGCATCTCAGAACCTGGAAGCACAATTCTACCCACCTTCTCCCAGGGGCATGGGCTTCCCCCTCCCTGCTGTCCCTTGGCCAGCTCCCTCCTCGCTGTTCTTTATTCACCCCCTCTGTCCCCTGGGAATGACATTCCAACCTCCTCTTGCCAAACTGGATTTTGTGGCTCAGAGAATCCATGTGGGAAGCTCAACAATGTGCCCCCTCACCCCTCCCCCGGGAAGCTGCCACCACAAACACATTAGAACAAGGTCACTGGGGGGCCCTTGTCGGGCATGAGAAAGCACCCCCTCCTGTGCCAGGCATCTGAGGAAGGACTGGGTTACCCGGGACAGGTGGGTGTCTGGGGAGGCAAGGAGGATGACTGGGGTGCTACCGGTGTGGGCTCAGGGAGACATGGGTGCATGGCTGGCACAGGTAGGGTCAAGAGATAGAAGAGCCGACTTGGGGGGTGGGGCCCTGCCCCTGCAGCTCTCCCAGGGGTGGGCCACCTCCCTGTTGTGGGTATCCCTTCCAGGGGTGGGGAACTTCCGGCCCGGGATTCATTAGGTCTGGCACTGCCAAGGTAACCGCAGGCAGCATTTGGTAGATTCAAAGCAGCCTAATTCTTGTAGCTGACAATTTTGTGTGGCCTGCACATGATGGCATAAATATCCAAGTGGCCCTCAGCGGAAAGGAGGGTTCCCTGGCCCTGGGGTCATGTCAGTGCGGGCTGAGAGCGGTCGGAGCTGGGCCGCAGGGACTCTGTTTGCAAGATCTCATTCCTGTGCGCGCACTGCACTTTCTTGCCTCGCGCTTCAGCAAAACACATGTTGATTTTCTTGGGATTCCTGGGCCCACTCTAGGTCTGGTTTCTTCCCAAGCTCTACCCTCTTAACCAAAACGTGTATGCAGCATCTTCCTAAAAATATTTCAGCCCTTTGGTTTCATAGCCAAACCACAAGCGTGGGATGTCTGAGTGTTCATTATTTGTATTTCAGAGAGGAGGCCATCCGAGTGTCACCTGAGTTAGCGCCATGGCCAGCATGGAGGTCCCTTTTCATTCAGCTTTGCAGAGTCAGCGGCCAGGGAAACGGAGTCTGAATGATGAGTGCATTGCACCAAGCCTCACACAAGCTCCTTGGGGCTGGGGAACACCTCACTTCTGTCCACTCTCTCCTGGCCATTCCCCATCCCGCAGCCTAGGGGCTACCTCCTCGGGTCCCAGGCCACCCCTCCTGCTCGTCCTGGCCCCTGCTCCCGTCCTTGGCGCAAACGCTGGAGCAAGGCTGGCTGCCACTCACCGGGCGAGGGCGGGTCTCCCGCAGGAAGGACTTGAGGTCTCCTCCCGCCATGAGCTCCAGCAGGATGAACCGGGGCAGGGCCTGAAGACTGACGCCGATGCAGCGCACGATGTTCTGGTGGTTGAATTTGCTGCAGAGCAGAGGGGTGTGGCTGAGCCGAGTGGAGTCTGGGACAGCTTAAGTTGGGAGCAGGACGCAAAGTCACATTTTTAGCTGCCTTCTCATGTCAGTGCGTACTGTGAATGTGGGCACCTGAGAATCTCCCTGCTGAGCAGCTGGGCAGGAGGGCAGGCTCAGTGGGTGGGGGAGCAGGCTCAGTGGGCAGGGACAGGCTCAGTGGGCAGGAGGACAGGCTCAGTGGGTGGGGGGACAGGCTCAGTGGGCGGGGGCAGGCTCAGTGGGCAGGAGGACAGGCTCAGTGGGCAGGGACAGGCTCAGTGGGCAGGAGGACAGGCTCAGTGGGTGGGGGGACAGGCTCAGTGGGCAGGAGGACAGGCTCAGTGGGTGGGGGGACAGGCTCAGTGGGCAGGAGGACAGGCTCAGTGGGCGGGGGGCAGGCTCAGTGGGTGGGGACAGGCTCAGTGGGTGGGGGGACAGGCTCAGTGGGTGGGAGGTACAGGCTCAGTGGGTGGGGGACAGGCTCAGTGGGTGGGGGCAGGCTCAGTGGGTGGGGGGACAGGCTCAGTGGGTGGGGGGTACAGGCTCAGTGGGTGGGGGACAGGCTCAGTGGGTGGGGACAGGCTCAGTGGGTGGGGGGCAGTCTCTGATGGTGAGGGGGCACCCTCCCTGGAGGGGGGGGCGGGCTTCATTGGGTGCGGGGCAGGCTCAGTGGGTGGGGGCTACAGGCTCAGTGGGTGGGGGCTACAGGCTCAGTGGGGGGGGGCAGGCTCAGTGGGCAGCAGGGCACTGGGTTGGAGGTGGTAGGAAGCTGCCCTGGCACATGACCAAAATAGCAGAATGGGTGCGGGCAGGAGAGTGGGTGCATGGACAGGGTACTGGAACCAGGGTCGAGTACTCTGAGGAAGGTCTGAGGGCAGAAGTTGAAGGAACCCTCAAGAGGGGCTGTGTGAGACCTGCCAGGTGACAGGGTGAGAAGGAGGGCCAGGAACAGGGCACATGCAGTCTCCTGCGGACTCCTTTGTGGGCACAGACTGAGTTGGGGCAAAAGGCCCGCGACTTGGGTTTTCTTCTTAATGTGATCCTATTAGGACATACGGGGTTGTGGGGCTAGAGAACGTCACAATGGCACACATACATATATATACACACAGAGAGAATTGAAATACAGGGGAACCATGCACTGAAATATAACGGTTAATTATCACCCAGCAGTGAGATGGAGAGATTTGGGTCTCTGACTTCCATGTTCAATGTTTCATTCAATACTTGTATTATATGCATGATCAGAAAATACATGTTATTTTTAAGCAAGGAGCTGACCTCGCTGTGTGTCGTCCTGTGGCTGCAGAACCCCAGGCACACCATGCACACCCCCCTGACTGCTCCCCCATCACATCCACCACAGCACAACCCCTCGGGACTCTTGGAGGCCTCCAGAGCAACAGGTGGCTAGGAAGGGGTGCTGTTGTCAGGGCACTGAGATCCCCAGCTTAAGCCCAGGCCCTGGAGCTATCAGTTAAGAGGTGCAGGCCAGCTGGGGCCCTGGCTCCACTGAGGAGAACCCAGGGAGGGGCAGCCTCCCAGCCCCAGAGAGGCACATTCCCTTTGGTACCGGCATCCCATATGGATACTGGTTTGAATCCCAGCTGCTCCTCTTCCAACCCAGCTCCCTGTTAATACACCTGGGAAAGCAGCAGAAGGTGGCTGCATCTATGTGGGAGACTCGGAAGAAGCTCCTGGCTGCTGGCTTCAGACTGGCCCATCCTTGGCCATTGTGGCCATTTGGGGAGTGAACCAGCAGATGGAAGACCTCTCTCTCTCTCTCTGTGTGTGTGTGTGTGTGTGTGTGTGTGTGTGTGTCTCTTCCTCTCCCTGTGTAACTCTGCCCTTCAAATAAATAAATCTTTAGAACAAAAGTGTGGAGAGTGCTTGAGAGGCTCCCCCTGGGGAGGAGGGGATGTAATGGGGACGCCTGACTGCTGGAAGGGTCTCCGCCTTGTTTGCGGGGGTGAGGCGGGGGGTGGGGGTCTCTGCGGCTTTACCTGATGATCAGGGCCTCCATGAGGAAATCCAGCTCGTCCTGTTCTGAACACACCTCAGGCAGGGTCTGTGCACAGGAGAGGGCGAGAAGGAGGACGAGGCCGTGGGCTGAGGGCTGCAGCCCACACCGCCGGCGGGCCAAGGTCAGCCTCCAGACAGAGCCCCCTCTTACCTTCACAGCCACCTGCAGGGGGCTCGGGTCGTTGGGCATTCCGGACACCTGGCCTTCGTACACCTCCCCAAACGCGCCGTGGCCCAGGCCCCTGCACAGAGGAGACAAGCTGAGGCAGAGGCAAGGGGACCAGGATAGAGGGGGGCCCTTGGGGCTCAGCACCATGCTGAGTGGGTGATGCACACACATGCCAGAGGGACACTTGGCCCCCACCTGCAGTGGACACGAGTTCCGTGAATGGAAGGGGTGATGAAGCGAGCAAACACCTCTCAGGGCCCTAAGCATCAGGCCTTCTGCCTGTGGGCTGGGGACCCCAGGGGTGGCCCTGCTGGCCTCATGTGTGGGACGACACCCAGCCTCTCCGCCCGCCCAGGACGCAGCAGCACTGACCGAATGAGGGTGATGTTCTTCCGGGGCACCTCCTTCAGGTCGCTGATGGAGGAGGTCTTGCCGGCGAAGCAGTAGTTGGGGTTGTAGTCGGTCATGATGGTCGCGGTTCGGAGCTTGCTCAGCTTGTACTCGGGGCTCTGCAGTTCCATCTGCATGGCCTGCAGCTCCTGGTGCTTCCGGCGGTACACTGAGGACAGACGGGAGAGCTGCAACATGGCCCAGAGCAGGGATGCCCAGCCCAGGCCGCCTCCTGCAGGAAGCCCCTCTGGATCGCCACCTCCCCTCCTCGGCTCAGAACTGTTCCATCGCACTTAGCGTTAAGAATAAAATGGCCATGGATGTGAAGAAGCACCATTCAAGGCAAATGCAAAGCTTCAAGTCATCAAGATAGAAATGATTCTATTCTCTCAGACAGGGCAGAGTCGTGTTAGCGGGGGTCCTCCAACAAGCAGCCCCACGGTGGGGTGAGACGTGCCAGGATTCTATCTGGGAAAGGATGGGGAAAGGGGGGGGGATGGGGAAAACCACCAGACCCTGCCGATCCAACCCTGCGTGGGGAAGCCAGGCAGCCAAGATGGGCACAAGCAGCCTGAGGAGGTCCCGGCACGGCTGCTGCGCAGTCCAGGACCCACAACTGGCCATCAGAGGACTTCTGTGTCCCTCAGAAAGGGACCTGCGTTGGCCCGCTGCTGTGCTTGGTCGCTGGGCAGGGGTGCCTGGGGTCCTGGTTGGCTGTGGCGAGGTCTGAGAACCTGGGCTCTAATTCCACCTCTTTTCCTTACAGGCGGAGTGGGCCAGGTCATGTGACCTCTTTGGACCTGGGTTCCCCTCCCTGAAGGCAGGACAGCAACTCCTGTCCTGCTTTCCTAGGTCCCCCACTCCCCACTCCCTAGGGTGGCATCCTCAGCCACCACTGCCACACGGAGGCTGTCCCGTAGGAGAGACTGGGACTCAGAGGGGGTGTCCTGCGTCAGGGGCAGGCTCAGCGCTGGCCTGGGATGTTTCCTCTCTGATGGAATGGGTCAGCCATGGCTGGGGGGCACCTGAGGACTGAAGGCACTGCAGGGTATAAAATGCCAGGCACGCAGGCAGCAGGCATTAAGTGCCGGCTCTTATTACCCTTTGAAGGATGGCACCGTATGGGGACAGGCACGTGTTGCCATCCCCTCGCTCTGAGTGCGGCTGGGTGCCTCTCCCTCTGCCATCTGTCCTGGGCATCAGCGAGAGCCTGGCTGCACCACACTGAGCCCTCTGTGCCCTGCAGCCCCGTTCACCTTGGCTCATGGGTGGAATGGAAACACACTCACAAATGGACTCTCCCTTCCCTTTGCTCGAGTGGGAGGCTCTGGGGAGAGAGGGCTTGAGCATTACGGAGGGAGCTGCGCCCACTGCAGCACAGGAGGCTACGGAGGGCTCTGGTGGGGAGAGCTTCATCCATCAGGCAGCCACCAACGAGGTTCCCTACCCCCCTGAGCAGCCAGGAGGCCACACAGGGGGCTGAGCTTCCAAATCTGGGGCTGCTGCCGCTCTGGTGGGTGGAGGTCTGGGAGCTGCCATCCTGGCTTAGCTGGGGCTGCCCTCATCACCACCTGCCACTACTCTAGGGCCTAGCAGGACACAGTGGCATCTGGGCTTCCGTGGTGTAGCCTGAGACGCTGCTCAGTTGCCCCAGACCCACGTCCCCCTCCCCCGGAAATCCCAGGGGGCTCTGGGGCACTCACCGACCATGATGCCTGAGAAAGCCAGGACCAGGGCGGCCACTAGGGCAGAGGTGACCACAGAGAGGATCAGCGACAGCGGCAGGTGGGGCTCCGCAGTGGGTGACACTGGAAGACAGTTGCCCATGGGGCATGACAACCGTGCTCGCTCTCCTGGGGACTGGTCCCACATCAGAAGCACCCTCCCCAGCTAAGACAACAGCTGCTTGCTCCCTTCCACTCCCAGAGACCCTGTCACAGCCTCCCTTTCAGGGAAGCGGGCTCATCCCAGCTTTACAGCCTTGCAGCTTTTGGGTGGGGGTGGGGACTGAACGGAGATGTGTGTCAGCTTCTGGATGCTGGGCCACAACATCACTGTACCTAGAGGATGAGGACGGACGTGAAGCCACAGTGGGGATGGCACAGGCTCCGCGGCCTTGGGCTCTGTATGACGGAACAGAGCATGCGGCCAGTGACAACCTCTGGGTACCAGGAGCAGGGCCCATAGCGGGGTGTGGTCCTATGTGCCCCTGCTAGTCAGACTGCCTGGTGCTGGTATTCCAGACACCACACTTCAAAGGGGGCCCTGGCAGCTGGATCACACCCAGAAGAGGGGCAGTAGGGTGGGGAGGAGACATGGAAGCGTATCTTCCTGAACCACTCAAAACAATTGTGTGACTTAGTCTGGACTAAGACTTGGAGGAGAGAGAAGCACGCGCATGTCTGAGACCAGCAGGGAAAGCTGTGAGAGGAACAGAGTCCTGGCTCTGAGCAGACTGACTTAGGAGTCCTGAGGTCCCTGTCACCGGGGTGTTCCGGTGGAGGTGGGATGAGCAGGGCGATGGCGGGGGGCTAGGCCCTGGGCCAGGAGCGGGGCCAGATGACGTTTCCATGTCTTCAACACATTTCCTGTTCAGCCCCTCCTGCCCCCGTCCTCAGAACACCACGCTGCACAGGCCAGGCAGGGACAGGATGCTCACAAAACCGAGTCCTAGAACCAACTGGAGCAGTGTGCAAAGCTCAGCTCTGGGCCCTCCCCTCCCCTGGCCCCACCCTCTTACCAACACAGGAGACGCCGTCCTGGGCCAGCACCGTTCCGTGGTCACAGAAGCAGATGACCTTGTGGGTCTCCGGGTCCATGTGACATTCGTCTACCTCACAGTGACTGCAGTTTAGGTAATGTTTAATATTCACTTCCCCATGGCCCTCCATCACTGTGACAAGGAGGCAGGGTCAGTCTTGGCTGAACCTGGGGAGTGCACCTTGCACCCATGCCCAGCCCTGGGCTCTGTCTCTAGGGGTCTCGGGGGGGGGGGTGATTCTTTGGTTCCCAGTCCCAGTCCCACTGCCACTGGGAGCACCGCTCTGTCTGGGGCAGTCTTCCAGTGCATCTGGAGTGTGGCGCTTGGACAGAGGGCAGGTGGGTGTCCAGGGACACGAGCAGTTTTATGTGACATGGGAGAGTCCTCATGCGTGCCTCTGAGGTGGGCTGGGACAGGGACATGGGCTGTCCCCGCTGCATTTTCTGGGAGTGTCTAGGGGACAGTATTCTGCCTCCCTGTCTGCATTAAACCACACAATCTGACCCCCAGAAGCCCGGGGCAGGAAGTCTTGTCTGTGAGAGACCCCTTGTTGTCCTTTGTATCCTGGGCTCAGAGGGACCCTGGGGTGTCACCTTGCTGGGGGACCCACACAGAGGGGTACCTTTCAAAGCTGGGGTGTACAGGATGCCCAGTGGACTGATAAATGAAATCCCATCTTCCCCATCCATCTCAGGGTCATTGTTTGAGGCTGCGTTGCCGCCTGTGGCAAACCAGGGCAGAGTTTAACACAAAGGGGTGGGCGTCACAACCTCCACACACATGCGCAGAAGCGGGGCGTGCAGCTTTGCCCAGGCCAGGGGTCCCTGGGGGCTCAGGGGCAGGCGAGGTGGGAGGGAAGGGAGGCTCAGGGCACAGATGCTGCCTTGGGACGAGGGCTGGGAGCGGCTGGGAGAGGCTTGGAGAGGCATGGACCATGTTTCCCTCCAGGCTGTGGCCTGCTCCAACGGGGGTGGGAGGGTCTCCACCACTCTGCTGGAGTCCCCCTAGGAAGGAGTCAGTGTGACTAGCAGTCTGGAAAGTTCTCGAGTGCCCAGGTGGGGATGCACCCTCGGCACCCACTTCAGGCAGGGGCAGGAGAGAATAGCTAAGGGGCTGCTCTCCAGTCTCAGGGGGTCAGGGTTTGGCCGTGGGGCCATGAGCTCTGTGCCTGGAGGCTCCCGTCCCTCCATTCATCTGGGGTTGGGTGATCTTGGGACTCCCCCCCAGGGACTCCCTCCCGCCCTCCCTCTGGGGCTTGGAGAGGAACAGCATGTGGGTAAGACAGCATCAAAGCCAAACACAGACACGAACGTCACAGTGCGGGCATGCATTGTGTCCTAGTCTGGGGGGCGGGACTCGGCCTCCCAGCCTCTCAGCTCTGGAAGGCGCTAGGACACAGCTGGGCCAGTGGCCGGCTGCTTGCTGGGGGCTGGGCTGCGGCTGCCCGCAGTGGCCCTCAGAGTAGCTCCCTTTGGTGAGCAAGCGAGCTGCGCCTTCCTGGCAGCTGGTGGCTGGAGCGGGGGAGGGAGAAGGAGGGGTCTGGGCCACCGCAGCTGGTCCCTGAAGGAGCTGGCACGGCCCAGCCATCCAGAGGGAGGCCTGGGGATGGGCCATCCGGGCTCTGAGGTGCTCAGGCCAGCGAGTCCTTACAGGTGGCTCCGAGAAGCACCCGGGAAGCCAAAGCCCCTTGATGGTTGGCTTTGGGGGAGATCAAGGATCCTGAGGGATCTTGATGCTGACTCTAGGGCAGCCTGGAGGCAGGGTGCTCGCTTGGAAGCCAACACGCTGCCTCTGGCTGGGGGTGGCGTGCAGTGACATCATGGCCCACACCCACTGGGGCGGCCGGGGAGGGGGGGAAGGGCGGGAGCAGACAGGGAGGTGAGGTGCCTAGGACTAAGAGGGGGAGGGAGTGACACCTTGAACACGAATCATCTTTACCTATGTATCCTCCGCCTCCTCCACCGGAGGAGCACCCCCCTCCACCCCCTCCGAAACCCCCTCTTGTCTCCCACCCCCACTTCTTCATGGCCTGGGGGCAGGAATGTCCTCCGGTGGCTCCCTCCAGCAAAGACTTTCCAGCCCAGAGCAAGGAAGTGTTATCATTCCAGCCACCTCCGCCGCCTGCGGGGAGAGACCAGAGGACACCATGAGGTCGTGAGGTCATTGGTGGCTCGGCTCAGCCCGCCCTGGGGAAGGCAGTGGGACAGGCGCACTTTGAGGGGAGCCCCCACCCATGCCAGTGCCCAGGACTCTCTCCAGCGGGGGGGGGCCCAGGGGCTTTGGAGCCCGCATCTGGATAGCCAGGGGGTGTGCCATTGGCCCCAGGGAGGACAGCGTGCCTTGTGCCTCTGCTGCCTGTCTGCTCCCTGGCACAGAAGCAGGATGGGACAGGGGGCGGGGCAGCAGGACGCCGAGCCGGCTCCTCTGCTTCTCCTCGTGCCTGCCAGCCCCTGAAAGCACTGGGCCTCCATTCTCATTGTTTCCTCAAACCTCTTCCTGTCCCGGCAAGAACTGGAGCCGCCAATCTTGGGGCGGCCTCTGCACTCAAGCCCAGAGGGCATTACTGTCAGTGACTGGAAACCACGGGTGGAGCCTCAGCTTCTTCATCTGTCTCCTTGGGATAATGAAGACCCATCCTTGGGGTTGACGTTAGGGTCAAAGGAGACGGTGAGTGTGTGAAATCCTTACACCCAGCCACGTGTGAGGATCACGGGAGCTGGTCAGGCAGGACGCAGGCACGTGGAGGGCCTCACACTCGGCTTGTGCTGCTCTGGGCTGCTCAGAGGTCAGGAGTGGAGGAGAGGCAGGGGTGGGGGACATCGGGGCAACCATGGCAGCCACTGGGGAGGGGCTTCCCCACGTGTGAGGTGCTCTGAACTCTTGCAGAGCAGATGTCTGCCGAGCTGAGGTTGGATGTGGCCATGGGAGGACCCCAGGGATTCTCCCCCTGCCGCTCTGCCCCCGCTGGCCCTTGAGAATCCAGGATTATCCACCACTCCAACATTGTTCCCTATGACCTTGCAACAAGCATCCACCCCCAACACCCTCCTGGGAGGCCTTCCTGCTTCAGCAGATGACAGTGGTGGGGGGCCCTGGAGGCCGACGCAGAAGGAACCGAAACAGTAGTGTGCGGGACGGCTGGACCTGAGTTAACTGGGTCCGGGAAGAATCTTCAGCTGCTGAGTTTCCCCCAACCCAGAGGGGGTTAGCAGAGGGACACGGAGGTGGTGGGAGCTCTGGTGGAGGTGGCTACTCTGCTAGGGTTCAAATCCAAGCTGAGATCAGGATCAAGCTCGGTCGTACGACAGGGACAGGCGGAGCTGGGCCTGCAGGCAGGTGGAGGGACTCGGTCAACTCAGGGCTGGGTGACAGATGTGGGTTCCACAGGGCGGGGTCTGTGAAGGCTGTTGATGTCACTGCAGGAGGACACCTCTCTGTTCTGATAGGGACCTGATGTGGCCTCTGGCGGCTGGGCAGGACTTGAGCACAGTGAGCGTGTAAGCGTACTCAGCGACGTAGGGGCAAGGGGCACTGTGTAGCTCACGAGTATGGCTGGCATGAGGTTTGGCCCCAGCAAAGCTTCTGCTGGAACTTGGATGCCAAAGTAGTGGTGTTGGGAGGTGGGGCCCTCATGGGGTCAGCTCACTCTGGGGAAGTCTTCTTCCTGGGAGAACCAGTCATGAGGCAGTGGGCCAGCTCCTCCGCCTCCCCCTCCTCGCCTGTGCCTGCCTCCCCTTCTGCTTTCCTGGCGGGCACGGAGCAGCCTGGGGCCTCACCAGAAGCTGAGAAGACGCCGGTGCCATGCTCTTGACACTCAGAAACATGTTAGCCAAAATAAATCCTCTACACTGCAAACGGTGGCCTCACAACAGTCCTGGGCACCCTGGGACAGGTTCTGCTCTTTCTTCTCTCTCTAGCCATCTCTCCACTGGAGGGATAGTTTGAGCATTTGTTTAAATTAAGTCTAGATCCTAAATGTTTTCAAAGATGCTCCCTCAGGCTGGTTGTAGAAAGGAGCAAATGCAAAAGGGAATCGCATGTGCTCTCTCTAGTGACGGCTGCCTCGGAGACTTCACGGCCCCCCCCTGGTTTGGTCACTGGCTCCCATCAAGGGAGCAGGGGCCCATGGGTATGTTTGTGGCTGGCAGCCTGGGGCCTGGGGGTCCATAGCATAGGGAGTCTGGGAGGCCCGACCTGGCTCAGATTTCTCTCATCCATTCACCCCTAAGGAGGGGGCCCTATGCCCCTGGAGGAAGGGGGCGCCTCAGGGGAGGCCTTAGCAATTGCTGAGGGTCTGGCTGGCTGACCCTGTGCCTTTTTCTCGGGGACCTTGTGCAAGTCCAAGCCCCAGGTCAGCCAAGAGGCCTCCAGGGACTCCAGGATGCCGCCTGTTCTCCCTGCATCGATCTTGGCCCCGAACTCAGAGCTCCCAGCTGTGGGCCCCGTGACCAAGCCACATTCTGGTGTGGAACGTCCTGGGCCTGCGCTGAAGCCCATACAGTCCCTGTGAGCTGGTCTGGTGGGGGGAGGGAGAGGGGAGGGACGGGTTCAGGGGGCTTTACCTGCGGCTCCGGAGTTGCCGTTCAGCCCCAGGACCGAGGAGTTATTTTCCAGTCTCTCTGGGTGGAAGGTGTCTGTCTTGGCCCCATAGGCCCTGCCGCCACCGCCGGCCGCAATGATCAGGGGCACGGGCACGCCATCCTTCATCTGGCCGGGGCACACAGTCAGAAACTGAGACACAGAGCTGGCCTTCCTCTCGGGGGGCCCCTGAGCCCAGGTCTTGGTGTAGATGCCTGGCTCAGCGTCAGGCAGTGGGCTGACCTCTTGGTGGTGGCGTGCTCTGCACTGCTGTGGCGAGGACCCATGGGCCCCCCCTCCGACCATCTTCTCTGCCATCCCGGGTTCAGCCAGAGGCACAAAACCACCAGGGCATGTGTTTGTATACACATGCTAACATATGCCGTAAATAATACATGAGTGATGCATAAATTATACATACAAGGGGACTTCCAAAAGTTCATGAAAATAGAATAAAAGATGTCTATTTTGGTGCAAGAAAATTGAAATCCAGGCATAGCTTTTTCAGGATGCACATTTCCCATGAACTTGTTGAAGACCCCTCGTCTGTCAATACTAGGAGGTGGGGATCGATCTTAGGGGCTGCCCGCCTCGGCCCCTTTCCCGAAGCTCCTGAGATGAGCCTGGGTGAGGGGTCTTGGAGGCGGGTGATTAGAGAGGTCTCTCTGCTCTCTCCTCCCTCCCCACACTTGGGGCTCAAGGGGAAGCCTTGAGCATCACTGTTGTCGGAGGAAGACTTAGCAGGCGGCCTCTGCCTTTAGTTTCTGGCCTGGCTGTGACGATGTCAGAAGAGTCCATGCAGCCCCGAGAGCTGACCCAGGGGGCACAGGAGGCCTCTGGAGCTGGACACCTGGGTGGCAGAGGCCCAGCGCGGGGGAACCGAGCGGCCAATCAGCAAGAGAAGGGCCACCCTTCCTGGGCCACGCAGACCCTGCTTCCCACTGGCTCTCAGTCTGCTCACCTTAGAATGGGGTAAGGGGGGGGGGTGGTTTCTATCCCAGGCTCCAGTGCACAGAAATCCCCGCCCTTGGGAACCCAGCAGAGCAGACCTTACCTTAAACACGTAGGTGGCTCCACCGCCCCCTCCTCCTCCTCCTGCCCACTCGTGCACGCTTCTGTTCACACGGATCTCTTCCTCTATCACGTTATTCTCGCCAATGCAGACTTTCTGAATTAACTGGTTTGTCTGTAGAAACAATAAGCACATTGGGTTTGTGCCCAAGCTGGAGTTCTCCACATTGCAGAAGACAGACGTTCTACACCTAAAGATGGGATCTGACTATTTCTCAAATAGCTTACAATTGATGTTAGAAGGGCAGAAATACACACAAATAATGGTTTTGGGGAAGAACCACAGGAATGCTGTAGGTACTAATGCTCAGAGAAGCTAAGAGAGGGCGAGTGGGCCTTTATTGCTGACTAGTGATCAGGGAGGACTGCCTGCAGGAGGTGGCTTTTGGTTGGGCTCCAAAGGCTAGGGATACGTTTCAGCATGGAGTGGGGGAAGGTGAAGACACTACGAAGAGAGAAGAGAAAGCAGCATGAGCCCAGAGGGAAGGTGAGTGGGGTTTTGGGGAAAAGCACCAGTCTCTTTGGCTTGGAAAAATCCATTGTAGGACAGAGGGATGGTCCAGGAGGAACTGTTAGGGTCCTGTGGACTCAGAAGCGGAGGGGACAAAGGTTGTATGTGCTGAGACAGGGCTGGAGGGTGCCCACCAGGGCAGGCGGAGGGAGTTCTCCTGGACAGCCAGCTCACGGCTGGAGCAGGACTTCATCACCTAGGCAGTGGAGGGCCATGAGCGCTTTGTGCACATTACAGTTCTGAGCATCATGGGAAAAACCAGCAGAACAGAGAGAGACCAGATTCGGATTTTCCCAGCTCCGCTGTTTGGACGTCTCACTCCTCCCATTCACGTCCCATTTCTTGCCTCTGGGAATCCCTGGTAGAGCCCCACACAGAGCTCCAGGGTCTGCCATGGGGACCCTGGAATCAGAGGGTCTGGCTGCCCTGCCTGCCCTGGGGTGAGTATTGAGGGGACACTCATCCCTGGCCCCCCAGTGGGGAGTGGGAGTGGCGACCACAGGCTGCGGGGCAGGCCGAGGTTGTGTCCGGCTCCAGGTCTCCCTCCTGCCAGGCAGCAAGTGGGCGGCTGCTGACCTTCTGAGCCCACGCCCAGGAGGTGACTTCAAGAAGTTTGCGGAAAATGGAATGAAAAGATGAGCTTGTTTTCGTGCAGAATCATTTCTGAAATTCACGTCTATGAGGGCTCTTTGAAAAGTTCAGGAAAACATGCTTATTTTACGAAAAAGCTCCACGTGGATCTCCAAATCTTTGTGCACAAAAATATGAATAAGCTTGCTTTTCAAATTTCAATTTCCCAAGGACCTTTTCGAGGTGCTCTTGCACTCCTGGTGGGGATTCAGGGGTCTCAGCGCCTCTGGACCGGGCTGGAAGCTTCTGCTTCAGAACCCTGCCAGCCCCAGACAAGGAGAGCAGTGCATCAAGAACAGCCACGCCCAGCTGTCAGTCACCACGGCTTTGAAAAGTTCTCCAAACAGAAGCCTGACCTCAGAGGGAAATGACTTCTCTTTTACTCAATAGAAAAAAAAAGCCAATAAAACATCACATTTCCATTGAATACTGCTGTGTAACCAGCCAGTGGACATGGCAATTCATCTTGAGCCCCTCCTTACGCTAACGCATTCAGGGGTATTGGCAGTGAGTACTGGAGAAATTTCCAGATAAATAGCTGAGATGCAATCTGTTTTATGGCATTTTGGATTTAATGATGGAAATAATTTGATATTTTTTAGAGTGGATTTAGTGTGGGTGGAAGGCTGTAAATCGCTCTTGTAGCGAGCTGCCATTTCTTGCTGGTTAGTGCAGCGTTGCTCTCTGCTGGGAGGGAACCCTGCCCCCAGCAGCCTGGGGCCATTGGGAGCCGAGAGGGGCACACCCTGGGGCCTGTCTGGTGGGCCCAGGGAGGCTGTGGGCTATCAGCTGGGCAGAGCACAGGGTATGGGATCCAGGCAGAGATCCTGCTGGCTCTGCCAGAGATCTGCTGGGCCACGCTGGGTGAGGCAGCTCACCCCGCTGGCCTTGCCCCCTTGTCAGATCCTCACAGCGGCCCAATCCCACCCATCCTCTCTGCTCCCTCCACTGGTGCTGCTGTGAGCACACATGCACTCCCCCCACCTTGGGTACGTGACCTTTGCCTGGTCACTCTTTATCCAGGTAGTATCCTTGACTTGACATAGCTATCACTTTTTCAATAGGCTTCCCTTGAGCACCCTACTTAAAGCTGCCTGCTCGGCCAGTGCTGTGGTGTAGTGGGCTAAGCCTCTGCTTGTGGCGCCAGTATCCCATATGGGTACCGGTTCTAATCCCAGCTGCTCCTCTTCCAATTCAGCTCTCTGCTTGGGCCCCTGCACCCACATGGGAGACCTGGAAGAAGCTCCTGGCTCCTGGCTTTGGATTAGCCCAGCTCTGGCCACTGTGGCCATCTGGGAAGTGAACCAGTGGATGGAAGACCTCTCTCTGTGTCTCTCTCTATATCTGTAATTCTACCTCTCAGATCAATAAGTAAATAAAATCCTTTTAAAAAAAAGCCACCTGCTGCCCAAGTCCAGCCTCCCTTCTGCAGATAGAGTTTTCCTCTGGACATTCTCAGGACTTATGCTTGCTTCTTATGGTCTGTCCATCCCTCCTTCCCCTGCTCAGAAGTAATTTCCTTGAGAGCAAAGACCTTTCTTTCTTTCTTTCTTCCATTTTTTCATGGATACATCCCAAGTTTCCAGGACAGTGATGCCCTGTAGTAGGTACTCAGTAAACATTTGTTGAATCAATCTGAGTAAGTGGCGAGCACTGTGGGTCGTGGGCTGGCCCTTCAGGGTACTGGCCCTGAGGGTGAGGGTGTTGCTCTCCCTGGGGACATGTGGAGCTGTCTGGAGGCATTTCTGATTGTCCTTCCTTGGAGGAAGGGGGTGATACTACACAGACACAGACAGGGACACCGACAGGGACACTGCCAGCCGCCCTGCAAGGCACAGCACAGCCACGGGGAGTTATCTGCTGCACGTGCGTGCAGAGGCACAGTCCAGAGGCCTTGATTTAGACCCACGCCACCAGGACAGGTCTGGGCTGAGAGGTGTGGACGCTTCCAGCAGCCAGCGCCCACTCCAGGCACCAGGAGCTGACATGTTGTGGCCAGGCACACAGGAGGAGCAACTGGCCACAAAAGGGCAGATGAACCAGCAAAGCCGTGTAACGCTTAGAGTCCACTCTGTTCTCTTGCATAGTCTTCGTTTTTCCGCCCAGGGACAACTGGTGGGGGGATGGTGCCTGACCACGGTCTGTTCTCCCTGTGCTGGTGACTCCTCACGGGAGAGGTGCAGAGCAAGCTGTGGAAGACCAGTTCCTTCCCCCATGCGCCCGAGCTATGCTCGGTCCCACCAGCAGAGGGGGCTGTCCTCACCCCTGGCTGAGAATTACTTCTCTTGCTGGCTGTGGGACTCTACAACCCATCTACAAAGTTGGAGAGTAAGTAGGTTGATTAATAAAAATGATAAAGTGCAGCAACCCAGAGGAACAAGTAGATTACAATTGAATTAAAAAAAAGCACACGTGGTCCTGTGAAAAGACATAACTGATTACAATCCAATCAAGTAAAAGTCCTCTGTAGAAGTCGATGCAACCGTTCTGCTTAGATGAAAGAATTACATTAGCACTCAATAAATTCCTGGGAAATTACAGCAGCCTGTAATTTAATGACTTAATATATTAGAACAGGTTGGAAAGTCCTGATTATTGTTACTAAATAAAAGTTGGAGTGGAGACATTTCTCCCACGGAAGGCTATGCCTTCGAAGTGTATTGCTGTTGCCTAGCCCTGGAAGGGGGTGGGGTGAGGGAGGAGGCCTGAACTTTATTCTTGCTGTTTCCTGGGCTCCCCAGCCTGGTTCTTAGGAGCCAAAGTTTATTTTGTGGAACTGAATTGCTTTCTCAGTAGCCCTGGTTCCCACATCTGACCTCCAGGGCAATCAATTCCTCAAAGACGCGCTCAGAGGAGGAGCTGTCCTGAGTGCTGAACACAGTCCTAGGGTAGCCCGCCTTGCTTCCAGCAAAAGCTGTGCTCAGGTGACCTGGAGACCAGCCCCCAGGGACAACCAGCACTGCCAGGGCCCTGAACCCCCTGTGGCAGGCAAGATACAATCACTGGGGTGTGTGGAATTGGTCCGACTGCTGAGGAATTAGTCCCCACCATCTCATTCTCCTGGTAGTGTCAGGCCAGTCTGGGCTTTCTCGACACTGTAGAGGGGTCAGAAAAGGGGTGCTTTTTGGGGGCTGCAGAGCCTTGCCCAGTAGTGGCTGCAAGCAGAACTGGGGAAGAGGCAGCTGAAACCCAGGCCCAGTGAAGTACAGGGTGCAGGTCTCTGCTTTGCACTACGTTGTGAGTGACCTTGGTCATGCCCCTTTCCACTGTGGCCTCCATTTTCCTCATCGTTAAGTGAGCAAGGAGGGCCACAAGGAATTCCAGTTATCAGTCTATGCCTTATTAGTATTATTATTGTTTAGCTTAATCGCACAAATGATGACTAGTGTACAGATACACTCTTTGTAACAGCTGCAGGCATTACTGATAAAGCCCTCCCAATTGGTTATCTGTATAATTTAGTCATCTGCGTCTTCCAGAACTTTCTCTGGGCTTTGATCTACATCTGCACGTAGCCGTGAGTCCGACTTTTGAGCCGAACAAGAAATGTTGAAGCTGGCATTTTCCTGTTGATAGTAAGACAGCTAAAGAAGACAGCACCCTTGCATGAATGCTCAGGACCTGGGCTCTCACACTAGTGCGGAGAAGAATGACCACTGACCATACCCAAGCAGGATTCAGTCTTTCAGTGTTGAGGGTCACTCAGCAAACCCAGCCTGGGCCATGGTCCCCATGGGGACGTGGGCCTCCCAGGCCACATGGCATCTGCCCAGGATGGGAGGGGCACTGGTAGGCAGACCCAGGGAAGCAGGTCAGATGTAGGTGCCCTCCAAGGGGTCGCCCCTGGTCCTGGTGAGTGTTAGGGAGAAACCCCCGCTTGGGACACTTACGCTGGGGCAGGCGTCCTCGCCCTGCTGCCCAACCAGGATGTAGAGCATGTCGTCCTTCTCCAGGTTGAAGATGCCTAGCACAGACACGCCATGGGACCGCATCATGGTGTTCTTCCCGCCTTTCCCGCCAGCGGCTCCATAGCCCGAGATGCTGCAATGGGACAAAGCACACGGGCCCCTGCCACTGAGTGGAGATGACGGAGATGGAGACAGCCCCTCTTCCTGCTGACCCAGCAGCTTCTGGGGCATCATGTCATCCCACCATGTCTGAGGGTCCTTGCCCGCAGCGGCCCTGGGAGCCAGCAGGAGAGGACGCTGTCAGCAGAGGACAGGCCAGTTCAGAGGGGGACAGGAAGTGTCTCAGCCTAGTAAGGACTAGTAAGGGGTGTGGGAGAGAGAAGGAGGGAGAGAGAGGGAGATTCCACATTAATAGGGAGTGATGGGATAACAGCATCATGAATACCTAGGTTTCCCCAGTGTGGGTTTTCCTGTCCAAGACCAAAGGACTCATGTGATCTTAGATACATGACCCTCCTGTCCCCCGCCGCCCCACATGTGCACCCTGGGGATAAGGGAACATGTGTAGGACGAGGAAGGGAATTCAGACGTGCACATTAGATTGTGGCTGACACGTAATAAGCACTCAAGAAGGATTTATGTCCATCATCATCATCACCATCATCACCATCATTATCAGTGGAAGCCACAGCCGTGAGGTCCAGAGGGAGGCTTGATGGAGGACAGCAGGGTTTCCCAGCGCAGACTGCCTCTCCCACCCCACCAGCCACGCCTTCTGGAGCAGTGTGTGTGCAGACAACAAACAGCCCATCACGATGCAGACAGAAACAGGCTGTGTGGTTGAGGCAGGGCTTCTGCTGTGCTGGAGGCTGTCAGGATGAAATCAAGCAAGGATTGGGAAGAACAGAACTCAATTCGTGAACCGTGTCAGAAGCGTGGCGTGCTTTGAAGACAGTTCGTGTCCCAGCTAACAAATGCTTCTCCGGAGACCAGCTGCCAGGGAGAGGCACTCTGGGGGATTTCCATGTCCTTTGTACTTGCATCCAAGGTCCTTTATGAAGAACTAGGAGGAGCAGCAAGACAGCTTTGCCCATGTGCACGCACAGTGGCTTCTCATCTGTAGTTCTAGGAAATGTTCCATGTTGCGCTCACATGCTTTCTGCAGAATCAAGCCCGGGGTGGGGTGGGGGTTGGCGGTTTGCTCATGTGACAGGGAAGGGACTGAGTTCTCTTGGAAGCCAAATGGAGAATCTGGTGCCCACTGCCCTGGTGCAGGTGCCCAGGGTACTGACTTGAGCTATCAAGCATCAGAATGGCCTCAGGCTGTGTAGGCAAGAGGAGACTGAAACAGGCTCCAGGACCTGGAGGGGCTTCCGAAGAAACCGGGGAGACACTTGGAATAACAAGAGAAACCTCATTGCTACCCAGAGGAGGCAAAGCAGAGGAGATTCTGGGGTCCCCCGGCCAGAGTGCACGGTTTCCTGCCTGCTCACCCTCTCAGAGGCCCAGCTGCTTCCAAGAGTGCAACGAAGAACAAAGTCTTCCTTCCTGAACTCCTAGAGGAGACTGGGGCGAGCACCCCAGAAAAGCGGCAAGTCTCTGCCCCAAGCGAGGGTCACCAGGTGCCCAGGGCCAGCAGCGAGGTGCAGGGCAGGGGCATGCCAGCAGCTGGAGGCCACAGCTGGCTCTGGGGTGTGGAGGTGATGGCAGTCACCACGGAGGTCGGCCTCATGGTACAGCTGACAGGTATTTCTCTCTGAGACAGGCAGACAGCAGTGAAGGGTGGGAGTCAGGGCTTGTGTGACCGGAAGTGAAGCGGCAGGAAGTCCAAGGGGTGCTTGACTGGAGTGAGTGGCAGGGGTGAGGCAGGGGTCCTGGAGGTGTGGACGGGGAAGGAGGGGCCAATCTTCGAGCATCCTCCCATATCCCCAGCATGGTGCTCGCTGACATGCATATGGGTAACCCCAGGAGCCATAGAATTGATGCTACTCATCCCATTTGACAGATGAAGAAACTGAGGCACACAGGATGGAGCCAGCATGTGAGGCCTCACAGCTGGCCAGTGGCAGCCTGTGCTTCAACCCCACCCATCTCCCCTCCCAACAGGCCGTGTCCCCTTCTCTGCTCTGCTGGGAAGCTTACACGGATGCACAAACAGGAAGTCCTGGTCCATCCCGGTTCCCTCAGGCCCTCAGCCACTCTCATTCCTGACCCAACAGACATGGACGAGGGGACAAGAACCATTACAAGGCCCAGGAAGAGGAAGAGCTGGGCTATTTAGCCTGGAAGAGGGAGGGTGTTGGGGACTGGGGCTGCCCTCCCGAGGCAGTAGTCAAGGGATAGCAATGTGGACAGGCCCTACCTCTGCCAGCTCATGGCTCCAGGCTGCTGGGGCTTGGTCAGGCTGCACAAAACAGCCACTTCAACCTGGACTTGTGGTTTGCTTGGGCAACTTCTTCCTGCTCCTGCTTGTGTGGGTCTGCCTCATGTGCATCTTTGCAGCCTTTGCATAGTAATTCATTTGCCCCAGTCTGCAGCCATTCCAAGTCACTGAATGCTTTCCCACGTTGCAAACCATCTGCTCCTGCCTTGGTTTTTTTTTTCCCCCTCCCTAAGCCTTCTTTCCTAATTCTCCTGCCCCTCAACCCAATCTGAACGCCAGCTCCCTCCATGTCTTGACCTTGTTCTTGGCGGTGAGATGGGATGGAAAGAGCCCAAGCTCTAAGTCCTGGGCCGGTTCTGGTCCTTGCTCTGGCGGCTGTGCGTCTCAAGGCGACTTGTCAACCTCTCGGGGCCTCAGCTTCCACGATGGAGGCAGAAAATGAGCAACGGACCCCTGCCCTCATGGGGGATCAAGAGAGGATCTGAACAGATTACAAACTGATGGCAAAGCATGGGGCAGGGCTCTGGGCTGCACTCGGCTCCAAGTTACAAACTAGATGGCAACCCAGCGACAGTGGCTAGGCTTGACTCCCCCGCATGGTGGCCTCGGCCCCACATTTCCAACCCGACCTAGGGAGTGGCCTGAAGTGGTGGGGAGAAGGCAGCTGCCTGCCTGGGCTATTTGTTGTGGGGCAGGCCTGAGATTCCACTCTTAGCGCTTCACTCTTTTGGAAGCATCTAGTGGCCGCTACAAGGCTGATGAGTTGGCTTGGGTGTGCTGTAGAAAACAAAGCAAGGCTTAATGCAGGCACACCTGGACCCAAACCCAGCTCTTCCATCCAGGGCCAGGTGCCTCCCCCCAGATGCTGACCGTTCACTGCACCGACCCTGAGAGCCAGCACCCCCTTGAATGGTGTGCCAGCGGTGCTGAGGCAGCCCTGCCCACTCCTGGTCCTGCCAACGCTCCTCACCAGCTGTATCGCTCACCCTCTCTGAGCCCGTTTCCTCATTTGCACTGCGTAAGGGCAGCAATGCTACCACTGCCTTGAAAGGCTGCTATGAGAATTCATTGAGACGCTGTCTAGGAGGGGACCTAATTCAGTGACCGGACGCCAGAGAGAGACGCATGGTGGCTGCTTGCAGGATGCACCTCTGTGGACGAGCCTGTCCATTCCTTCCCCTGGAGTGACTTCTGGAGGCAGCAGGAGGAGAATGAATGAGAACAGGGTCACAGGTGGATCAGGGCATGGCCCGAGGCATGTAGGGTAGAGAGTGCCCTGTCCCACGCAGGGCCCACCTCTGCAGGGAGCCAGTGGGCGCGCCAGGCAGCTGTGGCACTTCTGAGGCCCCCTGGACCCTGTGGATCTCGCCAGAATATCACCCTCAGACCTACTGTCTCAAACCTTCTCCCCATCTCGTGTAAACAATTTATTTTTGATGGTTGACAAATGACAAGAAATTAATATACCTGCCACTCAAGTGGGGAAAATGACTCGCTGCGACTCCAATTTACTGGAAATTACAAGATACCGTTCTCGACGAGCTGATGCTGTAATTTTTTTGTTTTTCCTCATCTAAATCCATGTCCCCTGGTCAGAATGGATGTTTATTGGGTTTGCGTTTTGTATTATTGACTGTGAGCTATTGTTACCTGATGTAATTGAGTTGTGAATCTTTTTTAAATAAAGAATTAGCAGCAAATCAAAGCGGCTGCCTGCTGGATCTTGAAATGACAGCACAGCTGGTGTGCAGCCTGCTGGCGGCATCCACACCCGCCTGGGAGGGGCAGGAGAGCACGGGCCCCCTGCTCAGAGAAACACAGAGCACCACACTTCTCGCCTGTTCCACACAGAAGAGAGAGACCAGCAGCCTCTCTGTGCTCTGCCTCTCACTCCCCCTGGGACTTTGGCTACGGTCCCTCCTTTCTCCGGGCTTCAACTCCTCATCTGTGATACGGGGATAGTAAGATCCACCCTGCCCATCCTGCAGGGGTACCGTGAGAACATTCGCAGAGTATGAGGGTGCACGGGGCTTGGTCAGTAGGAAATCTCATCCAGATGGGCCCCTGGAGCCCTCAGGTGGCCCCCCTGGGGGCAGCATCCAAGGGGCAGTTGCAGTCCCAGGTTCCATCCCGGTTGCCTCAATGAGCAGGGTTCACAGTCCAGACCCTCCCTCCGTGCCTGCCTGGCCAGTACAGCCCAGGTACCCAGCACAGCAGAATTGGCAGGGGTCTCAGCGACTTCACTCTGCAGACAGAGCCATCGAGAGCAGCGATGGCAGCTTCCAAGGTCACACGGTGCCCTGGTGGCAGAAGCTAACCCAATGCCACATTCTGCCTGCAGCCTAACCCCCTGGCCTGCGTCCCGCTTCCCTTCTGAGGGCCGGCTCTTGGTACACTGCGTGGCCATCCACCTGCCCGTGGCATCTTCTGCTGTGCTCTGCACCTTGATGGGCACTGGAGAGTGCTGGAAACCCCTGCCCTCTGTCCAGAGACCACGGGGCCCGAGTCTCCACCCTTTGCACAAGTCCTGCAGCCCCTCCCCGGTGATGACGCACAGTGGGGACTCCAGGCGGTTTGCGCGCTGGATTGAATGACAGTGCCATCCAGTGGCACGCACTGCTCCCCCAAGCCAGGCGAGAAAATGAGTGCCACTGATGGAGGTCGTACACACAGCTGGGGCCCAGGTCAACGGCTCCAGCTGGGGCCTGGGCCCCTGGCGCATTGTGTCTGAAGAGTGAGTGACCGGGCCGTGTGTGGCAAGTGTCTTTCTGTGTCATCTCCGGTGTGTGTGTAGTGGGGGTGAGGGCTGGGAAGGACACAGAGGCTGGAGGGGTGGATGAAGAAGGGGAGAGGTTGGGGAGAGTGAGAGGTGGAGGCCGATACCCACTGCGCGCTGGCTCTGCTGACAGGGGTGCCTTGCACACTGGGGTCTCAGTCCCCCAGTGGTGCTCATCGTGGTCTCCCCGCCCAGCACGGACCCCATAATCCATGCTCTCTTGGAGACAATGATCTCCCACCCTCCCACGTCCACCGTGGCCACCCACCCCCCTGAGCACACTCTAGATGTTGTCGTCACACAGAAGCATGCCCCTCCCTACTGCCCTAACCATTGTCTTTCCTTCTCAGTCCAGCTCCTAAGAGAGCATCTGCCACTCACTGTTCCTGCTTCCCCAGCCCTTCAAGCCAGGGGCGTCCTGGGAATTGTCGGTCTGACCTCCCAAACCCCACTTGGCCCTGCAGCCTCCTCCCGCTCTGTTCCGCCCCCCAACCCCAGCCCTGGGCTCGCCCTGCCTGCAGCCTTGTTTCCATTACTCCCAGCCTCATGCCGTCAGCAGAGGGAGCTAAAGGCATTTGGGAGGTGAGGCTTCAGCCCTGGCCTGGGTCCTGCCACTTGCAGCCTGAGCTGTGCAGGCCGCCCTTGGCCTTGCCCCTGGGTGGCGTTCTGGCTGCCCTGACTTGTGCCAGCAGCAGGTGCTGGCCCCTGTGCTACTCCCATCAGAAAGGCCCTCCACTCCCCGCCTCTGTGCAGGTGACTCTCAGCTCAGGTGTCTGTCTGCTGAGTGAGACGCCTTTCTCCTGGCTGCAGACAGCAGCACACTGGGTGTCAGGCACCTTGCAGGTGCGAGAAATGCTTCTCTGAGCTTTGCAAAACAGAAGAGAGACAAGTCCAGACAAATCCAAGTCACATGGACTTGGAGGGAGGGACCTTGTCAGCCGTCACTGTTGACAGAGGAAGTGGCTGGGAAAGTGGAGGGGGAGATGTGGAGTTTGGAGGTGCAGCTGGCCCCAGGTCCCCCTTTCTGTCTCTGCTTTCTGAGCCTCCTCCGAGGTGGTGAGAGAGGGACAGAGCATGGGAGATCAGCCCAGGACAAATGACCAGCTAGGAGCTGGGAGTGCTTCCAACAGTCTACACCCTGTGGAGGTCCATGCTGGCATCTGAGAGGCACACAGAGAGGCCAGCAGCGGTCATGGTCCCAGGCCACGGGTGGCAGCCAGACAGTGCTAGCTGAGCGCCACACTGGCGGGATGAATGCCCCAGGGTGGGGCTCCCACCCTTTCTGCTTCCCAGGCCTTTCCCCTCACATCCTTTGCTGGTCCCCTGTCTTCCTCACCAGAGGAACTGCATGTAGGAAAAAATATTGCAGAGAAAACATCCTCCAGCAAGGGGCACCTGACTTGGGGACATCCTGACATGGTCTCAAAGGCAAATCACTAACATCTGTCTCTGTGATTACTAAGTTACGTGACTGACATTGCCACCCCAGTCCCGAGTCTCCTCCAGGGTCAAGGCTGAGGTCAGGATCAGATCTGTCAGGGCCTTTATGTGGTTACAACACAAGTAGCCAACAACAAAACCCAAACTCAGTGTTCTCCGGCTTTGATTCTTCCCTTTTGATAGGGTGCTTTTGTGGGCCTGATCAGAATGTCCCTGTTAGCAGCCTGGATGCCACGTCCTGTTTCAACAGGAATGTGGCTCTTTGTGTAAGCTTCTGACGAGGCCACCGCCAGGCAGAACCGAGGGCCGTGAGATAGACCCCGAATCTCTAAGGGTCGCATGGAGCCAGTGCTCCCATCTTGGCTGAGATTACTTCAATGCAGTACGGTAACACCGGGGCACGCCATGCAGATCAGAAACCTGCATGACTCTGATACGGCTGTGGCGAATAATAAATGGGAAAATGAATTAAGTATTATCTAATAAGTGAAGTTCTTGAGGTGGGCCAAGTGTCTCACAACACAGGGCCCATCTGAGGAAGTGAGAAAAAAAGTTCCTGGAAACAGAGGAGTCAGGAACTGCTGGCGGGAGTCTCTGTTCCTGCAGGTGCTGCCTGGGGCCTGCCCGGTGCTGCTGCTGCTGTGGTGGACACAGCTGTAGATTCCTCCACCCAAGGGCCAGCCGACACTGACCACGCACAGGCATGGGGCTGGCCCTTGTGTGTCCCCTTCATGGCAGCTGGCTTGGTGACAGGGATGAACTATGCCCCGCTCCTGGTGCTTTCGGGGACGGCAGCCCACTAGACCCCCCCTACAGGGTACCTTGTGACTTGGTCCTTTATGTATTTACTGGTTAATTTCCAGTGAATGTTTATGGAACACCTGCAGGTACTAGGGGGCGCCAATGGAAGAATGGAGCCAAAAGCCCTGTTCATTTCGGCACCACCTTCTTTACATTGCTCTCCCCGCGTGGGGTGTGCTGGGCTGGCTCCTGTCAGGTGGTTGGGCCACCCTTCCTGGGCTCTCATTTCCAAAGGCTTCTAGGAGGTGGGTGGTGAACGTGCCTTCTCCTTCTGCCCGCTGCACGCCTCTCCAGAGTCCAGCTGTGGGCGTCAGCGGTGAAAGCACAGACTCTGGGCCAGAGGGCCCTGGGCTGAAATCCCAGCTCTGTCATGGGCTGTGCGGCTCGAGACGACTCGGGTTTTCTCGCAGGAAAGCATGGCGGTATCTAGTGCCACTCCCTCACTGCTCAAAGCAGGAGAACGCCTGCTGGGCCCTCGCCCAGCGGTCACCCCTTGCCCCGGGAGTCCTCTCCTCCCTGCTCTGGGAGCTGTTCAGCAGCAAGGGCAGCTCTGTCTTGCCCCCAGTGGGGGGCTGGGAGGGGTGGAAGTCCTTGGGGCATTGACGCTGGAGTGGCGCGGGACCTGGAGCAGCTGATCTGATTGCAGCCAAACCTTGTTACTGCATTGCTGCCCAGAATGTCACTTAGGAAGCACTTAGGGCTCTCCCGGCATGTGTCTGCCCCGGGAGGGGGCTGCCCCAGGAAACCTTACGCTGGGCAGAGAGGCTAGGGCAACCTGAGAACCCCGTCCAGTGGGGAAGGAGTGTGGCTGAGGCCTTGGTGGGGGCTGGGGAGGGGGAGACCACATATGCCCCGTGTTTGGGCCCTGGGTGCACTCACACCAACCACTGCGTCCTGACCAGGAGCTCCGCTAAAGAGCCCGACCACCCTGTGCTCTGCGCCTGAGCTGCGGGGTGGGGCGGCCTCAGCCACAGGGTGGGAAGTGGTCTCTGGATTGTGTAACTGCAGGGGTTCCAGGCTTTCTGGGCCTCGGTTTCCTTGCTGGTAAAACGAGGAAGGCAGCAGTGGCCCAGCTGTCACACTGTAGAGGACCTCCCAGGCGCATCTGCACCCAGGGTTCCATGAAGCTCAGTGTTCTCAGAGGCTGTGTCAGCATCCCTGGGAGCTTGCTAGAAATCCACATTCTCTTGGGGCCAGCGCTGTGGCGTAGTGGGTAAAGCCACCACCCGCGGTGCTGACATCCCATATGGGCGCTGGTTCGAGTCCCAGCTAATCCACTTCCGATCCAGCTCTTTGCTGTGGCCTGGGAAAGCAGTGGAAGATGGCCCAAGTCCTTGGGCCCCTGCACCTATGTGGGAGACCTGGAAGAAGCTCCTGGCTCCTGGCTTTGGGTCAGTCAAGTTCCAACTATTGAGGCCATTTGGAGAGTGAACCAGCTGATGGAAGACCTCTCTCTCTGCCTCTCTGTAACACTGCCTTTCAAATAAATACATAAATAAATAAATCTTTAAAAAACTGCATTCCAAAAATAAAAATATCTAGTGAAAAATCAAAAGATGACCTCTATATATATAAAAAAAGAAGAAATCCACATTCTCAGACATCCCTGGCCCTGCAGATGAGGTGGCCTGGGGCCTGGCAATCTGTGTTGAACCAGCCCTCCTCCCTTCACTTAGTACCCTGGCCTCCAGGTGGCGCAGTGGAGTCAGGCCTTGTTCTATTTACTGGCATACGTGAGGCTGGGGTTGGGTGTGGATGAGTGTTTGAGAACAGCTGCTTTACTTGTGAGTGGTGAAGGCCCCAAGGAGAAAGACATCAGCTTTGGTGTGCATCCAACTCCTGTTTCCCAAACACTTTTACATGCACCGCCTCATTTGAAGAGAATCGAGTAATAGTCAGAGAACAGTCTGCCATAATTAGCATTACTAGTAACAATCCAGAAGCTTCCTTATGCATGCCTCCTTGAAGACAAAGGACACATCTTCCTCGGTTGCTGTGTCTCCCCATCTCCAGCCCTTACACCCTCCTATGGTCTACAGTCAGTCACCCTTGAACCTGGGCAGGCTTGGGCACCTTGGGGTCATGCACTGCAGGCTGAACTCCAGTCCCCTTCTGGAAGGCACTTCTGTCCCTCGGCCTCCCCTTGCCCATACGCACCTGTAGGTGTCGGTGGCTGGCACTGTCCAGATCTGGATGCCCTTCAGGGGGCCTTCGCTCCCCACCACCACGCTCTGGTTGGAGTTCTGGTAGGCGTTGTTGCACTGGGCCTGCGTGGGGCCATGGGGCCCGCTGGCCCCGCACGTCGTGAACAGCCAGTGAACTGTGGCAGAAGAGGAGAGGCAGTCACTCACTTGGCTGGGCCCTCCCTCCTCCACAGCCTCTCTGGGCTGCCTCCAAGTTGTGTGCGCTGTGGGCTCAAATCTCTACTCTATGACGGCACCAAGGTTGGGAAAGTCTACTATGCATCACTCTCTGTGTCGGAGACCAGGGGAAAGACACTCTCGGCTTCAGAAGCTTATAGCTCCTGAGAAGAAATTGACGGGGATGCAACCACCCTCAGTACAGGACAGGAGTGGGGCACAAGCCATAGGAGGTGGGGAGTTCTGAGAAGGGAGAGGGGCCCCTTTCAGGTGGGAAAGGCGCGTGCAGCCGCTGAGGCTCTTGGTCTCTCACAGTCCAGCACAGCCAGCACAGGTGCTCAACCTGTGCTACTGGGAGGCCATCTAACCAGATCCCACAGGTTTGATACTGGCATATAGGAGCCTCTGAGTTTAGCGAAGACTGGAAGAATACATTGGACACATATCAGCTTCATGACCCCACTATTGGCCCAGGGACACAGAGAAGAAGTTGGAGCAGGAAGCCTTGCACCTGCCGTCTATGGTTCTGTTAGGCACTCCCTAATAGCCTGTACGGTGGGCAGGCATCCGTCTCCCTATTTAGGCAAATTGTGGTTGGAAATGCAATGACTGCCGCTTTTAGGTTCTTTATGCAACAGAGAGGAACAAAATGGAACAGAGCAACTTTGCCGTTAGCCAACAGCCCTCCCTTTCCTAGGCCCTCACCTCTTTGCGGTGTGTTCTGGCCTGCTCAGCGGCCTTAGGCGGCCTTCCTGGGACCCCACCGAACACTAAGTGCAGCCCCTTCCCTTATCCCCTTCTCCTCACTGGACTTTTTCCTTCAAAACTTTCTATACTTGGGTCAGGCCATCCCTTTCAGAGTTGTCAGCTATGTTTTTGGCCAGAATTCTGCTAGTTTCATAACCAGTAGAAACCTAAGAGCTTATTATTGATTATTTACTTTTACTTAAAAAGCAAAAAAACCTCACTGGGCTGTAGAAATTATTTCTTTTTAAGGAGAGATTAACTTGAATTCTACCTACAGAAAATGATAGAAGTGTTTATTTGCATGTACACAGCTTTGTTCACTGAAACATTAAGCTGAAACATTTTGGAAGAATCCAGACTAATTTAAGGATTCAAATGTGAGAGGTTAATTTGGGTTGCCAATTATAAGCAATAAGATGGAGACTTGGGGGAAGGCAGCTTGGTAATCTGAACACTGGGTCACTTGTGGAGGCTTGCAGGCGCTGTCCTGGCCCTGGGGGCTGGAAGTTCTGGTGGGTTCTATGGCATACAGGTGGTCAACACTGAGTTTCACTGTTCTCAGAGTTGAGTTCCATTTGTTTTCTGAAGGACATTTCAAGGGTCCAAAGGTAAGGAATTGCTTCCCTTTGGTGTGAGTGGCTGATGGTGAATTTTTGGATCTATTTGCGTTATTGATTCAAAGAACTAACTCGGCACAGAAGGTATTTTAGCGGAGCTGTTTGGCCAGGTGCCCTTTTACCTGTTCCACAGCCCAAATCATACACATGTGGGCTGTGCCTGAGGGGTGATGTGGAAAGAAGATAGGTTTGGAAATCAATAAAACATGTGCATTTGGGGGAGTCTCATCAGTGATGGATTATCAGACCTTAACCTACTTCCTTGTCTGTAAGAGGGGCTGGGTTAGAAAATCAAAAGATGCCAGTGTGTACAAGAGCTCACTGCAAAGCCCCAAACTCTCAAACTGTGAGTGGTGCCTACAGTGTCTGCCTATACTCAAGGCTGGTGCTGTCCCTAACCAGGGGGAGGTGTGGCCAGAGCAATTTCTGTTAACACGATCCCAGGTCAGCACCACTTGGGAATTTAAACTCAGTGAGGGTGGCGATGAGGATGGGGGCAGGGAGAACAGGAAAAACTCAGAAAGGGAGCTGAAAAACCCACCCCTCCCACTATATCCAGCACAAGGCTGACTCTGCACACCCAGTCTGTGCCTAAGCAGGCAGCTGAGGTTTGGAGCAGCCTAGTCCACCTCGGGGAAGATGCATGGGTGTTCATTTAGTGAATTCAAGCCTGAAAATGAAATAAGAGTTCTGTAGTCTTCCTTTGAGAGTGTTCTGGGGCAGAGAGCTGACCGTGTGTGCTTGGCACCCTACCTGAGCTTCTCGCCTTCAGGGGGCCTCACTTCTAAACTGCGGCCAAGGTCAACAGTGTTCTGAAGGGTCTGAGTCCTTCCCAGAGATTTGGACTTCTCCTTCCTGGCCACTGGCCATCTGGTGAAGCAGGAGGAAGGCATGGGCTTTGGATTCAGATGGGCCAGGTTTTTCTCATCCTAGAATGTGCTCCCGAGTTAGCTGTGACACGCAGGTTAGAATCGATAGCCTCTCTGGACCTCCATTTTTTAACATGAACAAATGGAGATTAAAAAAACCTACTACTTAGACTTTCTGCAAAAATAAGATGGTGATCCCAGGAAAATGCTTAGCACAAAAGCTGGCGTTAGAGATGCATGGTGAATACGTTTTAAAAAGGGGTGACTTCATATTCATGTTTTCCCTGCGGGAAGCACATACCCCATCTCAAGATTTATTTCCTCTACTCCATACAGGAAGGACTCTAGGGCCATTTCTCAATAAAGGGACTGGTATTTCCCCGATTCAGTGGACAGATATTAGTCTCAGGTGGTTTCTCTACTCAAAATTTTGTTTTCATTTGTAGCCATTCAGACGGCAAGGCCCAGAGAGGGACCTGTTTCTAAAGTGGACTCCGTGGGAACAGAGAATTTGCCATCCCAGGTCAGACCCATGATTCGTCCAACCATAATTCACGCTCCCAGCAGCCTTTGAGGCATGGTGGTCCCCCTGCTCCCTTGGATGGCTCTGCCCCTCATAAATCTGCCCCACTTTGTTTGGAATCAATTTATGCTTCCCCCAAGCTCCACCTCTTGGGGCATGGAGTTTCTCAGCTCATCGCTCACCGGGCAAGGGCTGGCCAGTTCCCATGTGTGTGCACTTGCCTTCCTCAAGTTTTGGCCTGCTGCTTCCTGTGGTGTATGCTGTCTGGAATCTGCTGGACTCATAGCATGTCACAGCAAGGTGGGACCTTGGAGATCACCAAACTCAGTGGGTCCCAAGCCATCTGAGAACTTCAAAACACAGATCCCAGGGCCCTGGGGACTGAGAGTCAGTAGCTTCCGAGTGGGGACAGGGAGGCCATACTTGCATGATGTGAAACTTTTCCCAAGAGAACCTGATACTCAGACTTGTATCCTAGCCCCACCTACCTCATTGTCTAAATGAGCAAAAAAGCATTCTAAAGAGAGGAAGATCCTCTCTCCCACTTAATGTTGTATGATTGTTCAGAATTTCTCTTCAGACAAACCCCTCTACTCACAAAAGATGAGTGGCCTTTCTCCCAGTCTTGGTTGATATCAGTTTAAACCACATCCATCAAACAGTCTCTACAAGAATCCAGACACCACCCCCCCTTTCCTTTCCTATATGAAATCCTCTCATTACTTGATTAATGCCACTCTTAGCATCATTAGTTGCTATTCTCACCCTGCCTTTTATACTACTGTGTCTGTTTAAGTGTTTACAGGAGTTGATAATGGAATGAACCAAGGCAGGAGGCCAACCAAATGCTGCTACAGGGATATACTCAGCTCCTGACCCAGGAGACAGCGGCTTGAGACATCACCCCATGTCAGCAGGAAGTAGCTCTAAAGACAGATCATTGCCCCTCTACCTCTCCTGGACTTTTGGGGCTAATGTAATCCCATAGAACTGCCTTATAAAAAAACAAAAGGCGGGGAGAATGTTAGTATAATGGTGCGGTCTTATCTATGGTGCAATCTACACCCTGGACACCATCCTAGGCGCTAGCCCCACCACCATGGCTGGAAGCCAGGTGTCCCCGCGGCCCAACCACCAGCGTCAGCTCCACCCCGACCCTAAAGGGAGTCACTGCTCTTACTTCCCTGCCTGCCCCCCAGCAAAGGTTTAACAGGACCTGTTCTTGAACATGTGGCTCTCTCTCCATCTCCCTGTCACTCTCCCTCTCTCTGTCTCTGTCTCTTGATCTCTCTCTCCCTTGCTCTCTCGATCTGTCATGATCTCTCTCTTATGCTCTCCTTCTCCCTCTCTATTCCTTCTTTGCCCCTTCCCTCTGCTCTTTCGGGTTTCCCCCAATAAACCCTTTCCCTCAAAAAAAAAAAGGGGGGGGGAGAGGAAGAAGATACTTTTCTGAGCCTATCAACACCAGAAGAGGAAAAATATGGAAGGTTCCTCTTTCTCTGTCCAGGAGTTCTTTGGCGTGATCAAACAACCCCTAGCTTTCTGCCTTGAAGGCTTGCAGCCTTTTCATAGTGTGCCTAAATGAGTCCCTGATCCTCTGTCTTTTTCAGAATCCCCTCTAGTGCTAGAATCTGCTTCTGAAGATGGAAGTGAGGGTGCCTGCGCCTCTGTCGAGGGAACACCTGCCATTCTGCTTTGCTTCTCGTGTCCTTCTGAAGGTGCTTGCTGCTAACAGACGCCAGCAATTTCTAAATCCTAGCTTATTGCTCTGAGCCTGGTAGAATTGCCTCTGGGGAGCCTGGAGGGGCCCGCAGGACATATCTTGGTGGGTGTGTTGTGTGTGTGTGTGTGGGGGGGTTGCTTCTTTTCTGGAAGCAGGAAGGATTTGACAAGGTACTTCAGGCTTGGTGGGCATGAGATCAGTTCTAGCTAAGGCAGGCAGAGTTAGAGCCAGGTGAGTGTGATTTTCAGGGGTGTCATTGGAGCAGAAGGCACTGGGCACAGCCTTGTGGATCAAAGATGTGGCAGGTCCAGAAATGGAGAAGAAGGGGAGTTAGCATAGTGGCTCCCAAGGGCAGGGGAAGTCACAGTGAGTTTTGATCCTCACATAGAAGCTCTTTGCTTCCTGAGCTGCTTTATCCTCCCTTCTGAGCGACAGTGCTTGTGGTGGAGGGGCTGGACCTTAGATACTCGAGAGGTAAACT